GATCGTGGGAGGGAGCAGGAGACGAATTACTGGGCGTGCGGCGTGCGGGGTTAAAAAATTCCGACGGGGAGGGGACAAAGTGCCAAACTCATGATGACTGAAGAGCCGCAACTGCTGTGCGAGAGCGGATCGCGAAGATGGATGGATGGTTGGATGGCTGGACACACTTTCGGTGCGGCGCCAGGCTCGAGCCCGTGCCATGGCGTGGCTCGGAGACAGAGAGACAGAGAGACAGAGAGACAGAGAGAGAGACAGAGAGACAGAGAGACAGAGAGACAGAGAGAGACAGAGAGACAGAGAGAGACAGAGAGAGACAGAGAGACAGAGAGACAGAGAGACAGAGAGACAGAGAGACAGAGAGACAGAGAGAGACAGAGAGACAGAGAGACAGAGAGAGACAGAGAGACAGAGAGACAGAGAGAGACAGAGAGACAGAGAGACAGAGAGACAGAGAGACAGAGAGACAGAGAGACAGAGAGACAGAGAGACAGAGAGAGAGAGAGACAGAGAGACAGAGAGACAGAGAGACAGAGAGACAGAGAGAGACAGAGAGAGACAGAGAGACAGAGAGACAGAGAGAGACAGAGAGACAGAGAGACAGAGAGACAGAGAGACAGAGAGACAGAGAGACAGAGAGACAGAGAGAGAGAGAGAGAGAGAGAGAGAGAGAGAGAGAGAGAGAGAGAGAGAGAGAGAGAGAGACAGAGAGACAGAGAGACAGAGAGACAGACACACAGAGACAGGGAGACAGGGAGACAGAGAGACAGAGAGACAGAGAGACAGAGAGAGACAGAGAGAGACAGAGAGACAGAGAGACAGAGAGAGACAGAGAGACAGAGAGACAGAGAGACAGAGAGACAGAGAGACAGAGAGACAGAGAGACAGAGAGAGACAGACAGAGAGACAGAGAGAAAGAGAGTGACAGACAGAGACGGACCCAGAGCCGAAGGACAGGAGTAGAAACCAGTGACGATACAAACAAAATCGCAAAGCGTGTCAAAGGCTACACATTCTCTTATGACCATCCGCATCTCTCAACTTGAATGGCACGGCTGGCTGGGGCGGAGGCAGCAGGCGGATCAGGCGGGACGCACTTTGCATACAGAGACGCAGCGTGGACAGGGCGCCATGAGTGGCCCTCCGTATGATCCCGTGAATCAATCCGTATGTCTTGTTGCGTGTGCTTGCAGGTTCCACCCGTTGCTTGTTGCTCACGGCCTGGCTGACCGACGGCGCAGGTGTTTGTGCAACGTGATTATTCTCAGGGCACCACTCCACGATTTGAAACGGCGTTCCCAGCGGCGCTAGAGGGAAAAGTACGTCACAACGCCGTGCCAAAGCGATATGGGTGATGTTGCTTGGTGGCAGCACCGAGGCATCATTCTCCCCGGTCGCCGACCCACCGATCGACCTTGTTCTGTTCCTCAAAACCTCACGCTCACCGCTGCCGGGAATCTGTCGACGACAGCTTGATCCAGCAGCCTATACACGTGTGATCGAGCATATCAATCATCTCTATGAAGAGGCTGAAAAGCCCTCGTCTTCACTTTACTGCATGGTGCGTGCGACGCCCCTGTGCCCTAATTTGTCGTCTGGCCCAATTGTGTTCCGGCCTGCCCGTGCCTGACGACATGTGTGTGCTTGGTGTGTGCTTGCTTGCGCTTAGAATTGCCTGTCCTGCCTGACCGGCAATCTCTTGCTCCTTTGCTGGGAAAATCCCTACGAGCAAGTACGTGGACCCCGCCCACTCAATATCCTACACACGTGCCCCGCTTGCCGCTCGTGCCCATCTGTCTGCGTTTCTAATTCTTACGCGCGTCCACGACTGCATCGGTTCCGCATGTCGTGTTCAGACCTTTCGAGATGTCACCGCCTTTGTTGAACGGCAAAACGTCGAGGTACGTGCGCCCCGAGCTGTTTCTGTTGTGTATGTCTGTATGTATGCATATTGTTTGCATATGTGTGTGTGTGTGTGTGTGTGTGTGTGTGGCGCTTTCGGTGTCCTGACGGCTCTTGATTTCCGAGAGTGACGTTTATTGAGTGGTGTTATTGCAACGCGCAGCTGTCTTCATCGTGACGTTGCTTCCCGTTTGCTGGTGCAACTAGGTGTTTCGACCAGCAGGTCTCGACCTGGTCGACCCCCTGCGCCGTGGTCTACGCGTGGTAAGTGTTCTTGGCCACCCTGCAGGCCTGGGCTGAGGCGAGTGCGCGTGTCTGAATTTCTCGGGCAAACTCATGACGCTTGCTGCCTCTGTCCAAATGCCCACTTGCTCCTCCGACCACGGATTTACAGATTGAAATTATCAACGCAACCACATCCACAAGCTGAGGGATTGTCTTCTCATGCCCATGTCATGTTGTCTTTTGCAGGTCTTGTAGTTTGTAGTCGTTGTCGTTTCATTCACCTCAGAACCGCATTAAACTTCTTTGCTGAGCAAAGCCATCTTGTATCTCCAAGGTCAAGCCCGTTATCAGCCATAACGCTCGACCCCTTTTGTCCCAATTGTAATCTTGTCGACATTCAAAGCGTCGCTCTGGCTGATTTGACCAGGCGACTTGAAAATTGGCAGAGCACATTGACCGACATAATCACCCCTTTAGCCGATGCGCCATCAATCAGCGAGAGCCATTCATTTTTTTCTTGACAGGTGGCAAAGTGACTTTTATTGGCCATGCCACCATTGATACGTGTGCAAGGCCTTCTGAATGTCACGCTCAAGACAGCTTTCAGATGACAGGTGGACCCAGAGAAAGAAACGAGCGCGTTCATGGTCAGGAAGAGCCAACAGCAAGTATTTCCATCAAGCCCGCACAATTGGGCATGATCCCACAACAAGTGCTGGCGATGCTGGTCGTGCGCTCTGCCGCAAGAAAAGCGCCAAGCACTCGCAGATCAGTGTGCGGGAGTTGTCCAGGCATGATTGGACATGACTTGTGTGTGTGTGGGGGGGCGGGGGGTGCAAGGCACAGGAGGGTGTGAGTCGTCTGCATCCAGTGTTAGGTAAGCATGCCCAAGCGACAACGATCGCGGCACGCGCGAGTCTTTGAAATCCCCCCCTCCCTCGTCCGTTACAGCGCGGCCCCCTCCGAGGTTCCGCTCCTTCCATAAGAAGAAGACTGACTGTTTTATCGAAATCATTTGAGATGGACTTTTGAGCCTAAACTGATTCAAAAAAAAAAAATAACACCGTTACATTGAAAGGCTCACATGTTGAGCGCCATTGTAGTTCCCGCGCTTTTGTCCCTCTGTCTCTGTCTCTGCCTTTCAATCTCACCTCTGTCTCTGTCTCTCAATCTCTGTTGATATTCTCTTTTCTCTGTTATGCCTCTAGTTTTACCTATATATGTTTCGATCTTGAGCCCTATCTCTGCATCTGACCCTCACTTGATCTCTGTCTCTGTCTAAATATCTCTCTCTGTCTCCCGTCTCTATCTCTCTCTGAGTCGCGCCTTTTTTCTTCCCGCCAACCTGTTTGTGCGGCTGGGTGCGCGCATCACACATCATAATCATCAGGATGAGGAGTGAGGCCCTTCCCCCCTCCACCCCCCACCCTCCACCCTCCACCTCTCCTCTCCTTCCTTCCCTTGTTCCGCTTCCTCGAATCGACCGTTACAAAGCGGCCCGACCGTTATATTGTGGTTGACTTGACTCTCTCAACGGCATTTTCCTTCCGACTTGACTGGGACCATCCCTAGTACGGCCGTGTTGGTACGTGAGCTACCCGACTGCCTTGTAACGGTCATGAGGCACTGCCATTCATGGAACCCAGCACAACCGCCACTCCACTGGCCATTGGCGGCCGTCATCTGCAGCGATCAAGCCTGCCGGGACTGGTGTACGCTGCCTCATGGTCTTCGTCCTTGTGCTTTGCTCTGTAGATCCCTTTCAGCCAACACCGCCACCATGTATGTTGTCAAGCGTGATGGCCGCCACGAGCCGGTTCTCTTCGACAAGATCACCAACCGTGTTGAAAAGCTTTCCTTTGGCCTCAACCGCGACTATGTCGAGCCGGTACGCCAGCTGTTTGGTCACCAATTGGGCTGCTCAGTCTTTTGGTCCTTTTGTATTCATAATACAAAAGAAAGTGACCGTTACAAACCAAGCTCACCCAACCAACCGGTTTGCTTTGCTTTGATAGGTCGAAATCACCAAGAAGGTCATGGCCGGCGTATACAGCGGCGTGCACACCACTCAGCTCGACCAGCTCGCGGCCGAGACCGCCGCCTCCTTCACCACCCGCCACCCTGACTACGCCATTCTTGCCGCCCGCATCTCAGTCTCCAACCTCCATAAGCAGACCAACAAGTCTTTCAGCCGTACGTCTTGCTCCTCCACCATCCTGCCCTTGCTCTTTCATGCCTCTTCTTATGTTGTTGCAAAAGCCGAGCGTCCTCTGGCCAGTGCCCACTCAACGCTTGTTCTCATGTCTTATTTACAGAGACCATGAAGGCACTCCACGAGTACGTCAACCCCAAGACTGGCAAGCTGGCTCCCCTCGTCTCCGACGAGACCTGGGCTGTCATTGAGAAGAACAAGGAGCTTTTGGACAGCCACGTGATCTATGATCGTGACTTCAACTTCAACTTTTTTGGGTTCAAGACGCTCGAGCGCTCTTACCTTCTCAAGATCAACGGCCAGGTCGTTGAACGCCCCCAACACATGTTCATGCGTGTCTCAGTTGGCATTCACGGCGACAACTTGGATGCCGTCCTCGAAACCTACAACCACATGTCCCAGGGCCTCTTCACCCACGCCTCACCCACCCTCTTCAACTCGGGCACCCCCCTGGCTCAGCTCTCCAGCTGCTTCCTGGTGTCCATGAAGGACGACTCCATCAAGGGCATCTATGACACCCTTACTACCTGCGCCATGATCTCCAAGACGGCTGGTGGCGTCGGCCTCAGCATTCACAACGTGCGCGCCTCGGGCAGCTACATTGCCGGCACCAACGGCGAGTCCAATGGCTTGGTGCCCATGCTCCGCGTCTACAACAACACGGCCCGCTATGTGGACCAGGGTGGCAACAAGCGTCCTGGTGCCTTTGCCGTCTATCTCGAGCCCTGGCACGCGGATGTCTTTGAGTTTTTGGACCTCAAGAAGAACCATGGCTCGGACGAGCTGCGCGCCCGCGACCTCTTTTACGCCCTTTGGGTGCCCGACCTCTTTATGAAGCGCGTCGAGCGCAACGAGCAGTGGACCCTCATGTGCCCCCACGAGTGCCCCGGCCTCGCCGACTGCTATGGCGCCGAGTTTGAGGCCCTCTATGAGCGCTATGAGCGCGAGGGTCGTGGCCGCAAGACCATTGATGCCCAAAAGCTCTGGTTTGCCATTCTCGAGTCTCAGACGGAGACTGGCACCCCCTACATGCTCTACAAGGATGCCTGCAACGAGAAGTCCAACCAGAAGAACCTGGGCACGATTCGTTGCAGCAACCTTTGCACCGAGATTGTTGAGTACTCTGCCCCTGATGAGGTGGCCGTCTGCAACCTGGCCTCTCTGGCCCTGCCCAAGTTTGTCAACGAGGACACGCGCACATACGATTTTGAGCGTCTGCACGACGTGGTCAAGATTGTGACACGTAACCTCAACCGCATCATTGACATCAACTACTACCCCGTCCCTGAGGCCAAGAACAGCAACATGCGTCACCGCCCCATTGGCATTGGAGTTCAGGGTCTGGCTGATGCCTTTATCCTCATGCGCCTGCCTTTTGACAGCCCCGAGGCGCGCGATCTGAACAAGCGCATCTTTGAGACCATTTACCATGCTGCCCTCGAGGCCTCGTGTGAGATTGCTCAGCGCGATGGTCCCTACAAGACGTACGAAGGCTCGCCCGTTTCGCAGGGCACGCTGCAGTACGACATGTGGGGCATCACCCCCACTGACCAGTGGGACTGGGCAGCCCTCAAGGCGAAGATTGCCGAGCATGGCGTGCGCAACTCGCTTCTGGTGGCTCCCATGCCCACGGCCTCCACCGCCCAGATTCTGGGCAACAACGAGTCGATTGAGCCGTACACGAGCAACATCTACTCGCGCCGTGTGCTCTCTGGTGATTTCCAGGTGGTGAACAAGCACCTGCTCAAGGACTTGGTGGAGCTGGGCATCTGGTCCAACGACATTAAGCAGCAGATTATTCTCAACAACGGTTCCATTCAGGCCATTGCTGGCATCCCGGATGACATCAAGGCTCTGTACAAGACGGTGTGGGAGCTGTCACAGCGCACCCTTATTGATCTGGCGGCCGACCGTGGCGCCTTTATTGATCAATCTCAATCCTTCAACGTCCACATGGGTGAGCCCAACTTTGGCAAGCTTACCAGCATGCACTTTTATGCTTGGAAGCAGGGCCTCAAGACGGGCATGTACTACCTCCGCACCCGCGCCGCCGCCTCAGCCATCAAGTTTACCATTGATGCCACCAAGGCCAAGGAACAGCAGGAGAAGGAGGAAGCGGCCATGGTCTGCTCCCTTACCAACCCCGAGGGCTGCCTCATGTGCTCAGCGTAATATGGCGTTGGCTCACAGCCCTTGGTGGCTGGTATTGGTATGAGTCCGGTCTTGCTGCGCCATGGCTGTGCCTGTGCTGCCGCGAGGCCAGAGCAGACGCACGCGCATGTGTGCGTGTGTTCTTGTATGTTTGATGTGTTTGAATGAGTTGTGACCCATTCTGTTTTTTGCTTAATGTCCTGGAGTATGTGTTTCTCTGTCTGTGCTTGTGTGGTCGTGTCAGTTTAGACTGACTACCATCGATTTGTGCATCCCTCTATCTGGCAGCGTTGTGTGCTGTAGCAGGCCCTCCATGCAGGCCCTCCATGTGTGTATAATGACTTTGGATCTGTGTTGGTGCAGAACGAGGGACGGTTACTTTTTTTTTTTTAATCCCTGGTGTTGTTCTTTTTTGTTTCGCTTATCGTTTCGTTGTTTGTTTGTCGCCTGACTGGACCGGCAGTCGGGAAAATATTTGTGAGGTGGTGTCTTCCCCTTTCGGGTGTGATGCGCGTATGTCATGAAAAGCGCGCGTGCAAAAAGGAGTGGTGACAATTAATGCTAAACTTGAGTCTGATACTTGCCTTAGACGAAATCTTATAGCTCGCCAACCCTAGACAAAATCTTTGAAGGCGACTCAAAGGGACGTGACAAGGAGGGGGGCTTGGGGGGGCTTGGGGCACCTCATCATTCACGTGCGGAGGACACCCCACAGACAGAGGTTGGGATGTTCCAGCCAAAACCAAACCGGACCTTGTAGGAACGGGAAGGATGGGTGAAACAGGTTGGGGTGCCTTGCATTTGTGACGTTGTACCAAACTGAGCCTTGGTAACGACCGTTGCTGTCTGGGGCCACTGCCTAACAGCGGCCTGTTTTGGGGGGTCGGAGCAAGGTCAGCGACTGACGGATGACTGTTTTTGACCGTTACAAGGGCCAAACCGGCTTGGTCAGCTCAGCCCCTTCTTGACGAATTCTTGGTGCCGCTCTCACCTCGCGAGCACCTTGCCCCCGACTCACCCCCAAACGAGTATTATAAAAAGGTCCCACCCGGTTTTGGTCTGTTGGCATCGAGGGGATGATCGCAGTGGTATGTGGGGGCAGGAAGGGGCAGCTGGGTGGTTTCGCAGATAAGAGACTTTTCGGGACTGGCTCGAATTGCTGCTATCTGCGTGTTTGCAGCGGCACCAAAAGGCAGCCCTATGAGTCCCATTCCCTCGCCCGACAGCGGGAAGGACCCGCCTTGGCTTGCATCACGCCTGAGCGTGCCATTCCTCTGGCCATACTGTCGCAGCATCAGACAACGCAGGGGCCAGCCAGAAAATCCGGCCCCTCTCTGCTCAACGACCGGTGAGCAAGTTCGAAGGGAGCTTGCCTCACAGGCGTGCAAATGTTCAACTCCCCAACGGCTAAATTCACCCCCCTGGGCAATGTCAAGTCCACCTGTTTGGATTGTCGTTCAGGAATCGAGTCATGATACTGAGCCATGCCATCCCAACCGCTGCGAGAGCCTCAAGCTGCTGTCTCTTCTTGGCTCTGTCCTACCACCCCACCTGCGCTGTCGGATTCCAATACTTGCCCCGACATGTGGTGACAAGGATTACACCTAGACCAGGACAGGCCAAGCCATCCCAATCTTTGACGTGAAACGCCAAGGCCAAGCCCACAGGTGACAAACGCTGTCCTTTCGAGTCGGGATTGCAGTCAACATCATCCCCCTGAAGCACAGGGCATCCGCCTGGTCCGCTGGGTGACATCAGATCACGAGCAAGACCATCACAGCCCAACTGCAAAAGGGCTTCAGTCAAATATGACGATCGAATGCAGAGTCGTGCAGAGCCTTTCCCAAGTTCATCAGAAACCCGGTCGATCACCCAGAGACACCCACGGATTGGGGGAGGAAAATTGAGTGTGAGGGAGTGAGTGAGGGAGCCAAAGTCGTCGATGCCAAGCCGTCCTTCAAGGCCCCAAACCCTTCTCTGCTCCCCTCCCCTCGACTCCTCTTGCCCATAACATATCATTGTCAGGTTTGGGGCTTGTCCTGCTCCTTGTCAGTCAAATTGGGTCATTCGGTTAGCTACCATGGACGAGCAAACTCAAGCACCCCAACCGCCAACCCCGCTACCCTTTTGCCCCCCGCCCCCCAACCCTGGGTACCCCCTACCATACAAAAAGTTTTGTTTGGCGCTTGGACAGTGCTGGCTGCCGGTTGCCGGCTGCCGTTGCCATCCCCCCTCCCCCCCCTCCCCCGTCTTGACCATTGGCCACTGCCAGTGCCCCTAGACCGCCACCACCACACCCTCGGCCTTCTCGAGCCAAAAGTTACAGAGTGCAGGCAGATACGTGGTTGGGGTTGGTGCGCCACCCAACGTCAGCCTTGAAACCCAACGCCTCGCCACCAACTTTTCTCTACGCGCACCCCCTGCGTACCCCAACCTCTCTCCTCCCCTCCTCCTCCCCTCTCTCTGGCTCTTCGCGCTTGCCCTCGGTTCAATTCCCCGAGTTTTCGCACGACGTTGACATGCATTTTCCTGCTCCCAGTTGTCCTTCCTGTCACTCTTTCGACGTTGAACGTGACCCTGTTCGTTCGTCCCCACCACACACACGCAGCGACAAAATTGTGTCTGTGTTTTCGTCGTTGGGGTTGTGTGCACCCAGTTCAGCTCTCGCTGCCGTTAGAGGAAAAGTTTTTTTTTTTTTAAAAAAAAAAAAAGCTCTCCTCTCTCTCTTCTCTCTCTCTCTCCTCTCTCTCTCCTCTCTCTCTTCTCGCGCTGCCATTTGAATTTTTTTTTTCTGAATTTTTAAAATTTGTTTTATTTCTTCTTCTTCTCGTTCTCGTTGGTGCCTCTAGCTGCCGTTTGTGGGCAAATTGTTTGTTGGTGCCAGTTGGGGTTGATAGCAGTCAGTGGCATCATGTTGGCGGCCAAGCGCGTTCGTACAGACACCATGGCGGTGCATCAGCAGCGGGACACGACGTGTTCCGGGCATGCTTCGCCAGCGTCGTCCTTGGAATCCTTTGGCGTTGAGCGTCACATGGCTGCCATCAAGATCGCCCGCGAGCGCCAAGGCAAGCAGCACCGCTACGCGGGCTATAGCGACAAGGACCTCCTCGCCGATCTCGAAAAAAAACTCAAGCAAGCCCGCAGTCGCCTGGCCAATCTTCAAGAGCCCCTCAAGAGCGTCACGGGCCGGGCGGACCAAGTCGAAGACATGGTGGACGCCCTCTCCTTCACCAAATGGCTGGTGGAGCAACACCTCATTGCCCAAGCCAAAACTGACACGGATTCACAAGCCGCCGATGTTGCTGATCCTGCCTTCACGCACCACCCCAAGGACTTCACCAAGATCCCTGCCACCGCCAACGCCGCTTCCCCAGCGTCACAGTCCACGGCCGTGCCTCGCGGTGGCCCTGCCATGGGGGCCCCACTCATGACCTGGGCCACTGGACCCAACGGCGTGCCCGTCATGATGCCCGTCTCCATGTCCATGTCCATGATGGGCCCATATGCCGCGCAGTACGGTGCCACACCCATGATGTGGCCCAGTACCACCTCAGCAGCAGCCAACCCCACTTCCATGCCCGCCATGTCCGTGTCCACCGTGCCCACCATGCCAGCCATGCCAGCCATGTCCATGTCCAGCATGCTCGCTGCTTGGCAGCAACAGCAGCAGCAACAACAACAACAGCAGCAGCAGCAGCAGCAGCGATTCTTGTTCCAGCAACAACAGCTGCAGACCCACTTTTCGCAGCCGGCGCAACACTAAAAGAACGCCCTGGAGCGCCACTTGCCCCAACGGGACTGCATGTCCCTTCCTTGCCCCTCCTGTGTCTACTGGTACACGCACCTGTGGGTGTCCGCCCTATTATGTGCCATAGCCTGTTGCTAGCTCTTGTATTTCTGGCGTCGCTTCAAAAGGGTGTTGGTTGACCAGCCCGAGCTGTCCCCACCCTAGCCAGATTGCCTCTTGCGCCTTGTTCATAACATCGCTCGCTGCCATCTGTATAAACGATTCATCCGCCGCCTCCTGCTGTACTGTACCTATTGTCTGTAAATAAAAGCGCTCGCTCGTCATGTGTCCAATGTGAACGACTCTTTTACTGCTCCTTAATCGCCTCCAGCCTGCGTGCTTGACTCCTTCCCCCCGCCTTGGGTGTCCCTTGATGGGAAATTGAAATGAGTATCATCAACGCGTATCTTTGAATCAAGCATCTCCTGTGCTGGACGAACCGTGCACACCATCGCCCCGCCCATAACGCAGATCAAGAATGACAACCACCAGCGCACGAGCCAATCAAGAGAAGCAAATCAAGTGATGGTTGAGTGGTGAGAGCTTGAGCATACGCGCTTGGCTTCCACAATATTATTATTATTATTATTGTTTGGTGCCTGCAATGCCCGCCAGCATATCGGCGGACACGATACCGGGGGCGGTTCATTCCTGGGGTGCTCAAATCAAAAACACTGTCTCGCCCATGCGAGCTTTGTGACACTTTTCATGCATGCATGCTTGGACATGAAGGATTTGCCCAGCAGGATCTCCGCTCGAGACCAAACTCGACTATGGAATGTGTCCGTCCTCTGTCGGCGCGGCGCGGCGCGGCGACATCCATAAACTTGTGGGCGAGCATGCTATGCTGTATCGCTTGCACCTTGCTTGGGTGTCATTTCTGTCGTGATCCTGGTTGCCACGACCGCGCCTTTGGTCGCAACGAGTGGCGTCACCAGGAACGCTGCCATCACTAAGGCCGGACGTTCAAGAGGAATCAGAGTTGAGAGCCATCTGGTTTTGGCGGTCACTCGCCAGGCAGAGACGAGCTGGCTCCAACCCAGCTTGGCACAACTCAAGATTAAAAACAGCTTCTTCAGCCTTCCCCGCATTATCCCTTTCGCCCCTCCCTTTCCGAGCCCCTTCCGGATCGCACCGTCATCATGCACTCGCTTCTCGGTGGCCGCCGCAAAAACGGCAACGTGAAAACCCGCGTCAAGGTTCGCTGCTTGACCTCGCGCGCATTCATCTCTCGCCCCACGGCCCCTTCCTTGTCCGTGTGCTTCTGCCTTTGAAGAAAAAATGCTTGGTGAGTTTTCATCTGCGCTCACTCCATCCCTCACCCCCCGCTATTCTTCGGCAGGAGTTGAAGCAGACCATCAGCACTTTCCCCATTCATTCACCATCCGCCTCTCCAGGTTGGTTTGCAGCGCTGCTTGACCCCCGGGGCGAGCACGGCCACGCACCGTTCAAGCTCAACACTCACTCACTTGCCCGGCTCACCCGCACTTTCTCATGCCATCACACATCCAGATGCCCAAACCATGCTGACCAAGGTATGTTTGGGTGATCGACACCGTTTGGCTGTCGACAAGTGCTTGACTCATCTTTTGGCCCGGTGTCGTCGACATCGCTCCTTCTCCCCACCAGAAACTCACAACCCCACCTCCTATCGCATCCAGCGTCTCGGTAAAAATCCAAAACAAAACCGCACCGCATCTGGCAGCTGAATCTTTCTGTCATAACCGCTCTTTTAACTCAGCCTCGACTCTGTCCTGCTTGGCCCGGGCACAGAGTGGTCACAGCTCGAACACGAGCCTTCCCAGCATGACCGAGTTCACACGCGAAGAGCTGCTGGCCAAGTGCGCCGAATGCGCCCAGCTACAACAGGACATTCAAGCTCAAACTGCGCTTTTTTTGACTGTCAGTCCCACTCCATACAAAGAGCTCCAACTGCATCACCCTTGCTTCATAGCTCCAACACCCATCACTCTTGCTCCATGTTCTAAACGGCGTGTGTGCGTGCTTGTGCGTGCGTGTGTGCGATATAGAAACTAGCCGAGGATGACGTGCGAGAGGCCGATTTGCTGCGCCAACGCCAGGGGATCGACGAGCAACTCTCGGCTATTTGTGAGCAGATTTCCCGCCTGCAAGCGCAGAAAGCGGCCTTGGTGCAACAGGGTGAACAACTTGATCGGGACAAGACTGCTGTGGAGCGGAATCGACAAGCAAGTACAGATGAGCTTCAATCCTGCCGTAATCGCTACGAAGGTGCCAGCCGCCGTCTACACATTGCGCAACGTCAGCTTGCAGAGCTGCCCGCCCCCAAGGTCGTCGCGCCCCCCTCGCTGGCACCCATCTCAGCATTGGCTCACTCCAGCCCCGGCAGCCCAACTGGATCACGCGCCACACAAAGCCAGCCACCGCCCACCGCAAGAACGGCAAGCCGGCATCCACGTGCCAGTTCCGGTCCTCCCAGTTGTTCACCATCACGCCGCGAGTCGCTGATGGCCAGCAAGCGTGGCTCCTATGAGACTGCCTGCACGCCGCTGGGGTTGGACTCGCGTCGCGGCTCACACGACGCCCAACCAAAGCCACCGGTTGATGCTCGCCGTATTGGTGCGCCAGTGCTATTGGATTCGGAGGATGAAGAAGACCAAGAGGATGCGCACGGTGCCCAGGTGGCGTTGTCGTCGCAGACGGGTCCATCGGCGCACTCTCCCGCCATGGCTTCACACATGCGCGATGCCAATGCCTCGGCATCCGACGAGGAAGACGACGGTGAGGTCGAGGATGAATATGAAGAGTTGGATGACATTGCCATGCAAGCTGGGGCCGCAGATGAATACGTGCATACAGACGACGAGCTAGATCCAGCCTATGATGGTACCCAGGCTGCCTCCGAGTGCCTCTCGGCCAGTGCTTTTATTGACGGCTTGTACGACAATGCTGAATCCGATCAGGAAGAAGTTGAGGGAGCGGGCCCCTCTTCCGAGGCACCGTGCAGCCCGTGTCCCGTCGATTCTGGTCGCTTGGAGGCACGGCAGATACACGTGGGGTCCCACAAGAGCGATAGCAAGGTTCCTTTACCCGCGGCTCGTGGCAGCTTTGCCAACCTGGCCACGCTGCGAGCATCCGCCGAACAGCTCGACGTGAGCGCACTTGAATTTGCACGCCAAGCCTCAGCACACATGCTTGCAACCGACGACGCCGATCAAGACGAGACTCAAACATATCCTCCCATTGGGTTCCAGACACGGGGTGTGCTCTGCTAAACTGTTGTGTGTCGCTCGCATTACCATTTCCATCATGATTGAATTCCCGCTTTTGGATTATTATTTTCGTCCCCGCTTCCGTTTCCTCCGTCTTGGCAGCAGTGCCTAGGCTGCGTGATCAAGGCAAAGGTCAGCCAGCACTGATGTCGCCTTCAACGATACCGGGTGTCATTGTCAACTATTAAGCATGGTCGGTCGTCACGGTTCTAAAAATTAAATTGATGTTGCATCTTTCGTGCAAGGGATCAGGGCAGGGTGAGGGACACGCAGTGTCTTAGAGGTCGAGCTGACCCGGGGCCGCATCGTTACTCAGCCAGCTGATCATGTCATCTGAAGTACTGGCCCCAGAAAAGCCACGTCGCACACTCTCGGCTGCCGCAATGCCGCTAGCAAAGGCATCGCCACCAAAGGGCCCCGAAAAATAGTCACCAGCCAAAACCAGGCCGCGGGCTAGAGACTTGCACTTCCAAAGGGGGATGAGCGGGGGAATGCGCCGATATCCTTTGGGCGTCTGTAGAATTTCATCACCGGGCGAGACCTCGGAGATGACGCCCTCGCCCGTGTCATAGCTGGAGGGTGTAGCCAAAAAGGGTTGCGAAACCACGCCATATCGCCATCGATGCCCCTGCACGTTCTGTAGCTTTAACTTGGCGCGATCAAAACACTCAAATTCCTAGCGATCAAACGGAGCAAGAAGGTACAGTCAAGGAGACACTCGATGCCAAACGTGGTGCAAAGCACACACGATTGTCGACAGCGGTCTGTCTGAATTGTCGATGACAGCTCCGAAAAAAAAACAGAAAAAAAAAAAAAAAAAAGAAAAAAGAAGAAAGAAAAAAAAGCGTCGGAACCACAACTTGAAGGTCAACGCACCGTTGTAACGTCTCGGACGAGGTGATCAATCAGCACATCATTGCGTCGGTTCATTTTGCCCACCGACGAGCGTGGAGATGCGTGGGCCACCCACTGCCAGTGCAGCGCAAACGATTCAAGCCGAGCGACAATGAGAATACCTTGAAGCCAGCTCGGTGCCATCGAGGGCAAGGCCAACAACTCATCCAGAACGCGCTTGGTGGTCCAATGGTATGAGCGCGCTAAAATCGACCGCAGAAAGTGATTTCATGCAAGCGTATCAAACCTGAATCTGCGAGCTGGATGCGGAGCATTCACGAAAAGAGTACAGGCGGTGTACGCGCTGTTGGCTCGGTTGCGTTCGATCACCCGTTTGATCACTTCTTTGAAAGAGTTCAGGAATGTGGTCAATATCTAAATTGAAAGCACAACGCTTGGTGAGATTGGTACCATCGGCTTGCAGGCTTTTGGCGGCTGCGAGCTGCCTGCGCAGGGGAGCGGCACAGCATCCGGTGCGGGCCGCGCTACGGCGTCGCTTCCACCGCACCTTGATTTGCAAAGAGCTGGCGATGAGCCGATGTACCCAATGCCTGCACCGTCTCAGCAGTGGGCGCATTGGTCTGAAAGCGAATCGTGGCGATCGAGTCGTACATTGCGGCCATGGCATCTTCATCCAGAAAAGGGCTATCCGTTGGCAAGTAGCCTCGAACCAGCGGGGCAACCTGTGGGGCTGGAACAGTGACGACGACGGCGTCATAGCGTTCAGATGACTCCTCCAGCTCTCCCGGGTGAGAGCTGCTCTCAAACAGCAGAGCATAACTCGCATCTCCATCGGCCCGGCGGTGCGAGCGCACAATCTTGCGAACAGCGGTGCCTTGCCGCAATGCGCTGGCAGGCAAGGGGTCCAGGCAGAACTCGAGGAAGCTGGACATGGGTCCAGGGGTGGTGTGTTCATCCTGGCGCATATTGCCATCCATGGGTATGCAGTGTACGACAGGTAGGCTACGATCGCGGATCGCGGGCGACTCGCGGAACATTTCTGGCCGCAAGAAGGTCCAGTGTCCTTGGTCAGGCTGGTTTTCTGGCATGTCCTCTGAGAATAGCAGTCGCAGGACGCCGGCTTCAAAGGCTTCCTTGGCCAATTGGGCGGCATGAAAGTAAGCAAATGGCACACAATAGGGAAACAAGTAGCGCGCCACGTCGGCACTCTGTTTTTCACGGGTGAGGATCTGCCCATGCTTCATGGGATATTCGCGCATGGAGCGATGCCATCGCACAAACTCGCGCACGGGAAGATAGTTGCGGTCCAGGCTCATGGGGCTCAGCGGGATGGAAAAGCAAGGAGCCCCGTAGTTGTGAAAGGCCATTCCATTGGGCGACCATCTAGTCCAGCAGATTCATACCCGGCATGAGGAGGCGTCGAGCAGGTGTATCAAGTCTTGGTAGCCTAGTGTGTTCGGGTATTGGGAGGGCACACACCTTGTCGCTGCACGTCCGCCAGGTGCACGACCCTGAGATAGACGATATAGAGAGCCGGTCAGTGGGACAAAGGCAGCACGAGCTGGGCAGCTGTCTCAAAAAAGATGGAAAAAAAAAAAGTTGGCTGACCTTATCGAATATCTCCACCTCGTGCCCAGCACGATTGAGCCAGCGGGCGGCAGCGATGCCTGTGAAGCGCGTTTGGGGGCATGTGCATGTAAGAGCCACGGCAGCGGGGGCTTGGGGCAAGGCGCAGGAGTAGGCAAGACCCCACCAGCAAAGCCACTGCCAATGATGGCGATTTTCTTGATGGCTTGTGGCCGTAGTGCTTGCGGGATCGTCATCACGGCTGGCGTCAGGCTTGACAAGCCACAGCACACCGTCCAGCTGTAGCTGCAGCCACAAAAATGCAATATCACCCCCACCAAGCCCCAGCGACCGCCCGCAACAGGCAGTGGCTCAAACAGCACGACCCACAGTGAACACACTCGCGCGTACGTTACTTCTGCCTCTGCCGGTGGTGCGGCAGCAAGTGTGTGATGTTTCAACAAAAAATGAAATTTAGTGTGTGTGTGTGTGTGTTTGGGTGAACAAAAGAAAACGGTATCAAAGACGGAGACGCGCCCTAAAGAAGATTCTGATTTAACATGTATACGTCATGGCTGAGAGGTGAAGAGTTTGAGGCGCTTTGCCTTGGCTTTGTCGCAGCACGTGCATCAACAGAGGCAGAGACAGCGATCGAGAAACGGGAGAATGGGTTGCCATCAAAGGAAAGAGTGGTGTTGGCGGTGACTTGGGGAGCCCTTTACTGCTTTAGGGAGCACCGGGGCAGCCGCAAGGATTGTCACAGGTTTGGACGTGCGAGTGCATCTCTAGAACCTGGTCGGGGCTGAGCTCGGGGACGGAAATAAGGTATGGGTTACAGCTGACCAGCGGTCCAAAGCACGACCAATCACCATCCTGGCAGCCAATCATACATTTTTTTTTTTTTTTTTTTGTTTTAAAAGCGCGCCATGGTGAGGGGTTTGTGTGGTCTGCGAGAACCACATGAGCGCTGAGAAACGAGCGAAGCGTACTTCGACAAGATCCAAATCAACACCGGCCAGCCATAAGCCCAAGGAGACGTCTTCACCCTATGGAAGATCCCACGTACATGCCCAATTGCCCGGTTATGGACCGGGACCGAGACCAGGACCGGGCTTGCGGGAATGGGCCGAAGAGGCACGCACCTGAAAGTGATGCAAATTGGGACTGGCGATGGACAAGAGTCGGAGGGCTTCGCGTGTGAGGACAGATCCAGATCCACAGGCAAAGGGGGCATATTGTGCGCCTGCCGGCCACCACAACGTCCTTGAACAGTCATGTAACGGGTGTCGACGCAGTCATGTGCAAGGGTCAGGCCACACACCCGAGTAAAATGACTCTGCCCATTTGCCGTGGCGTTCTACGGGCCAGTTGCGACGAAAATTGCCCCACCACATCGGACTGCCAGCACAGCCAGCGGTGTTCGTCCGTAAGCCGGATGAAGCAGGCACGAGAAGCTGCAAGACTCTACTTAGTGGCAATTTTCCGGCCGCACTGACCGTGTCGGTATTTGTAGTCGTTGCGCCAAGCCCGCGCGCAGCCTGTGCGAGGGCAGCGATGAGAATACTGCTGCGCCCGAAATACAGACGACACGATGTGTTGTTGATGTGCGCCTTTGCCTTTCCCAATGCTCACCGATCAACGTGGATGTAGACGTCATCGTCCGTCTTCAGGATGGCATCATACTCGTGTGCAAAAGCATAACGTGCAGCACTCAGCACCTTGGTCGGAAGCGTGCTGTCGTATTCAGGCGTGAGGTCGGACGTCACCAACATAACACGGCAACCAACGTCGGTGGCAAGCGCTTGGCACAAACCGGTATGCATCCTCGAGGCCATCTAGTAAGAGCAGGTCGCCGTGCCGTGCTGCTTCCTCCTCCAACGACGCATCTTCTGCCTATTGCCCAAAATGACGAGAGAAAACCGTGCTCAGCCGAAATGCTTAAAAGACAGACCGAGATCTGCAAACCAAAGTCCCACGCCGCCATTAGGGTCGCAGGTATAGCGACACTGGCGCACACCTGTAGCTGCAGGCGCTGAGCGCGATAGGCCTCGCTACGATTTTGGCTTAAGACGTCCAAGTGCTGCAGATCAGACCAGAAATTCATTTACCATCAAGCAAGCATCAAAATCACACTGAGCAAATATGCTGGACCCAGCTGTGCGCAAGTAGCAAAGCATCACGGACGACACACCTGCACCAGATCAAAAGGCGGCTGCCAACGAATATGCAACTAGATCATCGGTGACATGGGTTCAAAGCAGGGCGGGTCATTGACACGCGATACATTTTGCTGTAAAGGGTTGCTGTCCCCGCCCCTTGGCAAGGTCACGCCATTGAGATGGACGCACCATTTGTCCGGCCGCGCAGTTGCGCTTGTCAATGACCCAGGTCTCAGTCAGGTCTTCGCCAGGCCACTCCACCATCAGCGTATGTTGAGCCTCGTTGCCAAAGTCCAGCTCAGACCTCGAGAGCTTGATGACCTGCCGTGTCAGAACAGGAGCAAGTCAGCGAGAGTGAGCGTGCATCGCATAACTCGTTTGTGCCTGTCGTGAGACAAAACCCGGCTGCTTCGCACGACAAATCTATTCATGACAACATCTAGGCGCGAGAAAAAACGCAATTCGGTTGCGAGGCATCGTGGTACGCACGTCTGCCTCGGTGTAGGAGGTACACGGCTGGGTAGGGTCCCAGCGCCGCAGCACCAGGACGTCAAAAGTGGATCGGGCGTTGAGACGCAGCTTGTCGGTGCGAAAAAGCTCAATGGCGGGGTAGGAAACACCTGAGCGCCAGGCCAGACTGTAGGTAGCAGCAGGGGCTTGTCGCTCGGCCTGAAACGACATGGCAGGTCCGAGGGGCAAATTGGGCAGCTCTTCTGTGGGCAGAGTTCCGGCGGCCCGTCCGCCCAGGCCAGCATGGAACACCAGCAAGCCGCCACCCGTGTTCCAAGGGCCAGCCTCGGCCGCGAGGTTGTCGGCTCCTGCAGGTGGGGAAAGAGGCAGATATTCGGTGGGGCCTTCAATGGTGAGCACGCCGTCAAAATCACGGGGAAGGATTACGGGCTCAACGGGGAGCCAGTGCAAGCCACCGCGAGCATACACGCGAGTCTGGTGGGTGCCAGACAAGCGAGCCTCAACCATGGCTCGACCAGCGTGGCGGTCCCAAATCCGAATGGTGACGTCTGGCCGAGTAGATCCAGGTGAAATGGGTAGCCAGGCACCCAGTTCATAGAGAGTGAGCCAATGGCGGGTGGTAAAGTGCAGACCAAGAACTCGAAACTGGGGTGGCCAGGTCTGAGTTGGCCAGGGAAGTGGCTGGGCTGGCAGATGGATCGAATCGAGGCGCTGGTCTAGAATGGGCCGCATGGAAGGCGCTTCCCTGCACTCGTAAGGGCTCAGCCGATGCGCTAGAGGGATGGGGCATCCCGAGCGACCAATTATGAAGCGGTGTTCCAGCTGCCACGGTTGTATGCTGTCAGAAAGGCCAGGTTCCGATTCGTCGCCGGTATTGGTGTCAAGCAGTTGGGCCCAAGTCTCTCGGGCGGCTTGACGCTGGCTTGAATGTGAGCGGGCGGAGAGGATGGCTAGCAGGAGGCGAGGGCGCTTCGCGTGACTTGGCGACGTTGGCGGGGGGCGTTGAGGCCCAGGTGCCGTGGCGTTGAGCATGGTCTGCAGCTTTAAAAGCGCTTCGGTAGCCTCGGCCAGCGTTTTGTGTAGCCAGTGCTCTTGTGTGAGGCTGTCTTGGTTGCCGTGGTCAGAAAGCTGACGCTGAAGGGACGCAATCAACTGATTGGCATCCTTGCGTAGGCGGCGAGCCACGAAAACCGGATCTTGGGAGAGATACACCTATCGCAGCAAGCCGGTACAGAATCATTGTGTTTGTGACCATGCCGGACCAGCACTGCGGGCATGGTATGTGTATGCGTGTGTGCGTGTGTGGGGGGAAGGACATACCGCTGCAGATTCGCGCACAAGGTGACCAGGCAGGGGAACATCCTCACGGTTGCGATAAGCATTTGGTTCTGGCTCGCGTCGGGGTAACTGAGGATGCCTTTCGTCATTGGGCCAGGTCTGCTCGTCCTGATGCACCCGCGACGAGCCATGGGAGCCTGCGGAGTATGCGATGCCAGAGCATGCGTGAGCGGCAGCAAACAAATGCGACACAGGCGGCCCTGAAAGGACGATGATCAGACCTTGTTCCTCCTGGGCATCCGGTCCTGGCAAGAACCAGGTGGCTGCAATCAACGCGGTCAGGAGCAAGCACAGCAGGGCCCCGGCGAGGAGCATTGGCCCCCGCGCCCGCGACCATCGAGCCATTCTGCACTGGCTCAAGCTTCTCAAGACGATCTTGTGTGCTTGCGCGCATGCATCTTGCTGACAAAAAAAAGAAAGGAGAGAGAGTTTTCAGAGAGAGATTGAGAGAGAGATTGAGAGATCTTGAGAGATTGAGATCTTGAGATCTTGAGAGATTGAGAGATTGAGAGATTGAGAGATTGAGAGATTGAGAGATTGAGAGATTGAGAGATTGAGATCTTGAGATCTTGAGAGATTGAGAGATTGAGAGATTGAGAGATTGAGAGATTGAGAGATTGAGAGATTGAGAGATTGAGAGATTGAGAGATTGAGAGATTGAGAGATTGAGAGATTGAGAGATTGAGAGATTGAGAGATTGAGGAAAAACGACTGTCCTAGGAGCAGAGGAACATGGGCGCTGGAACACCAATTGAGGATGAAGCTGTAGAGATTAAATTTTGAGTTTTCCAATCAACAAAACCGCTTGGATGGGGTTGCCCTCAACGGAGCTGGCATGGACGCCTGTCCCACTCGGCAGAGGAGCAGTTTAGGAAAGGACCATCATGTGCGCCAATTTTGGGTCTGGCGAAGCCAAGTTGCCAAAGTTGCATCGACAGCAAGGTCAGCTCATGTGATTGCTTGATCATGTCGCTTGACTGCGAGAGGCAGAGCCAGCCTGGCGATCGCGTGTATGTATGTATGTGTGTGGAGGTGACGAGCAAACACACACACACACACACACACACACACACACACACACACACACGCGCGTCCACACAAGCAAGAAATGGTGTTGTCAACTTCAACAAGCCAAATATTCTATACATCTTTCATGAGGTCCATCAATGTAGTAGTAAAGGTGTACGCAAAACTATCTACATCATCTTTAATATTTGCTTCAACTTCTGCTTCACAACCGCCACGCCCTTTATGTCACAGTCCTTACCAGCCTCGCATCAAAATTACCACACTTGTGCATACGTTTCAAAGGTGATTCCTCTTGATAATGAGCACACGTGTGACACCTTGGGTTTTTTGGGGATGTGTGATCGTCGATGACACGCCCTCTCTGTCTCTGTTTTGTGGCTGTCTCTCTCTCTGGGTGTTTTTTGAGTCGCTCTCTCTGTCTCTGTTTCTGTCTCCCTAGCTCTTTTTCTCTCTGTGTTTTCTCGCCTCTCTGGTTATCCTTCAGTCTTCCCTATCTCTGTTTTTGTCTCTGTCTCTGTTTTTGTCTCTGTCTCTGTCTCTGTCTCTGTCTCTGTCTCTGTCTCTGTCTCTGTCTCTGTCTCTGTCTCTGTCTCTGTCTCTGTCTCTGTCTCTGTCTCTCTGTCTCTGTCCTCTGCCAAAATCGGCAACTGATCCGCGTGCGTGTTTTTTTTTCTCTCTTATTTTTCCCCAAGTGGGTTCAAGGTCGACGCGTGCCTTCACTCTGGGCCGTCGTCGTGGCTGCTGTTGCAAGGTGAGGGTTATGGACTCTGCATGGCTTGGCCAGAGGTTGCTCCGTCTTGTTGGTTTGGTACTGCCATTTCGTTTCCTCGTGTCTTGTGTGGGGGCGTCGATCTGTGTGATCTCCATAGGCTGTATGGGTTCGTTTGCTCATCGCCTCGTCCTGTGCGCTTTGCTGCTCCCATCTACCTCCCTGTCGTACTCGCAGCGCTGAAGGCTTACCCCTTAGATTGCCGCGTGCGTCTGGCGTTTGTGCTTTGGCCTGCCTGGCAGAAGACTTGACTTATTCTTTTTTTTGTCCTTGATTGGCTTTGCTCATCCCTGCGACCTCTGCCTTGCGCTTTGTTTGTGGGCCATCATCACGCAGCAGTGAGGCGGGTTCGCTTCATTGACCACGGTTGGTCATGATACCTACCTTGCTTTTTGCGCCTTCCTCAATGCCTGCTGCGGTCGAGTCAATTTAATCCTGGCTCGCGATCTCTCACCCGTCTTGTTTTTCGGTGATTCGATGCAGGGCCCTCGACGCGTGCTGGCGGCCCCGCCGCTTCCCGTCATCATGGCTCCCATGCGTCAAATCGGACCAATGTCCTTTGCTGGGGCCGAGGTCGAAGAGTCCTCGGCCCCACCCATTCACTACGGTGATCAGATCATTCTCTACGATGGCAAAACCGGCGGCTTTGTCTTCAACGAAATCTCGAGGTCAGCACGCTGATCTGACAACCCCAGGCCTCAGCCCCAACATCCCTTCTCAACAAACTTCGCTTCTGTTGCACCCCCCCCCCCCCCCCTTCCCCTCATTCTCGTGTGGCTCCAACATCTGGCACATTGCAGCACAGCACACGGACATCTCTCTGTCAACATCAATGCCACCCGCCAAGAGCCCAACCTGGGCAATGTTAAGGTACGTGCTAGGCCATGCCTCCATGTCGGCCTTCAAGCTCGGATTCGTCCCTTTTTCCAGCCCAATCTCCAGCCGATCTCACCTTTTTTGGGCAATGCTTCAACAGTCTGCTGTTTTTGAGGTCTTGCCTCAAGTCAAATACAAGTTTGCCAAGCACCTGCGCAAGCTCATTGCCAAGTTCCGCCAAAAATCCGTACGAACATTGCCTTGTCCCTTGCTGGCTCTACACAGACAACAAGGTCACTGGACTCATTTGACGACGACGACGACGACGACGCTTCGTCCACCTCAATAGGAGCTGAGCATCACTTATGAGCAAGCGCTGGATCGCGCTGGAAACATGGCTCAGGAGCTGCAGCGCCTCAAGCGACTCGCTGAAGCTGAAAACTCGGACAACGCTGGTGAAATCGATCGTCGTCGAGGCGATCCTGTTACCTACGGCCAAGTTGTACGTTTCGTTTGACCTGCAACCTCTTTTGCCACGTTGTCTGTGCTTGTCCACTTGCCAGCGCCCACACCTCAGGCGTCTCATCCCTTCCTCTGCATTCTACAGGTTTTGCTCAAGCACGCCTTCTCCAATCGTTTCGTGGCCGCTTCCGCCACCGAAACCTCTCGTCGCGAAACGAGCAACATGAAAGCCGATGTCAATGCTTACGCAACACGCAACTGCTTTTTCCGCGTCATGTAAGTTGTGCAGTACTCAAGCGCCTCAAATTCAGTCTCGCCATTTCCTAGCGCCAGTCGGCTCATGCTTGTGACACTGTACTAGGCCACGCTTCAAGGTTCGCGCAGAAGGTGATCCGGTCCGCGTTGGCGACCAGGTGCGTCTCGTTAGCTTTAAACGCTGCTGCTGTTGTTAGGCTTTGCCAATGCAACATGGCTATCGAATTTAACCGCTCTGGCCCCTTCCCCTTCCCACCCCGCTTTCTGCTTACTTTTCTTCCCCTTCTCATTATCGATCGCGCTTGCCAGATCGTCTTCGAGTCTCTTAAGACTCGTGGCCAATTTCTGCATACCAGCCTCAGTGTGCACCCCGAGTCCGAACCCGATGAAGGCTGCTATGAAGTCAACATTTCCGTCTCACAGACGGCTTACAGTGTGGTTGCACACGCCTCACACACGGACACCCTGACGACCGATCTGCGAGCCGGCACCGTCATCCAGCTCTTTCATAAAGAGACTTCGGCCTACGTGTGTGCCGAGGGGTTGTACACAACCATCGGCATCACCGAGGACGTCCACCTTCGTCGCCGCCCCGTCAACATTCGCCGAGCGCGCACCTTGCTACCCCCAACCTCTGGTGTTGGCTATTGGCAAATTGAAGATGCCGATCGCCCCCTCAGCGGTGAACGCTTGGCCTGGGATGCCGCGATTCGCATTCGCCACCTTGGCACCCGGCGTTACCTTAGCAAGGATCAAGCCGGCAATCTCACGTTGACACCGGACATTACGGACGAATCAACCGTCTTTCAGATCATCCCCGTGATTCGCAGCTCAGATATGGTTCCCATTGACTCCTATGCCCGCATTAAGCACAAAGCCACAGGTATGCTCATGTCCCAGGCCTTTGCCTTTGCACATGAGCTTTGCCGGTGCCTCACCGTTTTTGCTTGCACAATAATGAAATGTCGCCCCTAGGCACTTGGCTTCACGCCAGTGACACTGAGTACCGGCGCAAGGCGCGGTCAATCAAGCAACCCTCGACCGATATTGTCAGCCAAGGCCTGATCGATCGCACTTCGGTATGCTGTTGGCTTGTCCGCCCAGCAGGCCCTCTTTGCCCGTATGCTCGTTCCTGTGCACCCACCTTTGTTGAACCAACCATTTGCTTGTTTCAACTACTCAGGCCATCACATGGGACGGCGCTACACTGGCTGAATTGCAATTGTCAGAACGACGACTCTTTGACGACGCCTTTATCATTCGCACCGTGCCCGCCGACCGCGAGTACAACTGCAAGTACGTCTCTTTTTGCAGCATTAGTTGTGCTCACACCTCGCTCTTGGTCGCGTTTCTCTCTTCCTCTCTCTTTTTCCCTGTGATTCACAAGCAATTTACTTACACCATCTTGTGGCGCGCGTACAGTTTTGTTCTTGGCATGGCGCCTTTGATCGATTGGTATGCCAAGATGCGCTTGCAGACCGACGTAGGCGTCATTGAGGCGGACCCATTTATCAATGGTAGGATCTCTTGTGCAGCGGTTCATCGCATCTTTTGTGCCTGTTGTGATCTTTTCCAACGCGACCTTCCCGGTCATCGAGCACTGCGTTCGCCCACCCATTCATCTTTCACTTTGTCCACTCTCATGCGTACTGTTGCTCAGCACTGCGCGAGCTGTCAGCCTTTATGTTCGACAAGGGCGCACGAGTTCGCGTGCGACAGAAATTGCTTCGCAACTTTGCCATCATCGAGCTTCTGATCAAAGTCTTGAAGAGCCCCTTCGATACATTCAACACGAGCTCGTCCGCCATCACCTTGGAGGCTCTCAATGATCAAGCCAATGCGACTACTTTGGTTTGCTGCTCGCCTGCAACTGCATGACACTCGCACGAGATTTGAGTGTTGCCATGTGACTTTCCTTCCGTGGCAGATCCAGAATCTCATCTACGCCCTCCTCTTGGTTTATCTTTTGCTTGCTTGCACCAACCAACCAGAGCGTCATGGATGCTGCTTACGGCGTGATCCAAGCTTATTTAACGGGAGAGTCACGCAAAAATGAGCTGTACCTTGCGCGCCACATTCCGTTTTTCCAGTCGCAAGTTGGCGCGCGTCTTCGCGTCGAGGCCATGTACACCGAGCTTGTCCTGGACAACACCATGGTAAGTCTCATGTATTCTATGATGCAACTTTCAGAATGGGTCCTTCCTTGCGTCCTTAGGCGCTTTCGGTTGTGGCAAGACCTCACTATCCTCGCTCGTCTCTGCTTTCGACACTGAACAGCTGGTTCGCGCCATTGGCAAACCAGAGATCAGCCGCTTCGTGACCTTGTTGGTCAACGACAAGAATCCTGATTACCTAGACTTTCTGGGCGCGCTCTGCGAATGCGACGGTTTGTGGTGCAACTGTTGCCAAGATCCAGGCGTTAGCATGATATCTGCTGTGTCTAATAATTCGTGGCCGATCAACCCTCGGCACATGTAGGTGGTCCTCTTGCTGACAATCAAAGTATCATCTGCGACATGTTGCTCAAGGACAAAAGTATGTCGCTGCTAGGCATTCTTCCTGCCTGCGTGCCGGCATTTTCATGCCCTGTCTTTGGCTTGCTGTACCGCAGCTGCTCATTGATGTAACCGTTTTGCTTGCTGGTATCTGATTTCTCACCTTATTAGGAACGGTGTACCTCACCGAGCTGATGGATGAGCAAGATCGGGTCAAAGTCAGCCTCGATGCCGGCCGCAGATGGCAGCCGCTGGACCAGTTTGCCCTCTCTGGTATGGACGAGGACGATTCGACTTCGTCACAGTCATTCCTCTTTTTGCAGGTTAGTGCCAAAACCCAGATTATTTCAACCAAGCGCCGCCGACTGCCGTGCGATGGCCTGGGGCAGATGTGGCACTCACGGTTTGTGGCCCTTGCTTAGAAACAATTGGAGCTTTTTGGCAAGTTATGCTCAGGCCGCAACGAGCATTGTCGCAACGTCATTGTCAACGAACTCAAGTATCTCACCTTTGAGGAGTGCTTCACTTGCGTTAAATCGGAGCGCATTCCCAAGTCGCTGCGTGCTCGCTACGTCAAGCTCTTGGCCAATCTGTTCGTTGACATTGACCAGAACCGGTAGGTAGCTTGGATCTTTCACACTAGCATAAAAACCTCATCGATCCGCGCCACGCCTTGTGGTGCGGGTGCCTTCTCAACCATGTTCTTGGCGCTGGGCAGGGATCTCTTGGAGATTGTTACAACCGCGTACAAATGGTCTTCACTCTCAGCCAACCCCTTCCGGGACGCGGCGGAAGATCGATCAGTCAGCATTTCGGGTGCACGCTTTCCTGAGTTCAAGGTTATCTCAGACTGGATCATCAAGTATCTGGGTGCACAGGTATAAGCCTTTTCCCTCCCTCCTTCGTCTCTGATTGCGCCTTTAATCCCCCCCTCCCCCCCTTTTTCTTTCTTTTATTGTACACAAGACTGGGTCGCTTTGTTTTCGCCGTCTCACGTATGAAAGTAAAAGATTGGGCAACCACACCTACCGCGCTCATCCTCCGTCTTGCTTGAACGCTCGCGCGCAGGAGGCAGTGGTGCAAATCGATCGTGCCAACAACCGCCTCTTGGCTGAGGTGCTGAGCTTGGTCGAGCTCCTCGTGTCGTTTGGCTACTACGTAGCCCCAGACGACATTCGCATGTTGATGAAGCCGCTCCGATCAGTCGCAGATGGCCTTAACGACAAACCCAACACTACTGAGAGCAACGATAACCAAGAGTGGAAGTTCAATGGACGCTACGAACGCAGTGGAGACAATGCTGTTGTGGCCAAGGTCAAACAGAGCGCACTGCGTGTCATCGATGTATTGCTCAACTTGACATTTAGCGTGCGCCTCCAGGTATTTGCACCTGTCTGGGCGTCTTCGACGCGGCCGATTCCTGATAGTGAACCAGGACCGCTCTGCTTGGCTGATGTGATGTCTTTTCTCTTGTCTGATTCGTGCTGTGTAGCACTTGTTGACCGATTTCAAGTACTATAAGCAGCTCAATGTGGATCCCGATAAGACCAAGCAAACGATGAGCCGTAAAGTGAAGTCGGTGATGGACAGCGGGACCGCAGGCCCATTCTTCACCATGTTTCAACAGCTCATGAGTGCCGAGACCGATGATCAGCTGTTTGCTTTGACGGATACAGTGCGCAAGTACATCAAAGAGATGTGCAAGGCCTCGGACTGGCTTACAAATGGCTGGGAACCTGCCGAGTATGTTTCGTTCTACTCAGAAACTACATTTTTTTTTTTGGTTGATTTTAATGATTTAATCGCTTTTCTCTGGGTACATCTTGAGGCTTTTCTTGGACGGTATTGGTGACGGCGCTTTTCGGCTCTTTTTGCCTGCTAGAACGCACCGCAACGAGTTGGTCGACGTTTTGATGGATCTTGGCCATTACGAATACCCCGAGCTGCTGACCACAGCCATGAACATTTGCAATCGCCTCTTTATGAGTCGTGATGATCTTTTCAACCTTGCCGTACAAACTCAGGTGCTGACCCATCCCGGTACGTGCCAGTCACCATGACATCATGGCCAGCTACATCATGCCAGTCTGCTTCTGATTTTCGATTGCAAACTCCTCTCATGCTGCCGACCCAATATCCTAATGAACGAATTCCCAGACTCACTGCAGTTGCAGCAGCTACTGGACGAAACCGTTCATGTATTGCGCCGCCAAGCAACCGGATTCATTGAGCGTCACGAGTCCGAGTGCGTGACAAGCATGTTTGCCAACGTTTTGTCTCGGTTTTGGTACATTTTAGTGAGGGGAGGCATAACAATGGCTTTTGACCATACTCAAGCTTTTTTGCTTGTGTTCGCTTGCCCTTATCGTTAGGAGTTTCCTGTCCAGCCTGAAGGAGCTGACACAAAAATGCTACTTGTCGCCTGATGATGAAAGCAGCCCTCCTCACGACATCAATCAAAAGATCATCTACAACTCAGGCATCCTTCATGTGGTTTTTGACGTGTTGGCTCGGCACCACGAGGGCGTAAGTTGACACTCACTTCCACTTGACCAGCGCCTGAGCGACTCCCCTTTGCACAAAAGAATTAAACACTTGACTCGTACCATGCCGCTTTCTTTCAAACGTGACTGGCAGCCTCACCTATCACCTCGCATGCACTGCAGTCTGGGCAGCCCATTGAAGTGGTTCAGCACTGCTTTTACTTTTTACGTGCCTTAGCCCGAGGCTTTCCCGAAGTTCAAGAGGTCAGCAAGCGCGTGCCTGCTGCTCTCTGGCCAGGCAGGAGCGATTGTCCAGCCTTCTTTTGAGTTTTCTTTTGAGCAAGACTGATCTCGTCACCGCTTGCGATTGCGTCAATGGTCTCAATATTGGCCTGTTGTGTATTCAACTGCTGCCTTAACAGGCCATGTTCCATGAGTTTGATACGCTCGTCGGCATCGACATTGAGATCAACGGCTGGCAGGACAGCATGGCCTATGCCATGACCGAAGTGTTCACCGGCAACCGCAAGATCTGCCTCGCCGTGCGCGCACGTGTAAGTGGCAGGATCGCTGCACAGCAGCCCGAATTGCGCCCGCGGCTCTCATCACACGCTTCAATGCACCGCCTCGCTAGCATGTGGCCAGCATCATTGAGCTGCTCCAGCGCAGTTCAACGGAAGTGCCAAATATTTTGAAATTGCTTGAGGCAATCACGAAGGTGGAGGAGCTCAACTTGCCTTTGAAGAACAATCAATCCACCGTATGTTTGCCGCACGCCTTTGTTCTACACTTGTGTCAATGCAGGGTGTCGTTCACCTTGTGCTTTATGCATGGGCCTGCAGGTCGTCAAATTCTTGATGGAACATCGACAAGAAATCATCGCCCCGGCCTTGATTGACGACGAGGGCAATTACGAGCTCAATCAGAAGCGCCTGGCTCTGCTGCGCTCCCAGTTTAGTGTACGTTGTTGTTTGTTACTCTAGCAGATGCCCATGCATACAGTCACAGCGGACATATCTTCGTTTTATGCGTCCGTTCTCCACGTCAATTTACGACGCGTTGCCATGCCTTTTCCAAACGCCAGGCTGCTGAACAGAAGGATCGCACCTACCATTGCAACTTGGTCTCGTTGCTGGCCGCGTGCGCTGAGGGCGAGAACAAATACATCGAGTCCATGTGTCAGACCATCTTCTCCATCGACGAAATTCTGGAGGTGCTCAAGGTGAGCGTGCTGCTACTCGCCGTTTTCACCGTTACATGCGCGATGACGACCGTGCGATGACGACCGTGCTTCCCGGTATGTGAACCATACCGCGGGTATCTCACCGTTTTTCGACGGCACCCCGCCGGCTGCTGGACGCTTGTTAGGATGACATCATGGATGATTTGGTCAAGTCGAGTTATGTCCGCTTTTTCCACTGGGTGTACTTGAACACGGGCGAGGCGAGCGCCGCTCTGGTGGCTGCTCGTGTGCCGACCAATCTCAACGTGTGGCAAGCAATGAAGGTGCTCACTGCGGCCCCTTGCTTCAAGACGACTGACTACCTGAAGCCCGAGGAATACGATTTTACGCTTCATGGGGTGGTGCCCATGCTTTACAAGGTTCGTGACGTGCGACAAGCCGCCCGCTGCTTTGGGCATAGTAGTAATACTAGGTGTTGCTCAAACTCGTCCCCCTTTGCCTTTGTTTTCCTCTCCCTCAGTTGATGCAAGACTATTACACCACGGATACGTCTCCAGAGATTCGCAACTGTGCAGCCGAGTTTGCTCGCAGCCTCAGCACCTTTGCAGAGAATCACCTTGGCAAACTTGGCGACCACAACGATGTCAAGGTGCTTGCGTCCTGTGTCATGGCCGTGGCTGCCAAAGAGCCCTCACACGTACGTTGCTCATGGGTTGCGGGACCACCTTGATCATATTTCGATCCATTGTTTGACCGTTTAATGTTACATGCGCCACCATTGCCAATGCAAACTTTGACTTGATTGACTTGCCATGCAGATTCGACAACCGCTTCTGGACCGCATTGCTGATAAGTTGGAGAAAATTGATGCGGGCATCAATGATGTCCCCATCATTGCAAAGTATCGGTCCCGCTACGCCGAGGAACTCGAGCTCAATCACGAGTTTAATATTTTTGCCCTCCGTCTGCAGCGCTCATACAGTGGTGCGTCCGCTGCTTGTGATGCACAAGCACATTGCGAGCTATTAGTCCTAAGCCTGTCACCTCGTGCACCTCCATGCTTGTAGGTGTAAACACCATTCGCCAACAATTGCCACACGCCAATGTTTCGCCCGAACTGGCCCGCGAGGCGTACTGCGAGGACGAGGAAGAAGATGAGGTGCCATCACCCATTGCCTTTTCTGTCTTCATCTCATCGTGCGCACATGGCGAGATTCACCATGCCATCTCTGACTCATGCCTGGACTTTCGTTGCTGGCGGGCACCTAGGCGCTTCCGCTCTCTCCCGAGTTCCAAAACCAATTGTTGCTCTTCCAGCGCGATCATCGCCAAGAGCCATTGCGATGCAACGAGAACGTGAAGGTTTTGATCCGAGCGCTAAACGAGGACAGTGAGGACACGCAAGGACCTCCGAACAGCTTTCTCGAGTCGCGACGCGTTGTGCAGCTGCGCCGCTCGCTGCAGCTCATTCGTGGCATCATCCACAATGCTCTGCGAATGGACAAGGACCCGGAAGAGCTGCAGAATGACCTCTCAGATGCCATCCTGCCCGTGATGAATCTTATGCAGCATCGGGACAACGAGGTCGTTCGCGAGGTTTTGGCGTGCATGGTGGCTTTGCTGACCAATGGTCACCGCGTGGTACAAGGGTACGGGCTGCTTCTCCTTGGCTTTTCTTGTTTGCGTCATTTGCTTTTGCTTTGGATGATTTGCCCCAACGCGGATTTCGGAACCAGGCCTCATTTGCAGTGCTTTGCACTACACCATTTCTGTTGATTTGCCTCAGGCAAATCGAGAATTACTTCTTGAACACACGAGAGGAGCTGTTTTTCGAAATAACGCAAGCGCGTATTCGAGCATCCATCGAAAGCTTGAGCGAGCTTCGCTCACTCAAGCGTCAGGCCCAAGAAGAGGCGGCTCGCCGAGCCAAGCTCCTGGGCACCATGACCATGGCAAAGCAACTGCATGTACGTAGTAAAACGCCAATAGCTCGAGCTCACTTTTCAATAATACGCTCGTGTCATTTGGCCTCGATGTGTCCTCTTGTAGGCGTCGCCAACCGCTGAGACCGCCTTTGGTACCAGTAAGGGCGGAGTGCGTGCTGGCACCCGCGGAGCTGGCACACGTGGCAAGGTCTGTGTTGGATTACTCACCCCCGCATTTTTTTTTCTTGTGTGTGTGTGTGTGTGTGTGTGTGTGTGTGTGTGTGTGTGTGTGTGTGTGTGTGTGTGTGTGCGTGTGTGTGTGTGTGTGTGTGTGTGTGTGTGTGTGTGTGTGTGTGTGTGTGCGTGCGTGCGTGCGTGCGTGCGTGCGTGCGTGTGCGAGCCAGAGAACCAACTGCGCATCCTTGCCCATCATCGTGAACATGAACCCATCTCACATTTGATCGCGCGACACGATCACTCTTCTGTGCAATGTGCGATTGGTCCATCTATGATAATTCAGAGCCGTGCTGGCACTGTCAAGACAGGCACAGCTCGGGACAAGGCGCGCACGGCGGTCGAAGATGAGTATTTGATCGAAGACTCAGAGGTGCGATTGCTCAGTGTTTGACCAGCCGTTTTTTTTGCGGTGAAGTTACTTCGTTATGAGGCTTAGTGACGGCCTGTTTGCTGACTATGCCCCGGTCAATGTAGGATGGCATCGACGTGCGGGACGATGGTAACATTGAGCTGGTGTTGCGCGTTCTTCAGTACATGTGTGAAGGCTTTAACATGCAGCTGAAGGCCTATCTGCATCATCAACCCGACAACATTCGCTCCATTGACATCATCACTGAAACGTCCGAGTTTTTCGGTTCTATTATCGAGCAGATCACGGCAAACAGCATTGAGCTCGTCACCCAGACCGTGGAGACGCTGGTAGAATTTGCTCAAGGCTCATCCGTGAATCAGATGGCGATCTTCAACGCCCACATTGTCGACTACCTCAACGCATTGCTGCGCACTTCAAAGCTACCCGGCTGCAATCCTCTGCAGGTACATTTACGGCCAAAATCAAGCACAAAGGATTGGAAGATGTCAACTCATGCTGTGTGGTGCCATTCTTCAGGTGGCCACCTTGATGCTGTCGTGCACGCGACTAGTCTTGTCGCTGCTCGAGAACAATGACATACGAACTGGCACCATGGCCAAGCAACTTGTACGATGATTGTTTCTATTTGCTCCCCTTTTTCTTGACTTCATTGCCGTTGCTGGTCGTTGTTGGAGCCGGCGTCCATGACTAACCGCTCCTTGGATCGGAGAGAAACGCTCAAGGCATCTTTTTACAGTCTCATCTGGACCTGTATTTCACCTTCTCTGGGAATTGTGCGTGTGTAGGAAGCTACTTTAGACTTGCGTAAAGTGACGGAAATGCTCTTCGAGTACTATAAACTTCACAAGACGGTGCGTTGGAACCCGCGAGGCCGAGGCTTGCGATTACCTCCTTTCCTCACCCGACTTTTTTTTTTTTTTTTTTTTTTTTTTTTTCTTTTTTCTTTTTTCTTTTTTTTTTTTCCTTTCTTCTCTCTTTTTGTTTTCTTCTTTCAATGTTGTAGGAGACTGACGAGCAATGGGAAATTTTTGTCAAGGACAGCGATGATGTGAGCGAGATGACCCGAGCCGTCGAAGTAGGGTTTTCCTTCTTTGAAATCCTGAAGCGCCTATCGGACTTTACCGGCGTGGAGTACTGGTATGATCCAAAGTACTGGGATCACGCCCATGAGCTGCAGCGTGATGTGTATGGACGTATTGAGGTATGTGTGCCGAGTCGTAGATTCACATACCGCGCGTGTTTTTTACCGGCCATTCGGCCATTCGCTTGCTTATCATGTCGTTCGACCTGACTTTAGAATGAGGGTGTCAATTTTTTCCTCAAGCGATGCCGCTCTGTGGAGATTTTTCGGGATGACGGCGTTCACCGCGTGCACTTTTTCAACAAGTGGCCCGGCCAGGTCTGTGTGCGGGAGTCACGTCAACGAGTATTTTTCCTGTTGAGTCGGGCTATCGTTTGTGACTCGTGGCCCACGCTGATCATAAACGACGCCTGCTTGCTGGATTCAGCTGGGTGATGATATCAAGGAGAAGCTTGTGTGGTCGGTCGACCGCAGCTCGCCGGCTGATAAGATTCGCGACTTTGTGGAGAAGCTCAATGTAAGATCTCTGCCCCTTTGTGCAGTGCAAACCAAGCAGGGTTGGAGGAAGCGACCTCCTCTTGAGTACTGCGGCAGCAAGTGCAGTGCATTGCGGCGACCTCATTCGCTTCCGCCGATCTGTGGTCGTGACACTGGCAGGTGGTGATTGCCGATACCCGCTACCGAGCCAGCGTCGCCCGTGGCTGGCTTGTGCCCTTTTTGATTAACCACCGTGTCGCCTGGTCTCGAGGTCGGCTTGTTACTGTCCTGGCCGCACGCAGCCGTGATCGCACGCGGTGCATCTCTGTGCAACTGCTGTTTGTTTGCTATTCCTCGTCTTTAACACCAAACTTACCTTTTTGCACTTTGCGCACCCATCTAGGCCTGCTGCTCTTTACCATTGCACTGAATGTCTGCATTCTGGTGGCCTGGGATGCCCCCAGCCGCAACAGCCAGAATGACTATGTCATCAAGCCCAGCCTCTCCGACGCTCCTTGGTGAGCCTTGTTTGGGCCTGCTCTGGAAGCCCAATGCTTTGTTGCTCATTTCTCGTCCTATGACCGTGGCATTGTCTTGGTATGTTGTGTGCCGACAGGTTTGACACGACGCTTTGGGCTCTGGGTGCCTTTCACCTTTTCTTTGCCTTAATGACCGTCATGGCTTATTTTTCCATCAACGTTCCCTCACTTTTTTACACCCTCTTGTAAGTTTGCATTGACTCGGTTTCCCGCATTCTGCGCTGGTTTGACGATTGGAGCAGCTGTCGTGGTAGATCCACCTGCTCACTACTGATGTATCTGTAGGCCGGTGTCCAATCTGGTGTGCCGCATCCTGCGCTGGTTCATTGGAGAAACCTATGCGCAATGGATTCGCGAGCAACTCGAGCCCTACAACCCGACCAACCGCACTCTGACTTCGCTCTTCTCGCCCATGCCGTTCTACCATCTCATGCTCCTCGGCTTTTCAATTGCTGGCTTGTTGACCGAGGGCTACTTCTACCCATTTCACCTCCTGGTGCGTAGTCGTGCACTCTATAGCTCTGGCAAAGGTGGGCTCACTGTTAGTGCCTTCCGCTCTGTAGCACGTCGTGGTGGGCAACGACATCTTGCTACGCGTGATTGAGGCTGTCACCAAGAATGGCATGTCGCTGCTCAACGTGGCGATGCTGGTAAGAGGCGCTGTAATTGTTCGGCTCAAGAGCGCGCTCGAATTGGTGTGCTGGCCGTTTCTCGAGGCGTGTGCCCGATCATCTGATGCGCTCCGGCTCTTGACTTGCCCCACAGTTGTGCATCATCATTTACATCTACTCCTTCATCAGCTTTGCCTTTTTGCGAGAGGAGTTTGATCAAGGCGACGGCTACTGGTGTGGCAGCCTTCGCGAGTGCTTTGTCACTTCGCTCAAATGGGGTCTACTCAATGGTGGTGGCCTTGGCGAGGGTCTCATTCCTGAAGATGAGGATTTTGAGCGCTATGTGGGCCGCGCAGTTTTTGATCTGTCCTTCTTCATTCTGATTACCATTGTGGGTCTGAACTTGGTCTTCGGTATCATTTTGGACACCTTTTCTGAACTTCGAGACGAACGCTACCAGATTCAAGAAGCCATGGACGGCGAATGCTTCATCTGCAGCCGCAAGAGCTATGATTTTGAACGCTTCGGCAATGGCTTCCACCATCACATTAAGCACGAGCACAACATGTGGAGCTACTTGCTCTTCCTTCTCCACCTCCGCGAGAAGGACGCCAACGATTATACGTCCCATGAGTACTATGTCAGCGAGCTGCTGCGTCGTAATGAGGACGTGCAGTTCTTCCCCATCAACCGTGCCCTCTCGTTGAGCAAGACAGATGAGCAAGACGATGTGGCCGATACGCTTGTTGCCTACCGTCGCCTGCTCACGGACATGGACGACCGCATGACCATGCTGACTCACCTGGTGCAAGACGTTGCGGCTCGCATTTAAGGCGTGCACATGCGTGAATGCGTGAACTCTCTGCCTGATTTTTTGGTCCATCGAGATGCCTTTTAGCATGAACCCGAGTCATGGAAGTGATTTGTGCTTGGATGGTGGTTCTTGTTGAACCTTTCTTGTGAAATAAATCAATAAAATAAAACTTACATGGTGTGGATTTCAAATGACATACACAATCGATGATGAGTGACTATACATGGATTCGTTTACAGTAGTGGGGGCTCTTTGGCGAACAGGTCTCTTGCGCAGGCCGTCAGCGGCCCAAAAGTCAATCAGTGGGCAAGCGAGAGAGCTGAGAATGGAGCTTGCTGTTTTCGAAGAGCAAAAGGCCATTTGGCCAATGTTGTTGGGTATATGCAACGATTTCGGGCAGAAGTTTGGTGACCTGCGAACATACCATACCACTTTGAGCAAAACTTTGACAATCCAATAAAGGAGATAGGGGTGACGAGAGAGGTCGCAGGTGACCAACAAACCTGTTGTGGCTGTTGGACCAGGCCTCGACAACGACCGGCAATCCATTCTGCAAAAATCGCCAGGTGAAGCTGAAAGAAGAGCATGAGTCTGCCTTCATGGCGCATTGTGAATGGAAACAGCGCAGGATTGGCGTGGCGCTACCTTGGCCAGCATCAAGTTGTCACTTGGCACGCAGGCAAACAGGTACACGAAGCTGTAGGTTTTGGGCGAAACGCAATGAAGTTGTGCCGGCACCTCGGTGTTTCAGCCCCACAGCTCTTCCAAGCGACATGTGCAGCGAATCAAGCGATCAGAAAGCACCTGCCAACACTGGTCCAGGCCAAGGCCAGCTCCTCGCCTCCTTCAGCTGCGGCGTCAAGCCTAACGTTTTAGCATTTATTGAACGGATCAGTGGGAACCTACGTGCGCAAAGGTTTGGCTTGCAGCGAGGCAGGGCTTACCGACACAGGCCCGCTAGCGTCGTACTGGATTGAACAGCAAAGCACAACATTCCACAGGCCAAGGGTGAAAGTGAGGACAGTCGCTCGATGTGAGTCAGGTTGGCGCAACGCAGGCATTGGCGGCCGGGCAGAAATGCATTTGAGCGTACCGATTTGAGGTTTTGGCTAAACATGACCACTCAAAACGGTGAGCCTCAACAACAGCCCCAATAATCTGAGTTCCATCGATCAGAGCGGCAGCAGTCGGTGCATGAGGAAAGCCGCAGCACACTTCTTGTGCAAATCTTGCACAAATGCCTCTTACTTCAGCTTGCTGCAAATCTTGGCGCGTACGCTGAAGCTCGACCTCAATGTCCTCCGTTTGCACAGTCTACGACCGTACCAAAATCAATTGCAGATGAGAAGAGTCAAGCGCCCCCCGCCGCACACTCGATTGCGCACCTTTGCAGCGCCATGGTACGTCTCCCAGAGCAAAACGTCGAATCCATCCAGCTCCTCGTGCGGCTGCACGATCCCAAACGCCAACACCATCCTGATCCAACGCTGCGCTGCAAAGTCGCCCCTCCAGATGGGTGCCCCGCTGCACGACTGGGACAACTGTTGGTGTACACGCTCGGGCCTCAAAATTTTAAAAATTGCGAGCACACATGAGGATTCTCTGTTTTCTGTCTCTCTGCTGTCTGTCTCTGTCTCTCTCTGTCTCTCTCTCTGTCTCTGTCTCTGGCTCTCTCTCTCTGTCTCTGTCTCTGTCTCTGTCTCCTGTCTCTGTCTCTCTGTCTCTGTCTCTGTCTCTCTCTCTCTGTCTCTGTCTGTCTGTCTCTGTCTCTATCTCTGTCTCTCTCTCTCTGTCTCGCTCTCTCTCTCTCAGAAATATTATGATGGAGGGGTCGATTTTATTTTACCCAGTACGAGTCGAGTGACGCAACAGCAACAGCATCATCAGGTTCGGCATCACTGGGGGCGGGAAGGGCAGTAGCTGGGGGCGCTTTGAGGCGCTTGGGCATTACCGCTGGGCCTGGGGATTGGGATTGGATGTATGCGGTTCTGCCTCGCGTTTGTGATCTGCCTGTCTGCCTGTCTGTCTGTCTGTCTGTCTGTCTGTCTGTCTGTCTGTCTGTCTAGTCTTTTTTTTTTTTTTTTTTGTTCTCACTTTGTTGTTTGCCAGCTTGCAGCAGCGCCGCACAAACAGGAGCAGGCAGCGTCGGCCTCTTGACGCACAGCCGACCATTGGGCTGACCCGCACCGACGCTGCAGCTGCAGGCACCAACCGCTTTCAATGTATACTGGCTACCTGCACACCCACACATGCCTGCCGTCAACGCCCCATACGCACCCAATCTCTCACGATCTGATGGCTTGTGGCTGTGCATCTCAGGTTTCGCTGCTGTCGCGGTTCCGACCGGCAACAGGCCGAGCGCTCGAGTCAAGGCACGAGCAACGCAGCATCAGACTTGAGTGACTCGACTGGTACGCTCATCAGCTGTTGCGGCGTTCAGCTGACTGGTACCGCTGAACACTCGTTTCTCACGGCCAAATATTTCGACTGACAACGCCCTCTTACTCGTGGACCCCTTCTGCCAGAATCCTCGAATGCAACCGCAGCGGCGCCCTTGATCCCGGCTTCTCATGACTCCGTGTATGGGGCACCCAACTCTTCAACTTTAGCACCGCTTTCGCCTCGCCCAGAGAGCCCAAGTCTGACAGGCTTATCTCAACAGAACCGCACAGATCCAGTAGCGGAGTCACGCTCGCCCCTCGCGTCCTTCTCGCAAACCACCTCAAATGAAGCGAGTTGGGGTCAGGCCATGCATCGCATGCTTTTGCAGCGGGTAAGACTGATGATGGTGGACATGTGGTACACCTTTTTCCAAAAAGAATAAATGAATAAAATAAAAATATCCCATGCCCGCCGCAGAGTTTTGCCGAGCTGATCCAGCCTCACATCGTTTTGCCATGACTCATCTGTGAATCTGGATAGCAACGCCTTGACCCCGTATCCCGACGCATGCGAGCATGCGTCCGTTCGATGCTACATGATATTCCCAACGCTGTGACTGAGTACGATTGCTTGTTCAGGCAGCCGGTGGTCGCTGATGGAAGCGTTGCTGGTGTTCCCCTAACCCAAATTTGTTTTTATACCACGCCACGAAGAGGGTTTGATATGCCCGGTCTCTTGGGAATCGAGGAAATGATCGAAGACGATGGTAAGCATGTCGATCAAATTTTCTGCGTCCGATGGCTCGCGCTCGCACGCTCATCTACATTTCTTGCCTCGGCCAACGTCAGAAAAGCACTGGAGACCATTACTGGAGAGCATAGTAGATAGTGCATCACCCATGCATCCATTTGGGCCCGTTTTAATCAGTATCATTATCGATGCAGCTCCACTTCCTTCCATGGTATGCTCAGTAAAGCTGGAAGCAAGCGCCTCAAAGGGCTTGGCGCGCTACCAAGTCTCCTCACTTAACCATCGGTTTCTCTTGCCTGCATCAGAATTGTGTGAGCACGTACATCACGCCTACGCTCGACCGCCTCGTCGCGGTATGTAGAGCTTCATTCGCAGCTCGATTGGAGCCTCGACCCGAAGCCGGAGATGTTATCTCAGGGATATCATTATATCCGTTTCTTGCACCCTGTCCGAATACTCCAAATGTGGTTTTTGGCACATGACCTTCGTTGTCATTCACTTAGGCTGCGAACAACCCTGCCACCGTTTGCCTTGTATGGGCTGGACTCGCAGACCGCTTACCAGGTACGCCTTTGACATTCTCTGCTTGCGGCTGAGCATCAAAGCCCCTGCCTCCTTGCCTTACCTGGTCAATGGAGCAGGCCGCGTGGCCGAACTACTCCTGTCGGAACAAGCGTTGTCCTTTCTCAAGACGCATCTCGAAGTGCGAGGTACAACCATCATCATGGATCTGATTCTGGTTGATTCTCGAAGCAAGAGGGTTTGTCTTTCTTGGTAGGCAGGCTCATTAAATGTACCGCTGCACCTTGTGTAGATGAGAGGCTACTGATGAACACTCACGTGGCCCTTTTGGCCTGTGAGATGTTTGCACGAACCAAAGCCACCCAGGTCAAATTGACTAAAGCCGGCCTCCCAGAGGTAAGCGTCGAGGCGCTTGTGCACTCCTCCTAGCATAGACTTGCGCTCGAGACAGTGGCATGAACTTTGTACTCGAGCCTCGTGACACCTTTTTTTTTTTTTTGTGTGTGTGTGTGTGTGTGTGTGTGTGTGTGTGTGTGTGTGTGTGTGTGTGTGTGTGTGTGTGTGTGTGTGTGTGTGTGTGTGTGTGTGTGTGTGTGTGTGTGAACAGCTCTGTGCCGCGTTGGAGGAGCAGCACTACCGCATGGACGCAAGCACGTCCGACGATCGACTTGAGACAGCCTTTCTTAAAGTACAAGTGCGTACTCTAAGCGCTTCAAAACGTCGAGGCCATGCCCCTCTCTCCCTGTCCCTCTCTTCCTTTTTCTCTCTCCCTCTCTGGAAGGCCCCACCGTGCTGGGAAGTAAGCGCCTCGCTCACAACCCGATCTTTGTGCTTTAGATTGGCTTCAATGCAGCCTGGCTGCTGGACAACGTCCTGCCGCTTCCGAGCCGTGAATATGCAACCAAACGTGTAGATCTGAAAACAGTCAACGTGATGCTTGATTACAAAGATGCCACTGCTGTGCGTTGATGGTGTTGAACAAAAGGCTGTTTCCGCTTATTAACCCTCTTCTAGCTTGTTAACCCTTTTCCCATTCAACTTGCTCACTTCACCCTGAATATGCGACATATGTCTTCACGATGCTCTCTCACAGAGGATGAAATTAGCCCCAAATGGGCTTGAAGCACGTAATGACTCGTTCGATTTTGCTAGTGTTCGGGTACGGCGGCCTTGCATTCAGCGCCAACGCGCGCTTTACAGCTGTTTGCTGTTATTTTTCCTGAAAGTCCCTCCTCACAATCAACAATTACCAGGCAACAGTGTCAACACGGCAGAGTGGAACTTGGTACTATGAGGTGCTTTTGCTGACGGACGGCATTATGCAAGTGGGCTGGGCTAGCCAACAGTGTCGCTACCAAGCTGCTGAGGGGTTTGGCATTGGAGACGACGAGTTTTCCTTCAGCTTTGACGGCGCTCGACAGCTGCTGTGGCATGATGCACAGCCGCAGGCTTGCCCATTGCGCCGCTGGCGTAAAGGTGCGAATCTCCGACGCATCGTTAAGAACCGCCATTCAGTCTCCTCATGTTTCAAGTTGGGCGATTCTTGGAATAGGCGACGTGGTTGGATGCTACGTGGATGTCGAGCGACAGATGATGCGCTTCAGCGTGGGTGGGGCCCATACCGAATGGATGCGCTTACCTGAGACCATCGACGCCAGCTACGGTCTCTATCCTGCCATTAGCCTCATGACCGCGCAGCATGTGAGCTTCAATTTTGGACACCGTCCTTATCGGTGCGTATTCTGCTTGTACAGAACCCTACCCTCGACGTTAAATTTTACGTTCTGCATCACCCGCATTTGTCTCTTCATGGTGCGCACGGACTAGTCACTTGGACCCGATTCTTGGTGACAAAGTTATATCTTTGAATCGCATTCACCATGGCAACGAGCGCATCGTCTCTCGCCTTGAAGCATTGGACGAAAGAAACAGGTCAGTCTAGCCTTTGAGATCATTCGGCTATGGACTGCCGTCGAAACTCAGTCGTGTGCCGATATCTCTGTGTGGTGCATAGGGAACTGGAGGATGACTTACTTGTGGATTTATGTACCATCTGCTACGCCAACGTTCCGGATGTTATTCATCGTCCCTGTGACCATGCGGGCTTTTGTCTGACTTGCTCGCTTCAGGTTGAAAGCTGCCCGCTCTGCCGCAGGTCGATTGAGACCCGTGACCCTCAGTCGAGTACATCGCATAGCGAAGAGCCTGCCATGTTGCCACAATAGCAAAGGGAATAATCTTATAATTCCGAACACTGTCATCGTTCATTGCCTTTTCTCGCCTGCTGTTTGCCGAGGGCACATGCACAGACGCACGCATGACGGTCATGCCGAGCTTGATGCCGCGATTCATCTTCTAACGCATATTTTTCATTATCAATTACATTCTATGCTCGAAGAATCTGCTCTTATTTTGTACAAGTGATGGGGTCAGAAACGGAATGATGAAGATGCATCCCAACACTGTTTTTACATGATGAGAATGACTATGGCTAAGATATCGGGCAAAAGTTCACAGATCATCACATGTACAAGCTGCCTCTGCATCACACGATGCAAGCTCGATGGTGCAGTCCTCTGTAACGAGCCCAACCAACGCGCTGACGTTGGTCAGTGCCGTGTTACGAATATCAAGTTCTCCAACATAAGTCAGCGAGGCCAGACTTGAAATGTCGGTCAGCTCAGGAAGGTTGTACAATGTTAACTCTTGAAGGGACGCAACCGGGCCCAGCCCTGCCGTGGTTGTTAGCTTGGCCAGAGATCGCAATTCAAGGCGATCACCAATTGTCAAGACTGCATCCAAACCAGCAAGGGTGCTGATTTTGCCGCAATAGCGCACCCTGAGACCTTCACTCACATGGGTCAGGGAGGAAAGACCGGCCAAGCTGGTCAAGGCAGAATGCGAAGAAATTTCCAGCGAACCGCCAATAAAGGTCAAAGCCTCTAAACCTGATAGACTTTGCAAATTGTTGGACTTTAATGTCACTGAGTTCTTGATGTAAGAGAGGCTATCTAAGCCATGCAGGCTAGGCAGCAAAGTGTTGCCGCTGATCAACAGCCCGTGCACGGCTGTTAATATGCTTAAGGTTGCAAGCGCATTAGCATCGGCATTGCATGTAGAGCTTGCAAAATTTTCAAAGGAAAGTGAACCCAGAACTTCACGTCGTCCTTGCAGCAGCGCCACGGCTGGCGCAAGGTCGTCTGCGGTTCGACAATATACGCTCCTCGGGTATATTGGTGCTACTGTTGTTGTGGTGGTAGTCGACGTCGATGTCGAGGTTGTCGAGGTTGTCGAGGTTGTTGTCGAAGTGGTGCGCGCCTCCAAGCCTATGCTGGCACACGTGCAGTCATCACATTTGGGATTGTGTGCAATGATGCACTTGCCCGTGACCGAAACACCAGCCAGTGCTTCAATCGATGTGAGCGCGGCATTGTTGAGAATTTTGAGGTCACCGTCAATCCGCAATGTTGATGCGGATAGCCCATGCAGCGTTGTCAGCCCATTCATCTGCTCCAAAATGAACGAGCCGACACTTTGCAACTGCTCAAGTGGCTCCAGACTGGAGATAGCCGGCTGCCATCGTAACTCAAGGTCCCCTTCCACAATTTTCAAATCGGCAAATGCGGAAAACACAGTAGCTGGCATGTTACAGCCATTGACCAAGATGATGGAGCCAGATAGCACATCCAATCCCAGTGCCATATATCGCACCCCGGCCAAGGCCAATGCATTGTTGCAGTAGATGGGACCCACGCGTTCGAGTAGTGAAGTCGTTGAGGTGCTCGTGGTGGATGTGGTTGAGGTTGTGCTCGTGGGTCCAATCAGATTGATTGCATCGCAAGAACATACTCCAATGCAAGAGGGCAGCGAGGCCGTGTCAATCTCGCATGCCCCTAGCACGGTAATGCCTTCCAAGGCGGCGAGCGAAGTCAAAGCTGGTAGCTGCTCAATCACTATGCGTCCACCGACCACCAACTGGGTCCCATGCAAGCCACTCAAATTGTGCAAAGACGACATAGAAGAGATCTTGAGGTCTCCACCGACATATTGTAAGCTATCCAATCCCCTGAGAGTTGTAAGTGCAGGTTGCTGTGTAACATACAACCCACCACTAATCTCACGCAGCTCGGAAAAGTATCCGAGAACCTTTGAGGTTGCAAAGCAAAAATCGACAAATTGCAGTGAACCTTCGAGATAGCGTGTATAAATCAAGATGCTAGCAAAAGCGTTGTGGTAAGCCACTGAAGAGCACTTTATGTCGGCCTGCAATGTATCATCGACGCTAGTAGTGATTGACGTTGTTGAAGCTGTCCAGCTAATTGAAGACGAGGAGGTCGCTGGGGGAGACACTGTGGCTGAGCTTGTTGGGCTTGTTGAGCTTGTTGAAGAGGTGGAGGTGAATGAGGTGCTTGAGGTGGTTGAAGTGCTTGAGGTGCTCGAGCTTGTTGAGGTGCTTGTTGAGCTTGTTGAGCTTGTTGAAGAGGTGGATGTGGTAGAGGTGGTTGAAGTGCTAGAAGTGCTCGAGGTGCTTGAGCTTGTTGGGGTTGAAGTACTTGAAGACGACGAGCTTGTTGAGGTGGTTGGAGTGCTTGAAGACGACGAGCTAGTTGAGGTGGTTGGAGTGCTTGAGCTTGTTGTGGTGCTTGAGCTTGTTGTGGTTGAGGTGCTTGAGGTGCTTGAGCTTGTTGAGGAGGTGGAGGTGCTTGAAGACGACGAGCTTGTTGAGGTGCTTGAGGTCCTTGAGGTCCTTGTCGAGGTGCTTGATGACGATGATCCTGTTGAGCTTGTGGAAGTCGTGGAGCTTGTTGAAGACGACGAGCTTGTCGAGGTGGTTGAAGACGACGAGCTTGTTGAAGACGACGAGCTTGTTGAGCTTGTCGATCTTGTCGAGCTTGTCGAGCTTGTTGAGCTTGTTGAGCTTGTCGAGGTGGTTGAGCTGGATGAGCTTGTTGAGCTTGTCGAAGTGGTTGAGCTGGATGAGCTTGTCGAGCTTGTCGAGCTTGTCGAGCTCGTTGAAGACGACGAGCTTGTCGAGGTGGTTGAAGACGACGAACTTGTTGAGCTTGTGGAGCTTGTGGAGCTCGTTGAAGATGACGAGCTTGTTGAGCTTGTTGAGCTTGATGAGCTTGTTGAGCTTGTTGAGCTTGATGAGCTTGTTGGGCTTGTTGAGCTTGTCGAGCTTGTCGAGCTTGTTGAGCTTGTTGAGCTTGATGAGCTTGATGAGCTTGTTGAGCTTGTCGAGCTTGTCGAGCTTGTGGAGCTCGTTGAAGACGACGAGCTTGTTGAGCTTGTTGAGCTTGATGAGCTTGTTGAGCTTGTTGAGCTTGATGAGCTTGCTGGGCTTGATGAGCTTGATGAGCTTGATGAGCTTGTTGAGCTTGTTGAGCTTGTCGAGCTTGTCGAGCTTGTGGAGCTCGTTGAAGACGACGAGCTTGTCGAGGTGGTTGAAGACGACGAGCTTGTTGAGCTTGTCGAGCTTGTCGAGCTTGTTGAGCTTGTTGAGCTTGATGAGCTTGATGAGCTTGTTGAGCTTGTGGAGCTTGTTGAGCTTGTTGAGCTTGATGAGCTTGATGAGCTTGTTGAGCTTGTCGAGCTTGTCGAGCTTGTCGAGCTTGTGGAGCTTGATGAGCTTGTCGAGCTTGTGGAGCTTGTGGAGCTCGTTGAAGACGACGAGCTTGTCGAGGTGGTTGAAGACGACGAGCTTGTTGAGCTTGTCGAGCTTGTCGAGCTTGTCGAGCTTGTTGAGCTTGTTGAGCTTGATGAGCTTGATGAGCTTGTTGAGCTTGTCGAGCTTGTCGAGCTTGTGGAGCTTGTTGAGCTTGATGAGCTTGTTGAGCTTGTCGAGCTTGTCGAGCTTGTCGAGGTGGTTGAAGACGACGAGCTTGTCGAGGTGGTTGAAGACGACGAGCTTGTTGAGCTTGTCGATCTTGTCGAGCTTGTTGAGCTTGTCGATCTTGTCGAGCTTGTTGAGCTTGTCGAGCTTGTCGAGCTTGTTGAGCTTGTTGAGCTTGTTGAGCTTGTTGAGCTTGATGAGCTTGATGAGCTTGTTGAGCTTGTTGAGCTTGTCGAGCTTGTCGAGCTTGTTGAGCTTGTTGAGCTTGTTGAGCTTGTTGAGCTTGTTGAGCTTGTTGAGCTTGATGAGCTTGATGAGCTTGATGAGCTTGTTGAGCTTGATGAGCTTGTTGAGCTTGATGAGCTTGTTGAGCTTGTCGAGCTTGTCGAGCTTGTCGAGCTTGTTGAGCTCGTTGAAGACGACGAGCTTGTCGAGGTGGTTGAAGACGACGAACTTGTTGAAGACGACGAACTTGTTGAGCTTGTGGAGCTTGTGGAGCTCGTTGAAGATGACGAGCTTGTTGAGCTTGTTGAGCTTGATGAGCTTGTTGAGCTTGTTGAGCTTGTTGAGCTTGTCGAGCTTGTTGAGCTTGTTGAGCTTGATGAGCTTGATGAGCTTGTTGAGCTTGTCGAGCTTGTCGAGCTTGTGGAGCTCGTTGAAGACGACGAACTTGTCGAGGTGGTTGAAGACGACGAGCTTGTTGCATTGACTGAAAGTGCTGCCATCGCGATAAAAATATCATATTGTCCTAGAGAGCCATAATCAGAGGCATACGAGTCTGGATCGCCCACACCCTGAATTTCCACGTAGAACGTTTCTGCTGATTTGTTAGTATCAAACCACAGGAGAACGTAAGTTTGGTCGCTGGGGTTGTCGACGGTTAGCACATTCCCACTCTCATCTAATAGGCGCAGTCCAATGTCCAAATTGTTGCCTGCTGTTTCTGTTGCAGAATACCATGGTTTGGCAAGCACGGTGATAGTGCTTGAGGCAGAGGCCACAAATGACCAAACATCCACGTCAGTGCGGGATGAGATGATACCCGAAGCGACTGCATTGTAGCTATCGAGACGAGTGCACGAGGCTGCTGTGGCTGGAGTGTCACCAGCTTCATCAACACGAACAGGAACCAGGCTCCCAATGATGGCCACGTCATCTTCCAGGTTGGTCGGATTGACGATGTTCTCGCCGTTCTCCCATTGGGTTACGCTATTATAATAGCCTGTGCCCATAATTGGGCCCCAGCTGGTTGGATCGGTGGGATCGCGATCGCCACCATAGTATGTTGAGTTTCCTGCACCGTCGTGCAATAGTCCGAAATTGTGTCCCACCTCGTGGCTTGTGGCTTCGGCGGTAAAGGACGCGAGGTTGGCCAGGCGATTGTAGTAAATCAGGGCCGGAGCATACACTGTTTGGTAGTTACTGTAACCATAAACATCCGTATAAGCCACGCCACCAATACTCAACGAGCCGTAAGGCATGTACTCATTTGTGGTCGTGGTTGTGCGGGTGATTAAAGCATGTGCGGTGAAGGGTGTGAAGGTCGCAGGTTCAATCGTTGTCACATCTATCTGCCATGGCGCAAAATCCTCGGCCACGCGCGCCCAAACGCTTGTGATAAAGTCTTGCTCGGCACTGGAGAAGCTTTCAAAGTCATTGTCCAAGGAGAACGCGTAGGCACTGAATGCTCCCCAAGCGGAATCCGAAGTCGTGTTATGACCATTGAAATCAAGGTACAAAACATAAGGAGAGCCAGGAAGCGAGGACAGCAAAGGAATGCCTAAAGATTTGGGTTTGAGTTGATCAGAAAAAGAAAGCAAAATGAGGATTGACCATCGCCAAATAAATTGGCAAGGCTGTAAGAGTGAGCTCATAGATCCAGGGAAACAACTCTTTGCTGAAACAACCTGCGGCATCAAATTCCGTAGCCACGGCATCAGAAGCTGCTCTTCGAACTATGTGTTGGTGTGCCGCTGCAGCATTGATCTCAGCCTCAGTGGGCCCATTGTCCAAAACAAGAATCTAGAGCACACACTCTTTGATGAGCCAAACATGGAGCAAAGCAAAAAATCTGTGAACAGGTGTTGCAAGGAACACACCATGCCATTTGCATCAAAGTCGATGGATTGAACATCGTCACAGGTAGTATTGGTTTTGTGAAAAAATCGGCTGACTCGAGTTCGAGCCTCTAGAGTCAAAGTTGGGAAATACTCTACAACATGTGAGTTGTAGCAACCCACGTATTTTTCGGGTAGCTTTGGATCCGAGTTGTCGTGCTGTTCGCGACTAGGCTCGACACTGGACGCCGACGCAAGCGGGGAGCGAGGCATAGGTGCAGCCTCGACGCCTTGATGGGCCATGCACAAGGCCAAAGCCAAGATTATCAGCCCGCCCATGACGCACGCCCGAAACGCTTGTTCCACAGACATGACTGTGACTTTTGAACAGCAAGACGTCGTGCGCCTGGCCAGCCGCATGGTGCAAAAATAAAAAAATTAAAGGAGAGGGAGCGCGGGGTGAGTGTGCCTCGCTACAAATTGTTCAGCGACAATGATAGACCAGAGCGGAACGCTGACTGTTGCTGACTACGCAAGCTTAAAAGAGGCAAAGCGTCGCCACGCACCTGCGAGTACAAGAGCTAGATGATCTGTGGCTCCGTTACCAAGTCGTCGTTTTCAACTTTTTTTTTTTTTTTCGCTGCTCGCGTGTGTACGGCGGGCGAGCTCTCGTGTTCGTGCTTGCCTCGGTAGAAGAAACTCACACGCGCCGTTGTACCAGCCCACACGTATGGTATGGTGGCAACGGCCGCCACCAGGCAGGGCTTCGTTGTCGCGCCGAGTCGGTGGCACAACTCATATGATGCTCGTTTGGCTAAAACTAAAAAAAAAATGTAACTTAACGCACATCATCCCAAATTCACGCAATAAATGATGAACAATGTGACCCTACCACGCTGTGAAACAAAGTCCCTGCTTTGCGCACCGGGGGTTGAGCTTCACGGAGCAGGCATGGGGCAAGTCGCCGAGTGTCTCCATCCAAACCTTGAAGATACCCCCCAGGACAAGAAGAGCTCAGCTCACCGCTCGCTGCACTCGGATGCCGTTGCCATACGCTTCGTCGTGCCATCGCCGGCACGTCATGTGTTTGACGCTGATGACGTCAACTGTGTGTTCGTTGTGTCGCAATCGTCACAAATTTGCTGACATGCGAGTGAAAAACTTGATTGATGGCGAACCTTGTTGTTTTCAAAAAAGTGGTTTGGGCTTGTGATGATCACTCAATCAATTCCAAAGCGCCAAGACGAACAAATCAAGCTTGGGACAGAGGACGAGGAGGGACCTGACTGTGCACAAGGTAAGGGCTAGACGAGCGTAAATGTGGGATGCAAGAAGAAAGAAACAAAAAGGGCAAGGGTAAAACATGCTTGGGTTGCAATCTGCAAACTCTGTGAGCATGGAAAAAAAAAGAAAGAAAAAACTAAGATACGATACACGCACAAAATCAGAAGCTTCAGGGAATGAACATCGATCGACTAAATGGTGGACTCGGCCGTGCCATCTGCAGCATCGTCGTGCATTTGAATATACATCATCGGTCCATGGGTTGGAGGAGGACGAAGCGGCTGGTTTTTATCAAGCTGCGATTCCATGGCAACATCCGTGGGCTGGTCGTGCCTTGTGTCGAGGGGTGGCTCGTTGATGCCAGCGTGATGGTCCTTTTGAAAGGCTGGCGGTAAATTGACGACAACGTCACTATCGGAATCGGAAGATTCAACGATGTGCACCTCGGTCGAATACTTCCGTGCGGAAGGCACCGTCATGGCTGCGCTTTCACGTGACGCCGTTGGCTGCGAAGGTTGCCCATTTTCAATCTGCACATCTCTTGTCACGCGGCGGCGCTGTAGGCGTTTACCTTCTTCTTCATCGTCTGGGTCAGAAGGCTCGGGCGTCTCACCAATCTGATACAAGCTGCGCTGGGGTTGTCGGAGCAAGTGTGGAGACTGTGCGCTCTTCATGGAATGCTCATCATACGCAGGTGCTGGCAGGGAAGGCCGCATAGAAGGCGACGATCGTGAGGCTGCGCTCTCTGCGGTCAAGGCACTGACAGGGCTGTCCTGATACTCTCGAGATCCATCGGGCATGTGCAGAGGATCGGGCGAGCGCCTGGAATCACTGTTCGTTGGAGAAGGCATACGAGGACGGCCTGCTGGTGGAGGCAAGAGTAGATTGTGGGAAGAACTGCGTCGCTCCACGGGGGGCGGCGCCGCGTCAAAAGACATGTGTCTGCTCCGCGTTGAACCTGATCGAGAGCGAGAGGAAATGCTGCGCGCTGAGCCGCGACGTTCGCGGCGCGAGTAGGATAGAGACTCCATCGAGCCACGACGATCTGGTGGCAGATATTGCTCAGTGGCACGCCGACGACGCTCTCCCACGCTCGCGATTTGAATTTGAGATTGCCTTCGATACCCCGGGAGCATAGGGTTGGACAGAGATTCACGACGCGCCTCTGGTGGGAGAAGATCGCGGGATGAGCGGCGCGGCGCAAGGAGCATCAGATCGCGAGATGAGCGGCGCTCCGGCATCTGAGGCAAGTCTTCAAAAGACACGCTGCGGCGGCGTTCAGTGCCTGGTGGCCCCAAGTTGTAGTGGTAGCCGTCAAGATCAAGAGTATCAAAATGCTGCGACCGACGACGTTGAGTATCGTAAGACGATCCACGCCGTTGCTCAGGTGCGTAATAAGATGAGGAGCCGCGCCGATCAGCGGCATTGAAGGTATTGGAGGGGTATGCAGCTAGAAGACTGCCACTTGATGCTCGGCGGTCTGCCAAGGGAGGGCCTACGCTAAAGGTGGAGCTGCGACGCCCGTGGGGTTGCTGATAGTGTTGCTGGTGATGGCTTCCACTGGCTAGACTCCACGACGACCCGCGTCGAGAATCAACACCTAGCATAGCCTCAGAGGTGCGGCGAGTTCTGTCACGAGCTGCCGCTGCTCGCTCCGTTGTTGGCGCGTCCTCCCGATGGGTGATGATGTCGCCTGTTTCTTCATCAACCATGATATTGTATCGGGATGCAGCTTGTCCCAGCGCCAGACCTTCGTTGGTGGCAGAGTGACGGCGGGTTGCCCCGTATTGGTAAGATTCGTAGCCAGGAAAGTTGACTACGTCAAGCGAAAAAAAAACATTGGTATGTGAGCTGTGATGGCCGGCGAAAAGTGAAGTGGGCGAGCGCGAGCAAGGCAGCATGCGCAGAAGTGGCACTTACAATCGTGAAGCTCGACGTAGTAGCAGTACATTAACCAGGCAAATACTGCAACGAGAACCTGGTCAACGAGATGGACATGCAAGGTCAGTATTGCCCTGCCCAAAAGAAAGTGACCGGTAAAGATCGCGAGGACGAACGAGGGCTTACACCAATGGCCACGACGATCGAGGTCACTACAATATTGATGGTATCAATCGAAACGTCGCTATCTAGGTTGCGCTCCAAAAAGGTGTTGTCGCTGTCGCGACCGTTCAGGGCAAACAAATTGCTAAAGAGCATTCAGATGGTCACATGAGCCAGCGTGCGATGCGATAATAAGCCGGGCGTGCTGCACTTGGCTCGACAGGGATAATAGCAAGGGGACAGGTAACTGGAGCAAAAGTCAAAGAGCCACTTGGTCAGCAACGTACTCGGGCAGTGTGTAAGCCCCCGCATAATGCATGAGTAGCATGGTGTTCCACGCGACCCAAATGAGTTGCCATACGGCAAACTATTGGTAGCAAATCAGAGCAAGCACGATGAGTTGTTATGTGCCTTGCTTTTGCCAACAATCACTTCACGCCACCAAATTCTGACGTACGCCCAAGAATATGCCAACGCTGTAGCAGCACAGTCCACTGAGACCAATGCAGAGGAACACGATGCAGAAGATATCATAAATAACGAGCACGTAAAGTTTGCCCATAGCCGAGAGGCAAAGACGCGTCACGGCCATAATCTAGGTGAAGACAAGGCGGAAAACCAAATGAGATCATATCGAGCGACGAATGGGCGAGATAGCAGGGCGCGCAGGGCGCAGAACCATTGTTCATTTCCAAACGGGCAAACGGTGATGACGCACGGCTTGCAGAAACGTGAAGAAGGAAAAGGAGTTTTGATAAAACTGTTCACACCCCATCGCGCTGGTTATGGTGTAAGGACACTCGCAACTGTCACTTCAACTTGCATGCGAGGCAACACGTGATGATACAGCTGCGAGATCTGTAACAGGAAGGAAGGAGCGACCAGCGCGCGGTGCCCGCCTGTTCAGATCCCTTGGCGCTTGCACAGGCAACTGGAAGGGCTCAGTAGCTGACTGACGCTCCGGCTAGAGCTCAAGCGTCGTTGAGAATGGCATGGGGCATGACGAGACTAATAGCAAGTGCCAGGACCTCGACCTCGAGCTCTTTGCAGAAGAGCGCAGTTCTGAACACAAAAAATCAAGAGGCATCGAGCAGCTGCGGGTAAGATGGCCAGGAGATGGCAGTCACATCCCATGGCAAAGCACCAAATCGAAGCTGCTCACTGGCACAAAGAGCAAAGGTGTTTGTACCGTGTACAAGACGAACGTACCACCCCCGCGTGCAGCAACAAGGTAGACCAAAAAAAAAAAAAAAAGAGGCGCTATTGTGCCGTAGTGTGTGACAGGTGTCCAGAGGAGAGAGAGAGAGAGAGAGAGAGAGATCAAGCGGTTGGGTTTTCAAGCACGCCTCTTGAACAAAGCAAAAGAGTGCACAAGAAGACAGAAAGCACGTTCTGCATGGAGAAAATGAATGGAAAGTGTGACATGATACTCCGATCTTGATACCACGAGTCCAAGTGTAAGTGTGTCGATTCTATTGGTTTGAAAAAAAAGAGAACCACCATGTATGGTGAAGGCGGGTGGGGCGTTGAGACACCAAACATGGGTTGGTCGCTTGCCCTGAAAAGTGGGTGTAAGTGGCTCGGTCTTGCTTAGATGGCAGCCGCTGGTGTGTGGTACTGAGCGGCAACACAATGGGTCTAGCAAATGACGTCGGTGTGCTTGACAAAAGAAACTACCGGTCCGCTCGGTCCGCGAGTCAATGGCCGAGTAGATTGCAGGGTTGAATTGCCGAGTAGATTGCAGGGTTAAGTTGTCATGTGATAAGCAAGACTCTTGCTCTTATTGGCAGTCGCGCAGTCCAGAATTACCGAGAAGTGTGCGAGAGGTGCGGCTGCCCTCACAGACCACACAGACCACCGGCCCAATGAGCGAACGATCAAGCGCCTGAATCTGTGGCAAGGAATTTGTCTCCTCTACCTTGACATTTTGTTCCAACCGCGTGAAGTTTGGTGCGCTGCCTTGTATGAGACAGCAACCAGCCATTTCGAAACCTCGAATAGCGGATCATGCAACGACGAGACGCTCCCCATTTGATTCGCCAAGGTTTCCATAAAATTTGACGACCAGCGCGTGTCCCCCCGCCTTTGGCTGATCCACTGTGAGGGTGTGCAGATGTTCATGTGCGACATTTTCATGTTAAAAGCATCTTGTCTTTCAAAGACTCCAACGGGCAGCCCGCGCCTCATCTCGAGTCGGCGTACAACTGACGGCCACTCATATCCTCCACCTTCCACTCATCTGGCCAGATGTCATGTTCGTCAACACGCAGGGCTGATCAGCACCAGCATCATGCACTCCCTCCCCCCTAAACAAAACCTGCAGGAGGTCAAAAAGACGCCACCATATACACCCTGACCCCAGCTCGTGATGTGTGAAAATCGAAATCAGCCGTATGTCAGACAAAATCATGTCAGACCACCCAGCCATGCAATGTCAGATAAATTCAAACTTTTGCGCGCCAGCGCCATTTCGCCCCATCGGCGTCTGTCGGAGGTGTTGGTCGCCGCCGCCACCGTGATGCACTGACGGGTGTATCGGACATGGCCGAGCAGAAGATTGCCAGCTTGGCTTGTTGTTTTTCTGTGCTTTTTTGTTTTGTAATACCTGGCCTTTGCTAGCCAACACACTTGCCAGATCAGCCACCGCTACAGGGTCTCAAACGCCTCTTCAGCATCACCCAGCTCGCGTCAGGCAGGGTCTAAAACTGGGGTATCTTGGCACCATGTGTGTGGATTGAAGAGGGGGGTGCACGAGGGCGTGATTCTCGCAGATTATCACCCAGGATCGAGCAGGACACGGTTGCTTTGGATAACCTTGAATCGCGGTGATGAGCACCAGACAGGTTGCCTAGCATCTGCACAGGTTGTATGGCAACGGCTGTCATGCGCTCGGGCGAGAGGAGTCGTCCACCCTTAACCACTCTTCCCGGAAACCTTTCTTTCCTGGAAACCTGATTCTGCATCATTACAGATCAACACAGATGCTTATTCGTATGATGGAGTGCCGTGTGAGATCTGCCGCGCCGCTGCTGCTGCTGCTGTCGTCAGCGGCATGGCCAACGTCATCAGACCTTCTGCCCTCTATTTTGGGGACTTGACCGTTACAGCCGTCGCACGGACACGCCACCTTCCCCCGGCGACGTCTGGGCCAGACGTGACCTAAAAGTCATCAATCCCGCTCTGACTGCGCAAGTACCATCACTCGATCGCTGCCTCCATGGTGCAACACCCATCCAGGTCTTTGCTTAAGCCTCCCTCTTCTTTTGCTGAACCTGCATTGGACGCCATCGTGCCCATGCAGTCCCAAAATCCACCGATCACCCCCCGCAACGGTACATGGAGCCGGTCGACTTGCATATACCACTTGGACACGCTCGCTCAGGCTCGATAAGGCTCGATCACTCTAGCGCAGACGATGCGGCCTGCCTCGTCATTTTCCTGCTCAACCCATGCAGCCGACATGTCGTGCCGCATCGCCTTACCCCTTGCTTTTCTTGCCTTTGTGGCACCCCTATGCGGTACGCAGCGACGGCCCTCGGCGCCCCTTGTCTCTCTTGCTTCTGCCTCACACAGACTCGCTACTCAGGGGCCTTTGATGTCCGTGGTTTCTGGCAATTCGAGGAGACCACCGGTGCCCTTGCGGAGGATCTTTCACCGTATGCCAACGATGGCATCTACGGCAATACGCCGCTGCTAACGGCCAACGGCCATACGCAAAGCTCTTCGGGCGTCGGCTTTAAGGATGGCGAGAACAGCTACCTGCTCTTCCCGCATCAAGCCCACTACAACTTGGCGACCGGCACCTTTTCCCTCTGGGTGTACCCCCGCACCTACACTGAACGTTATTCCCTCTTGTGCAAGAGCAGCGCCTCAGGCCGTGAAGTCGGTGACTTGTCCCTAGACCTCAACGCCGGACACCTGTATTTGCGTCTATTCGATGCCGTTCGTGGCTACGTCCAGCTCTATGATCGGATCATCCTCAGCGCCGAAGACTGGCACCACATTGTCGTGGCCTTTGGTGAAGATGGTCTCTGGCTCATTGTCGACGGTATGTACGCTTGACCCCGACCGCTCTCCGGTTCCACTCTCTGCCTTTGATGCTCCAAATACCCATCGAGATTGCTCATAGCTATGCTGCCCCCCGTTTCCATCTGGTCATCGTACAGGCTCTCCCGTGGACTATGATCTGGCGGCCACGACTGGTCTCCAAAACAATGACCACACAATGTTTCTCGGTGCATATGCAGGTGTCAACCGCCTGACCGACTTTTTCTCGGGCCGTCTCGACGATTTTGCTTTGGTGGCGGACCATCTCGAGGCCTGGTCAGTCTTGAATGTTTTGGACAACTACGATGCTGATGAGGCAACTGTGGCGTCGACCTCCAGCACAACCAGCACTAGCAGCATGGGCAGCACCTCTACGACCACCGCCGGAAGGGTCACGACAACAACTACTGTGCGGCCCCGGGAAACCACAACCACTACCACCACCGCTCAGGCTGCCCCGACTTCAACCACGACACAGGCCCTGCCCTCAACCAGCACCTGCGAGGTTCGGGAGTGCCGCTGCAAACCCGGAGCGCAGGCCTACTCATTTGTAGATCGTGATGGCTGCAGCCGCTGTGGCTGCCGAGCTGTAAGCTGGAGCACCAATGCCCCTGCTCCTCCTGCTGCCACCACCACGACGAGTCCGGCCGCTCCTAGCCAAACCACGAGCACCGCCAGCAGCCCAGTCACCCGGCCCAGCTGTGAGACTCGCACCTGCTTGTGCAAGCCCGATGCCGAACCTTACTCCTACATTGAAAACGGTTGCTTGATGTGTGGCTGCCGACCCACGGATGCTGCGGCGTCCACGGCCAGCTCAACGAGCGTTGCTCCAACAACGACGACCAGTCGCAGTAGCATCGTCTGCCCCACTTATTCTTGCCTCTGCAAGCCTGGTGCAGAAGTTTACACTTATGTGCATGATGGCTGCACCACGTGTGGTTGCCGTCGGGCAGATGCCGGACCAGTCACCACCACCACCACTACTACTACTTCCGCTGCCGCCACCACCTCGTCCACCACCTCGGTGGTCCCACCTCGCGACACGACAACCACGCGGTCTCCCGCCACAACGACGCGCGAATGCACTGTGCGAGACAATTGCAACTGCAAGTCGGATGCCGTCAATATCATGATTGTCAACGCCGATGGGTGCCAATCCTGCACGTGTGCGCCCGCAACGTTTTTGTCTGGCTTGGTCGTATCCAGCACGAATGAGCCGCAGCCCAATGCGGTCCTTTTTTTCCAGTCGACGGACGGTGACTTTAATGCCATCGTAGCCACAGACGCCCTTGGGCAGTTTGACGTCAAACTGTTGGGCGAGCGCTCGTACACGGTTACCATCTCTGTCATGGGCATGATCTACGAACAGCGAGTCTTGGGTGGATTCAAGCTTCTGGCTGGCGAAGAGTATTCAGTCGTCCTCTCCGTGGACATTGATGAGCCGACGACTGAGGAGCCGACCAGCACCTCCACATCGACTTCAACCTCCACCTCTACCTCCACTTCTACCTCCACTTCCACTTCCACCTCCACTTCCACTTCCACCTCAACGTCGACTTCTACCTCAACCTCTACCTCAACCTCTACCTCAACGTCGACTTCTACCTCAACTTCTACCTCCACTTCTACCTCGACTTCCACTTCCACTTCCACCTCCACCTCCACTTCTACCTCCACTTCTACCTCCACTTCCACTTCCACCTCCACTTCTACCTCCACTTCTACCTCCACTTCCACTTCCACCTCCACCTCCACCTCTACTTCCACCTCTACCTCTACCTCTACCTCCACTTCCACTTCCACCTCTACTTCTACCTCTACCTCTACCTCTACCTCTACTTCCACTTCCACCTCCACCTCCACCTCGACTTCTACTGAAGAGGTCACCGATGAGCCCACCTCCACCTCTACTTCCACTTCTACTTCCACTTCTACTTCTACTTCCACATCGACTTCTACTTCAACCTCAACCTCAACCTCCACTTCTACTTCCACTTCCACATCAACATCAACATCTACTTCAACCTCTACCTCAACCTCAACCTCCACCTCCACTTCCACTTCCACTTCCACGAGCAGCAGCAGCTCCACGGCAGTGCCCGACGAGGCTGGAAGTGGGCCAGATGACATGGTCTTTCCCACCATTGAAGCGTAGATTGCGTGCCAGCAGCTCTCAGTGGTAACTTGTATTCAGATGAATTCTGTTTGATATCTTTTTTGAAAACTGAATGTCACTTGTCAAGGGCTTGGATGAGGTCTGCCTCTACCTGTTGTGTCGCCCGCGGCGACATGATCTCCATCCTTCCCTTTTGTACTTGATGTATCTCCAGCTGGATTCTCTGTGATTGTGATGTTAAACATGTTTTTGTGATCATGAACTAGCTTATTCGCTCGTCGTCGTCGTTGAAATCCATGCTGCTCAAGAAGTCTCATATCTGTGCTTTTTAAGGCGCCAGCTGTCGAGATGGGCAAGGGGGCGACAAAAAGCAAGGGGGGCGACAAAAAGCAACGGTGCTTACGATCTTGTGGGGAACTGCATGGCGATTTTCTACGGCGCAGACAGGTGTGAAAACTGCCTGCCTAGAGATCTCGTCCCCACACCTCTGGTTAGTGAAGCGCGCACGTGACATACATCGGGGGCTGGAATGTGCAGTGCCATCAGCCTATCCTTCCGTTGTTCCATCAAGTTCCCGTTCCCAAACAGCAGTAGCTCGTGCCTTTACCCTGCCTGCAAGTCCTTCTGCCCCACAGACCAACACGCCATCTCCGTCAGGAGCTTTCCATGGTGGTCGTCGCCACGCACATCAGAACAAGGGTTTCGAACTCTTCTTTGTGTTTTTGTTTTGTCTTTGCGTGTCTGTCTTTTTTGTTACGTGTGGTAATTGTGTTGTTGTTTCTATTGTCATCGCCGAGTCTCAATTGTGTCTCTTGTCTATTGTCTTTTGTCTGTCTCTTGTGTGTTTTGTTCTGTCTCTTGTGTGTTTTGTTCTGTCTCTGTCTAACTCTCTGCTTTTGCTGTTTATGCCTTTGTCTCTTCTCTCTCTGTCTCTCTCTGCTAGGCACGACGCGTTACGGGACGCGGCGAAGGAGATGATCGAGTATGCCACGCAGGCTCGGGTAACGACGGAGCGCTACGACGGCGCAAAGGACAAGCGGTTGGACTTGCACTGCAGGAACTTTTTTGGCACCGGCATGTACGGCGCACAGAAGAGTTTCTTGGGGCTGGACGTGTCCGTGGTCTCTGCGCAACCTGCGGCGGGTGCCCGAGTGTGGGCGGTTGGCAAGGCGATGAAGGAGGCTGAGAAGCAGAAGATGTCCAAGTACAAAGGTTTCGACAATGACAAAACTCACGTTGTCGCCCGGAGGACTTGGCTCTGATTTTCTTAGTCTGCTGCGACGACTTGCCGTGGTGGCGGAGGATAGCGGAGTCTACCAGCCTGGGCTGGAGGAGAACTTCGCTGCACGCTGGAAGGAGCGGCTCACGGCGACCCTGCACATTGCCAACAGGGACATGTTGGTGCGCCACTTTGGGCAGGGGCTTTGCCTTTCGGCCAGTAAATAGGAAATAGGGGTGGACTCCCTTCTTGGTGTATGGGTGTTCTGTTTGTTGTTGTTTTTCAGTGTTGTCGTTGGTTGTTGTTTTTCAGTGGTGTTTGTTCCTTTTGTTCCCTGTTGTTGTTACATGTGGTAGTTGTGCTTTTCCTTTGTGTCTTTGCTCTTTATTTCTCTCTTGACCAAACCAATTCAATCTCTCTCAATTCATTTCTCTCTCTGTCTCTCTCTGTCTTTGTCTTTTGATTTGGGGTTTCTTTTCATTTTTCTCATCGCTTCTCTTGCTCTTGAAGGCTAAAAGGTCAGTGGCTGCGGTACGGTCACCGCCTCGGCACAAGATGAGCATCTATGATGGATGCTATCAGCTTTAAGCAAGACACTGCCCTTGTTCTCTGCCCTCTGATGTTTCACCGGCCTCCACGTGTACGCGTTCGCATCTCACTTGGCATGTGCTGCGCTGGGCGTTGTTGGAAGATGGCGGGGGTACAATCAAGCATGGCCTTGGCCATGCTTTTGGCACTAGCAGCCACGGCTACTCATGTCCCTTATGGTCTCCGCATGAATGAGCTTCATGATTTGCACGCCAACACTGGCCGCCATGTGACTCCCATCGAGCTGGGTGGTGCCGCTGATTCTTCTGCGCGCCTCATGTGGCGACTTCCCGCCCTCAACGAGGTGAGCTGAAGCTGCATGATGGCTGGTCGCCAACCCATGCTGTCCTTGACCCGCTTTCCGCCCCCTCTTGCGCCTCGTGCGGCTGTGCGCGTCACCCCACTGGGCCTGCCATGCCTGCCATCCGCTCCGGGGCCCATCCAATGTTCAGTGGTGGTTGCTTTGTTGTGTTTGTGTTGTTGTGTTTTGTGTTTTGTGACTTTGAAGCTTTTGTTTTTTGTGTAAGCATCACCTTCGGTTGGCGATGGCACTGATTGTCGTTTTGTTTTGTTTTTCCACTTGATGTACAACCTCACAAAACGTGTGCTTTTTTTGTTAACAGTCTGGAGACGTGACCGTTCGCCTTTACGCTGGCACCTGCCAAGGTAAAACACCACACATGATGGGACAAAATCAAATTGACACAAGTATCATACTTTAAGGCCAAGCACGCGCCCTACCCAAACTTGGCCGTGAAAGTCTGATATCCCGTTGAACATGTCGTAGGTGCCCCTATTTGGAGCACTACCACTGCTCAGCACTCTGTACAGCTGCCTCTGGCACTGCTCAAGGCCACATCAGATTATGCCTGGAATGTTGAACTCAATGCCAAGGCTGGCGCTGTCAGCGAGTGCTACCGATTCCATGCCGTGGACCCTTCATGGGATGAATCCAAGTGGATTGGGAATGCTCAGCTCCTCCGCACCGAGGTACATTCGCCATCCACCGCCGACAACGTTGTGCCAGCAACTAGCACGACGATAGAATAACACAATGCCTGTTGCCCCTCGTCTTTCAGGTCGCCCTGAGCGCCATGTCCTCCACCAAGATTTACATTTCCGGTCAAGGCGCCTACGACCTTTACATCAACGGAGCCCGTGTCAACACAGGTTCCCCACTCAACGCCGCCTGGACCTACTACAGCCAGCGCGTCATCTATGATGTCCTTGACGTGTCGGACCTGGTTCCCATGTACGTGCCTCCTCAAGCACTGGCGTCTTGCTGCTGGGCCACCCCTCCCTTCATCCCCCTTTTCTCCCTCATGTGCCCTGTCTCCTTTCAATAGCACGGGTACCTACGCGATTGGTGTGGCCCTGGCCCCGGCTTGGCGCGATACCACCAGCTTCCCCCCCTTTGTTCCCACGGATTGCGACAGCAACGAGCGCGTCCTACGGTTCGTCAAAAATCTACTTTGCGGTGCACGTCAGCACCCTCATTCGTACCTACAACTCAAAACCAATCCGTTGCCTTGCTGCCGCTTGTAGCATGATCATCAAGTCGGACGAGAAGACGGTTGGCGTCACCGATGAGCACTGGAAGATTACCAACGATGGTCCCGTGCAGTCGGCCAGCATCTACAACGGCGGTTTGTATCTCTTTGACATCGCCCACCCTCCGCTCCAGCGCACTCGCTTATTGCTCCCATCCGCTCCTGCTTCGACAGAGGTGTATGATGCGACAAAGGAGATCGATGGCTGGAGCTCCATCGGCTTTGATGCCAGCAGCTGGAGCAATGCTTCGAGCATCGGTGAGGGCAGCCATTCACGAATAGCAGCCAGCCGTAGTCAATTGAGCTCTGTTGCTCTCACCCTTCCGCATTCGCCCTGGCTGGGCCTTGTTGGCTCCCAAAGATTGTTTCCAGCCCATTCTGTCGGCACGCTCCTTCCCCATCATCAAGGTACAAGAGGAGCACAAGCCCATCGGCATCAACAAGATTGAGTGCCCCGCCAACACGGTATGCCCGCCCAATTTCAACATGTTTGAGACTTAACGCCATGCCATGGTCGAGCTCATCAACAACGACTCCCATTGCCTAGCTTGGTGGTGTAGTAGCTGAGAACCAGAACCTGACCCTGACTTGTGCTTCGGGCACCATCTCCTCAATTTCCTTTGCCAGCTTTGGCACACCCTCGGTATGGTGCTTCTTAGCCACGCCATGACATTGATCAGCTCAACAACCCGGTGCATGATGCACCCGTCCCATGTATCGCCCCGTCAGCTCACCTCCTCCTGGCTTGCAGGGTTCTTGTGGCAACTATACCAAGGGTACTTGCGATGCAAATACCACTGTCCAGGTCGTAGAGGGCCTTTGCATTGGCAAAGCCTCGTGTACCATTCCGGCCAACGATGCCGTGTTCGGTGGTCAGTTTGTTTGTTGTTGTTTGTTTCACTGTGGTTCTTGTGATGACCATGGCCTCTTTCAATTTTGCCGCATTGTGCATTGGAACAACATTCACTCTGGTGTGACCTGATGTAGACCCTTGCTACGATACGGTCAAATATCTGGCTGTTCAGGCTGCTGGTTGCACCAGCGCCACTCCTGCCACTTATGTCGTTGACTTTGGCGAGAACTTGGCCGGCGTGTGCCGCATTCAGGTTGGCACCCTATGCTTGCAGCGCAGCCAACCGCCTTCTCTCTCAATTCGGCACTCTCGATCAACGACTTTTTTCGCCCATCCATTCACATTCACGAGCCTGCATTGTCTTCTCTCAGGTCAAGGGCAACAAGGGCGACAGCATTACCTTGAAGCATGCTGAGGTTCTGATGCACGAGCCTTATGGTCCTGCAGATGGCACGGTCTACACAGGCAACCTGCGCACGGCACAAGCCACCGATACCTACGTCCTTCGTGGTGACGCCAACGGTTTGTAAAAGTGAATCAAGCGCGGATCTTGGTGTGCAATTGCGGACCACCGGATTGCTCATGCCACTTTGTCCCATGATTTGGCAGGCGAGACTTGGACCCCCAGCTTTACCTACCACGGTTTCCGCTATGTGCAAGTAACTGGCATGGCCGTGACCCAGGATACTCTTACTCGCGTACGTCACTTTGGACAAAAATACGAGTCGCAATGAGACAACAGCAAGAAAAGACTTACACAGGCATGCCTTGACTTTGGCACGGGCTCATTTGAGGATGTTCTGCAATGTCTCGCACAGATCCACTTTCGCACTGACAACGAGCTCTTGGTCCAGTTCAACACGACAAATCACGTGCGGATCTTTTTGCTGCGTGACCCGGGATACCATGCATACATTGTCTAGACTCGAGCGTCGACTCACCTGTCTGATTCGTGCTTTGTGGCCCAGGTGATCAACACGATCAACTATGGCGCTTACCGCGGCCAGGGTTCCAACATGATGAGCCTCCCCACCGACTGTGACCAGCGTGATGAGCGTTTGGGCTGGATGGGCGACGCGGATCTCACGGCCGAGGGCTTTGCTCTCAACTACGATTCGGGCGCCTTCATGGATGCCTTTGTCCGCTCCATGATCGATTCCCGGGTGCGTCTCGCTTGCTTGCTTGCTTGCGCGCTCGTTTGATGGTTTTGACTTTTGGGGTTGTTTGTTCTTCTCATGCAGCGGTGTTTTGTCTCATGTTTTGAACGTGGCCGCCGCAGGACCCCACTACGGGTGCGATGCCCGATACAGTACCCTGGAGTCGCTACGGCAACCGCCCCGCCGACCCTTCGTGGAGTGCTGCCCTCCCCCAGAACATGTACGTGCGTGCAACTATGGGTGGTAGCCTGGATATTGCCGAGGCCTACTGGACCGAGCTTATGCAGTACTTTACCAACATTGATGCGCAAGTATGATCCCACCAATCACGACTCTCCACCTTGGAGTTGACCTTGACAGATCCAAAACGTTGACCGAAAAAAAAGAAAAACTCATGCCAAGCATGTTGTTCCGCGTTTGTCGATCTGATAGATTAAGCAGGCGGGCGGTTTGGCCCAATGGAAGCCCTCCTATGGTGACTGGGTGCGTTGCGGGCGGCTGACTTTCAATGGGCTCGCCCTGTGGGGGAAAGGATAAATTCATTGTGTTGCTCGTCTAATTGTAGATTCCCGCCAACACCTCGGCTCAAGTTGCCGGCGCCATCTGCAGCTCCTTCAACTACTTGACCAACCTGCGTCAAGCTGCCGAGTTGGCCACCATGCTAAACTACACCACCGATGCCGTGGCTCTGGCCAACCGTGCTGACGACATCTCAGCTCAATATACCGCCACATTTTACGATGCATCGACCAAGGTATCGGCGTTGCAGGTCTTGGCCTCGAGTGCAGGCTTTCAAAGCCATGCTCATGTGTATCTGTGTGAAATGGGCATGCATAATTCTAGTGCTATGGCAACTGCGAACAAGGTGCCTTGGCCCTGTCCATCATGGCCGACACAAACTACAGCCAGACGCTGGGCAACCAGCTCGTGGAGAAAATCCAGGGCAACGGGAACCGCGTGACGGGTGGCATTATTGCCGTCAAGGCCCTGTTCCCAGCCCTCGAGGCCTTCAATCAGCACGACGTGGGCGTTAACCTGGCAGCTCAGGTAGGTCATGGCTGCAACTGCGCTTGGTCTTTTTTAGCAGGCCAACGACTCGTCACCGTCCGTCGTGGGGCGTTTATCCATGCTCACGCCTTGTCATGGGCAGACAAACTACCCGTCGTGGGGCTACATGTTCTTCAACGACATTGAGCCAGCCACCTCTTCACTTTGGGAGCTGTGGGACTCGCCCATGGAAGGCCCGGGCATGAACAGCCGGTACGATGGAAGCCTACCATGGGGTTTGGAGAGAGGTGGCACAAGGGGTGACTCCCAGTCAAGCTGTGTTCTGAATTCTTGTTTTCACGATTGTATGATGTGAACTCGTTTGATTTTATAGTAACCACCACATGTTCTCAAGCATCAGCGCGTGGCTGGTCACCGAGGTCGGTGGCTTGAAGAACCTCGACTGCACCCAGCAGACTTTTACTCTGCGCCCCTCCTTCAGCACGCTACTGAGCGGTGTGGAGGCCTCGCGTGAGACCGCCTGTGGCCGTGTTTCCATGCGTTATCAGCGCGTTGGTGGCCGCCACATTCTTCAGCACCCGGAGGGCCGGTGAGTTGGCTGCCTTGCCCACAAATTTTCCGCGCCCTCTGCTTGATTCACAACTGGATCTGCTCGCAGTTGCTCATTGCCAACCATTCGCGCACTTGACTCTGTCCGTTTGTCTTTCGACTGCTGCTAGTTCTGCGTCGCGCCCGAACGCTTCGCCCGTACCCACGAACAAGCTTGATTGTGGCGCCCGAGGTGCGTGAGACTGCCGCTGGCTCACACCAAAGCACGGTGGCAGAGTAGCACCCAAGTGCGTTGCTGACCATGCGGACTGGAATGATGATAGGTGGTGTCATGACCGTGGATTTGGCCTCGTGGCATCAATCCCGCCATGTTGAGAGCGAGGCGGCTGTCCTGGCTCATGTCAAGGCCCTGTGCGATGGTCGCCAAAGCTGCGAACTTGATGCCTCGGCTGATGTCTGGGGTGCCATTTCCCGTGTACCTGCCGCCTCAAACCCCCGTGTGCTCCACGTGGTACGTAAACTCTGGCTGCACACACACACACACACACACACACACACACACACACACACACTGTTTCTCCCCTGCCCTGTCTCGTGCCTCGTTCCTTTTCCGCTGTTCCCGTTGCTCTTTGCGATCGGGTCTGACAGATCTGTGTGTCCGTACCAATTCCCTCGTGCTAGGAAATGAGCTGCAGCGAACCCGAAACGTATGAAGTCGAGGTCGAAGTGCCTGCTGGTCGTCGGGCCGAGCTGGCTCTGCGCCAGCCTCTGCGCGTCCTCGATGCCGCCACTGGCACCAGCCCGGTCGAATCGGTTTCTGTCGGCGCAGGTCGCACCAAGCTGCGCTTTAGCGCTTAAGCCCTTTGCACACATGCCGGCCTGTTCACACTGTTCCCGGCCTTGACCCGACTTTGTGTGGGCCCTTGCCTCGTCCAGTATTGACCGTCTTTGTTTGATGGCCTTTCTGGCTTTTCTCCAAATTGACACTTAGCAACACAGTTGGTCTCAGAGCCTCTGTTGATTGGGTTTCCATTTGAAAGGGTCAAATCCCCCCCCCCCCCCCGCCCCCCTTCTTGGTTGCTCCTTTGTTGACGATCGAGATGCCACTAGCTGACACGAGCGTGTTTCAAAGGAGTTGTCTGTCGCTCGTGCATGGTTACCTTCCCCTCATCGTCTGTCCTTTCTCGCTAAAGGCAGCAGCAACGAAGACAGTGGACCGCTTGAAACCATGACAAAAGTACTTGCATGCATGCACATACTTGGTCGACGGACATGTGCAAGTCTCATCACAAATAAAACAAATCTCACTGCATGCGCACTCAAGCAAAGCCGAAGCAGTGGAACGACGTGTTGAGATCGACAGGGCTCCAGCATCATGCGTGCAGGAGAAAATGGTGCAGTGACAACGAAGCTGGAGGCCTCGGCTGCGTCCGTGGGCAAGGCGCAAAGTTGCAAGCGATCGGCCATGCATCTGACGACTCAGATGCCAACACAACTCCTTGGCTTGGCTTGGCTTCGCCGACCACCGTCTGGTCCTTGGAGGTGGGGCGGGAGGCATTCCGGGAAAGGGCTTTGGAGGCCATCTTAGCTACGAGGGCAAACAAGTGGGCGTTTCACATGTGGGTGCGCTCCGCCCCGCCCAGCACTACTTGTGCTTCCGACGGCAGCGAGTGTAGCATTTTACAGCATCAATCAGATCAACCAACTCAGAACTTGAACAGCTTTTTGCATCTCTATATCACTCAAGACTATCAACAACCGCCACCATGTCGAGCATGTCGGATAAGATGACCAAGATGGGCAACAACGTCGAGAATGCGTAAGTGTTGCCGTGACCCTGGTGGGCATGAGTCTAGTGGCGGTTCTTGAAAAATCGACTTTAGTGCCCCGACTCACGTCCCATGGCCCTGTGAATGGCACGGCTTTGTACAGCTTTACCTCAGACGAGAAGACCAAGGCCAAGAACAAAGCCGAGAACGCGGCCATCGACGCCAAGGGCGGCGCCAAGGAGGCCGGTGATGCCATGAAGGACAAGGCCAAGTCGGCTGAGCACGCCGCCAAGGAGGAGTACCACAAGGCTGCCAAGTAACTTTGTTACTTGCGGAGGAAACCCGAATGTTATCGCCTGTCCATGTAACGGCCCGTGGCTGTCACATTTTTTCTTGTCGCCAAGCGAACCACTTTTGTGTTGAAGGCCGCGTGGCCTGAGACTTGTTCGTTGCCTGTCCCGTGGGACGGCCAGTGCACATTCAAGCGTACTTGATTAGCTGCCAGCTTTGTTCCAATTGACATCTTACTACATCCTATAATTTTGTATCTTGTCCGAAGCATGCGTTCCCAGCCGGCGTCGCAACCACGATTCTTTCTCTTATCACCAGCTTCAACCACCCCTTGATGTTTGACTTGCCTCCCAGCAAAGTGTGCCGGGTCACTGGAGGGCACAACAAAACAGAAGCGTCTGATCAAAAAGAGGATTTGTGTTGAATTGTCCATACACATGTCACTTATGCCTGTGTCAGGAGCTCGCGGCTGATAATCATGCGCATAACCTCGTTGGTGCCCTCAAGGATTTGATGCACACGCAAGTCACGCAGGAACTGTTGGATCTGTTGGAGAAACGGCACCAAGCAGCAAGATGGACGCGTGAGTGGGTGTAACTCGGGCAGACCCACTACTCTTGCGATTCGATCTCAACATCACCTTGTAGTCTTTGAGGTAGCCGTAGCCACCGTGCAGTTGCAGGCAGCCGTTGACGATATCAAAGCACCGATCTGTCACCTCAAGCTTGGCCATGGCGCACAACGCGGGAGCCGCACTAAAACGTCACCAATCCAGAGGAAGGCCAAAGCAGCAACGTGGCGTAGATGTGTGAGTTGTGTGCGTTGAGCGTTGACCCAGACAACGCAGGGCAGTCCTGTGAGCGGTGATTGACTCGCACCTGCTCTTCGCATCCAGTTCACGGGCCGCGAGGCGGAGCATCTGGCGGCTTGCCGTCAAGCCAGTCGCGTACTCGGCCAGGCGAAACTGCACGGCCTGGTTGTCGTTGATGGCACGACCAAACTGCTTACGATCACTTGTATATTCGAGTGTACCCTCCAACGAGGCTTGAGCGCCGCCGAGACTGCAGGATGCGATGTTGATGCGTCCTACTCAAAGAGTCCAAACGTCCCATGTTGAGTTGCGCCGGATCCCACGACCGGGCCACCTGATCTACACGTGCCGAGGTGTCAATGTAACGATCACGACCATGCTGCAACATACCGCCGTTCAAACCCGCCATGGCAATATTGAAGCCCTTGCCCTCACCACCCAGCATGTTGCTAGCTGGGACGCGAACGTCCTCCATGATGACCTGACGCGTTGGCTGCGAGTTCCAGCCCAACTACGCCGCCGGAATTGCGAGAGTGACACCGACAAGAGATTGAGAGAAAAGAGGAAAGGCATCACAAAGAACCAGACCCGCTGAGGCTTCTGGGACTTGGCAGCAACAGGCTTGCGTTCAAGTGCGACGGCGAGGGCGCCTCACCTTGCGTTCCTTTTGACCGTAACTGAGACCCGGCGTGTCCTTTTCAACGATGAAGCAAGAGATGCCCTTTGCTCCGGCGCTGCCCGTACGCGTCATGACCAGGTAGACATCTGATTCACCGCCACCACTGATGAAAGCCTTGGTGCCATTAAGCACAAATTCGTCACCTAAGAATAGACCGATGAGCATGCGCAGCGGCCCCAAGCGCACAAGCGCACAAGCGCACAAGCGTCTGGTCGGCAACGGCGAGCAGACGGTGACGCACGTACCATCGCGCACGGCTGTGGTGCTGAGCGAGGCAGCATCACTCCCAGCCCCGGGCTCTGTCAAACAATACGAGGCAAAGAGCTGCAAAAAGGAACCAGTTGCGCGCACAAAGTCATTGAGCACGAGTAAGGACCTGGTAGCCAGGCAGATGGACAGTCGATGAGCGGCAGCCCGGTACGCACGTCCATGGAGGCCAGGCGGGGAAGGTACTCGGCGCGCTGCGCCTCATTGCCATATGTGTCAACCATCCAGGCACACATGTTGTGAATGGAGAGGTAAGCGGTGGTGCTGACGCAGCCCGTGGAGAGCGCTTCAAAGATCAGCGAGGCGGCGAGTCGTGACAGTCCCGAACCCCCAAACTCCTCGCGGGCATAGATGGCACCATAACCTAGACTGGCCAGCTCCCGCAGCACGTCGCGGGGAAACACTTCGTCGGCATCCCAGGCCTGCATGTGCGGGGCCATTTCCTCGCGAGCAAAGCTCAAGCAAGTATCATAAATGAAGCTTTCCTCCTCGTCCAGCCCAATCAGGCCTGATTCCACCAGCGCGTGGACAGCGTAGCGGTCGATGAGATGCCATGAGGTCGCAGCTTTGTCCAAATGAGCACAAACTTTTTACCTGTATTGGCTACGTGGCGACGGGCGCCCGCGATGAGCGGGGAGCTGCTGTGGGGCAGAAGGGGCAGAGCAGGTGAGTCAGGTCATTTTCTTCGCGCATCAGGAGGATGTCCAGTAAGGACTGGCGCGGCTTACCGTGCGCTATTGCGCAAAGCCGAATGCACTGCCGGGCGCAACGCCGAGGTCAATCCACGAGCAAGCAACATGATGGCGTCTCAGTGTCCAAGCGGGTTGTCAAGAGCTGACCAGGGAGGGCGCGCGCCCCCGAAACGGCGGAAGAAATAACGTGAGTCACGTGCGCAACAAGCAGGAAAGGAGGCGTACTAGCCCGTCCAGACGAATATAGCACCACCACCATTACCCCATTCCAACCAACACCACCACCACGACCACCCAAGCCCTCAACAAACGAGAGGGAAGAGGGGCAGCCAGCCGCCGAGCGTACATACAAGAACCACACCACCCATCGGGGCTGCCAGTTGAACGAAAGAAGAACGCGCAGAGGCGTGCGCATAAGACACACACAGAGAGACAGAGAGGGCGCAATACTTGTTGTTGTTGTCGTAAAAAAAAAGAAAATAAAACACGAAAAGAGAGAGAGAGAGAGAGAGAGAGATGAATTGGTTTGGTCGGTTTGAGATAAAGAGCAAAGACATAAAGGAAAAGCACAACTACCACATGTAAGAGAGAGAGAGAGAGAGAAAGACAAAGGAAAAGCACAACGAGAAGAAAAAGAAGAAAAAGCAGCAGAAAACGTCAGAGTTTTTGAGTTTGTAGTGTGCGAAACTTCAATGATGATGGGGTCGGTCTAGGGGGAGGGTGCTGATGGTTGATGTGAATGGAATGGCACGTCGAGATGAATAAGCCGTGTCAGCGCCTCATTGACACGGTGCCACACCGATTCGAAGCGCATGGCAAAAGATCCAAAGTCACTCATACTCGATTAGCAGCAAGCCAACCACAGGCTTGTCATGTCGCACTCGTCTTCAAAGAGGCGAGGAGTTGCGGGACGAGAGAGGCTAGATAGGCTCGGCGCGCTTCAGCGTGAAGGATGGCCGCCCAGCGGCCGGGGCTTGATGCTTGAGCTTCGCACAGATTATCGCCTGCTGAACCCCGCGCGGCCAAATCATCCTTCAGTATCATGTCCATGAGCTGGCCTGCAGGCATTGCACAAAGGTGTGTCGCCGGTGCTCCAGCGTTCTGCGTGCTGGACGTCGGAGGAGGTAATGCTGAAACAACGAGACGCCGATCGCGCGCATCGATGAGCGTCACCTCGGTGTATTGGGTGGCCACCGTGGCAAATAAGAGTTGCTGTAATGTGGGCGAACGCCATAGGGCCAAGACGTCAAACAGGTGCGCGCCCAGATGAAGCTCCGCCGATGCACAGCACTCAAGATGCAAAAAGTCCCACGTTCGGCACGCGGTCGTTGCCAACGGAGGGGTCGGTGTTACCAAGTCGCATCCCTGAGCATAGAAATCATCGCTGCGCGACCAAGCCGCGGCAACATCGGTGGCTCGCAACGCTTTGTGCCGCTCGAGCAGGGCTGGCCTCAAGGGATATGCACGGACTAGATCAACCACCTAGCACCCCAGGGCAGAGCACAATGCATGACAAAAGGCCCGGGACATGAGAACTCACGTCTACAAGGCAGCAACCCACATGCGCGAGGTGTCGCCGTCACCGGGCCCGAGGCGTGCCACCCGGTCAAGACCGCACCTTCTGCACGGTGTGTCGTAAGCTCTTGCCCTGAAGGCGAAGCTTTCGGAAGAGCTGGTGCGCTTGGTTCACCGCTTGAGTGATGTCGTTGCCGCAAAGAGCCGCCAACGTGCAAAGCTGCACGGGGGACAGGTGCAGTTGCGCACACAACGTTTCGCCCTGCAAAAGGCGACACGAGTGGGGTGCTGCCCAGTCCAAGCTGGGCAAGGGCACGTACCTACAGCATGATCCAATACGTAGGCGATAACACGTGAAAACTGGAGCAGGCAATCGGGCTGCAAAGGCGGTGGTCAAACATTGGCGACATCAAAGCGCAGAGAACGCACGGCACGTGGCCAAAGATGATGAAATCAGTGTCCTTGCTCAAAACGGCCACCACGTCGGATCGCTCAAGGCACAGGCGCGCAATGACCACGTCAGCGTCCTCGACAGCAACCTCAACCGCCAGGTCTGCAAGAGGATATTGATGTACGGCTCTTAATCAAAGGCGCAGGCGGCCGCGGCATCCGTCAGGAGGGAGTGCCGGGATGATATCAAGAACAAGCAGACAAACCTCGAGCACGGAGCGCCGACAGGACTGTCATTTCAGCACCATAAGGGAGCATGGACGGTACGTCCAGCTCGCCCAGATCCAGCTCGTCCTGGCAGGCGCTCAATTGCCGGGTGAGACGGTGCAGCAAGTTGGCCTCGTCGGCATCCCGCCGGCGCCAACACTCGGCTTTGTCGGGATAGGCGGTGGGGTCACGCGGCGCGTCCACTGCCCGCCCGATTGTGCACAAGACATTCAGTTCAGGTCGATGCAGCCAACACAAGGCAAGGAGGCAGTTGAACCAAAGGCTATCGTCTGGCGGCGAGGGTTTCGAGACTCAAGGGTGAACAAACTAACCGACAAAAACTGGTCGGAGCGGAACGGCTTGCAGTTTCTCAACACAATCCAAACAGGCGTCGACCAGCTCAGCAGATGCATCACGTGCCACGACACGGCGTATGGATAGCTCTGGTCGCACAAGCTCGCGAAAGACGTGGTGCAACAACGCTTTCAAATCCACAACCACCACCGCCGATTCGTCCGGGCCCCTGGTCCCTGACAGCCGCCTCAGCGAGGTATATGCTCCCAAATGCGGCCGCCCATCCACAAAGCTTGCCAAACCCAGCACCCCCATCCTGATCCACAAGCCGCCAGGCCCCACCTCATATCAAACACCCCGCACAAGCACGCATCCGCCCCCTCTTTGATTGCCGCTTTCTCTCTGATGCCACCCGCCATAAATAGAATGGCTGCGATGATGCAATCGGTTGGCTGTTCCACAATTCGAAACACACACACACACACACACACACACACACACACACGCGTTCGCGCGTTGGAACATCATGCGGCCAGTCGGACCATCGCTGCGGACCATCGCCGCCAGCCTGGTCCTGATGGCCTGCGCCATGTGCACCGTGAGCCGGGCGTCGGTGGAGCAGATGGATGACGGCCAGACCATACGCCCCAATGCAAGTTATTCCGTTTTCTTCGCCCTGGCTGCGCTCCTCTCGCTTGTCCTCCTCGGACATTCCTGATTCGCCTTGCGCGGGATGGCTGGCAGATTCTATTTTTGATGGCGGATCAGCTTCGCTGGGATGCCGTGGGCTATGCCGGTCAGAGTGGCATCCTGACGCCCAATATTGATGCACTCGCCCGGTCAGTGGCCACGATCCTGGACCGCCTGCCTCACTGCCCTTCCGTTACTTTTCTTTTGAGCTGACTTGCTCTGATCAGCTCGGGGCTGGTTATGCAGCGCTCTTGGAGCTCGACACCAACATGCACACCCGCTCGAGCCGCCTTGTTAACAGGCCAATCACCCTGGAATCATGGCATGCTAGGCTATGGCAACGTGGCACCCCGGTCAGCTTACCCTGCCCACCCTCCTTTCCAGCCCCACCTGCGCTCACAACAAGCAGAGTCGGCTCATCGATTGCTCCGTTTTGCTCCTGCATGGATGTCTGTTGATGGAGGACAGCTATCCTGTCGAGTTTCCGCGCATCCTGGCTCAGGCTGGCTATCGGACAGCCGCCATTGGCAAGGTAGACCCCTCCCACCCCGCCTCTGTATAGTTGTTGAAAGGTCCGACGGGCGAGCACACGAGCTGTCATTGCTCGCGGCAAGTGCGGAGGCACCCGCAACTAGCAATGACAACTGCATGGCGCTGATTCTTGCAGGACCACTTTGGTTGGAATAGCACGTCAAACGAGGGGATCGACCATGGCTACCAATCCACTCAGGTTCTCCCTTTGCGCCGTGGTTTTGCCCGAGCCCGAGAGACCAAGGGCCTCCGCTGGGCGAAAGCTTCATGGCACCCACCGTTGATTCGCAGCTCTACGATGGCCTGGGCGACTGGGATTCGACCGCTCCGCACAACTGGTCTGGGGAATACGACGACTATGATCAGGCAAGTCTACCCTCGACGCACGGTCAACATGCCTTTTTTTTTTTTTTTTTTTTCTTTTTTTCCTAACAACATGTAAAAAAAATCGGCAGTGGTTTCAGCAACAAATGCCTGGAAAAGACCCACAGGCAACACTCGACTTTCTTGATGGTAATGGCTGGAACTCGTGGATTGGTCGGCCTTATGTGTACGCGGACGATCTGCACCCGACAGCTTGGGTTGGGCGCCAAGCCGTCTCGTTCCTGGAACAGAATAATGCCACGACGCCATTCTTCCTCAAAGTCTCTTTCCATCGGTATGGTTGCTGCACTGGTCTTGCTGAGTAGTGACTGAGTAAATCGTGTGTCTAAATCCCGGGCCCGCCCTGCCCTTCTGTGACGTGTAGACCCCACAGCCCGTACGATCCACCTGCCAGTTACCTGGCCAAGGTGACCCGTGACATGCTTCCCGCGTCGCGTACTGGAGGTAATTGGGATAGCGTGTACGTAGGATGAGAGGCCAACTGATTCGTTGGCAGCCAGGCTGCCCTTAATGCTTCTCTCACTTGCTACGCCCACCCGATTTTCGATCTGCAGCTTTCGAGGGACACCAGGCGATCCTCCGGGCTGCGGTGCCACCCCCGACGCTTGGTGTGGAGCTATGCCCGCCAATGAAACCTTGAACTCCCGACTTTGCTATTATGCCAACATCATGTTCATTGATGAGTATATTGGTCGTATCGTCGACACGCTCAAGCAAAAAAACCTCTTTAATCATACTTACATCATCTTCACCGGTAAGTGTGCTGGGCGCTGCTAAAAAAAGGCCCAGCCGTGGCCCGCGACCTTTGTTCCTGCAAACCTCACGCCCTTGCATTATGTCGGCCTTTGGCTCTTGCTGTTGCCGCCGCCCTTTTCTCCCGCTCTTGACACACACGGGTGTGTAAGAGCAGCAGATCACGGCGACGGTCAAGGTATGCATCCGAAAGCCACGACCACAACATTGCACACCTGTGAAGTCGCAGCCCCTGACACTCGCCGTGTCCTGTTGGGGGAGGGGGTTGCACAGGCGATCATTATCATTGGCGCAAGGGATACCCGTTTGAATTTAGCGCACATGTGCCCATGTTTCTTCGGTGGCCCGAAGTCGTCGACTCGGTGGTCAATATATCCCGAGGCACGGTTATTCCTCAGCTAATGTCCGAGCTGCGCGATGTAGCACACACAGCCTTTGACGTGGCCAATGCGACGCATCTGGTCCCAAGCGGTGAGGTTCCACGATGCTCAGTATGCCGCACCGTAAGCAAACGCTCACCCAACCTGTCGTGCCGTTTCTCAAGACCACTTTCAACCCGAGGATGGAAAGTCCCTCTTATGCCTCCTGCAGGACCCAAGCGGCCGGGGTTGCACGTATAACCGTGCGTCATGGTTTTGGCCCGTATCTAATTTCGCCCCGCTTTGAGCGACAAAGCCAACATTTTTTGACATGAACACCAAATGCCCGGCTCATCTAGTCAACCCGGGCCCGTGGCGCCGCTTTTTGGACCTTGAACACAGCACCGTTTACAATGAGACTGTACATTGGAATGCACTCACTGGTACGCCAGGGTTATGATCGTTTGCCACGCAAGCACCTGCAACGAGTGCTCACCTGCTCTGCATCATGAATGGCACGCAGATGGTGAAATGAAATATGTCTTTCGGGCTTTTTTCCCCGATGAGTTGTTGTTCAATTTGACAGCCGATCCCTGTACGAATCAGCATGACATGGTTTCCATGACAAGATGGCCCGGCTCTCTTGTACGCTCTCCGCTTGAAGGTCATGACTGCTCTGACTGACCCTGCCTGACCCTAATAGGGGAAATGAACAACTTGGCCGATGATGCCTCATATCACAAGGAGCTGATGCTCTGGCGAGAACGGCTCATTGAACAGTTTGAACGCGAGGGGCGTGGCCCGGCCTTTGTTCAAAATCATACCTTGATGCAACGAACGCAGGTGGGACTCTGCCACGTCGACCCGATTGGTGTGCGTTTTTTACAAGTCTCACGTGCGCGAGGCGATCATTAGGGGATGACATACGGTCCCAACTATCCACAGGGTCCACCCATTGCGCCTGGTATGTTCCGTGTCAGCTCGGCCGAGCTGTCGAAGCCTTAACGGAGGGCCTCACCACCCCCGCTTTGCGGTGTCAGGCGACGAGATTGTCATGCAATCCAACGGGGCAAGCCATGATACCTGGCTCAACCATAGCTCGGGCCAAATTGAGTTGATGGCAACCAACGGCAGCGCCCTAGGTCTATGCTTTGCCAGCACAGACAGCCGGTAAGCTAGATGGAATCAATCTGGCCCGAAATCGCGATGCGACTTGTTCACAAGGATGGTGGGACTTGCAATCAGGAGCTTGGCTGCACAGAAATGCGACACTGGATCAGAACAGATGTTCTGGATGCGACCGATACCGTCTGACCAAAATCAAACGTTCGCTCGATCCAACTTCCAAATGCTTCAACATGGCGCAGATTGCGTGACTGTTCTGGTGGGTTGCGGGCTTGAGTTTGATATTCCTTTTGCCATCACCTTGGGGCTGTTTGTCGACTTGGACCGACCCTGACTTTCGGCCTGGTGCGTGGGTGGCTAGGCCGGAAATTCAGCTGCTGGCGCAGCTGTAGGAATGCAGCCGTGTAATTTTGGCAACGCAACTGTGGCCACCTGGCAATCTTTCATCTATGGGGCGAGCGGGCGGATCTGTGCTGACGCGCTCAATAACATGTGCTTGACCGTGCAAGGCAGCTGGGCATTTCTGGACAAGAACCGGGACCCCCGAGAAGATCTTTCCAAGTATTGAGCTATTTTTTGACAAAACTGTAAATTGAAGTAAAAGTCCGCCTCTTCAATTGTAAGCCGCAAGGCGGCTATGTAGCGACCACCAGGGACGTGGCTCTTGACGGTGCAGCGCCAAGCGTGCTTCTGGCCAAGCCGGAAGACGCAGGGGAAAAAAACACGCAATAGCCAAAAACCAAGACACAAGACAAATGACCTGTGTGTAGCAGGCAGAGTGCTGCAACGACCAGGCAGAACAAGGGCACCAAACGAATAAATACAACACGAATTGGTTTTTGCCATTTCGCAAAGCACGATCAATGACGTGAGGTGCCAGGTGCAGAAGTAGACCCAACCAAAGTGACACTATGGACTGTCAAAGCGGGGATCCAAAACATTTCAACAATCTTAACATTACAAGCAGGTGCAGAGTTTCTTGCAACCCGTCTTCTTGTCCTTCTTGTTCCACTCAAAGTTGCCGTTGCACCGCTCTCGGCAGTCGCTCTTTTTGATGCGCTCGGGGCAACAGACGCACGCCTACCATTACGAGCGGGCGAGAGCAGGGGTGAGCACCAAAACACATGCCCACAGAATCAGCGAGCCAAGCCAAATGTCTGTATGCTACGATCAAAAGTCAGAAGCCACGCCGTTGATAATCGATGATACGTACGTGCAGGCAGTAACCCTTCTTGGCGCGCTTGAACCAGTTGGAGGAGGGCAGACTGGCTTCTTGCTTCTTGCAATGTTTTTTGCAGTCACGACGCTCATGATAAATACCGACTCCCGCATTGCAAGTGGGTTCGTCGTCGTCGTCATCTCCTGCGTCGTCGTCGGTCTCACCAGCCTTATCGTCGTCATCGACCGGCTCGTCGGAATCGGGATAGCTCAGACAGGTGATCTGCACGTTGGGGTCTTCGGTCCACGGGGCAGCGTACACCTCCACAGCTGCCTGACTGTCCTCGGGTCGGACCGCAGACGACTCCATGCGCGCAAACCATGACCCTAAGAACCAGCGCCAGTGTTGACCGTTGTGAGAACAGACCAGTCAAGAAACTTGAACAATAGCATCAAAACAGAGGTGACAACGTACAGGCTGTGGGTGAAGTGGCGAAAAACCACCAATCGGTTGTGTGCGACAAGTAAAAGTCGCTGCCTTGCTTTCTAGGTATTGCGTGCAAACACCGCAGGGTAGCAAGCCAATGATATATGGGATGAGTCATCGGCAGCCCGGCAGCAGGCGAACCAACCAAGGGTGCAATACAACAGGCACACACGAAGGTAAGCAAGTCGCAAGTCGCGCAGCATCACACACTTGTAATATGAAACGCCCAAAAGGGAAGCGTCTTGGTCGTAAATGCCATTGATGATGCTGTTGACGCCGCTTCGCCCAGACACTTGCAGCTGCAAGCAAAAGTCTCCAGCTATACGCCACCAGGAATTGCAATCGGTCGTTTAGGGTAACCAAGCAGGCGAAGAGAATGAGATCAGGGAGTAACTGCTGCGCACAAGGGGCACCAAGAGGCGGTGGGTGCGATGCGAGCGGAAAGCAGCGATGCACAACGTACCGGGGGCGTCCGTGTCAAAGATGATGACGTCGTATTCATAGGTTCGAGTTTGACCACCGAGTTTGTAGTTAGACACGGTCACGTGATAGGTCACATCAGCCCCCAGAGGACGGTTCATGACGCTCTCGTCATCAATGTGGAAGGATAGAGCTGGGTCACCAAAGCCGCCATTGCGGTACTCAATCGTGACCGCGACGGGACCGTCAGGGCCCGTCATCGTGACGGTGGCGTCGGCAAAGTCGGCATTGTCGATGGAGACGGACCAGCGACGCGAGCTGGGAAGGAGTTGGTAGGGCATGTAGCCGGCCGAGGGCCAGAGCACGGCCTCGGGCTCGGTCGGGAGGCGAGTCCAGTCCCCGTTGATGACCCACATGGTGTTGGCGGGGTAGTATCCAGATTCGGAGGGATTGACGTCGCCCGTCCCAATTTCGGAGAGGGGTGGGTAGAGGATCCAGCGACGGTGGCCCACGGCCATGTTGTTGGAGCCATCATCGCTAATGTAGCCATCCACCGAGTTGACGCCAAAGCCGCCCAGATGGAGGTTGCTACGGCCGGCTGCCTCGTCACCGTTGGTGTGGTAGCATGCCCAACTCTCGTCGGGATAATGGCTGAGCATGGAGTTGGCGGACATCATGAGGGAGCTCTCCAGGCACTGGGCAGACTTGGTGAGGCTCAATCCCGCGGGCAGTAGGCCCACCATGGTGCGGTAAAAGTTGACGCGCTTGAGCACCATGAGCATGTGCTCGAGCGGGTTGGTGGTGATGCCGGTGCTGCATGCGGTCAAGTCTGAAGCATCGGAAAAGAAATCGTTGGTGGCACCCAAGTACTCTTGTTCGTAGAGCTGCTGGACCAATGCCTTATCCAGATTGCCCACGGCACGCCGAGTGCGCGTGGCCTCGTCAACCGTGGCAGCAGCCCGTGCGGGGCGGGGCCCATCTGGTGACGGGGCCTCGTTGGTCAGGCCATGGAAATCCGGGGCCACTAGGGTGGTCGAGTCGGCAACCACTCGGCCCACAATCAAGAGCACGGCAAAGAGTGGAAGTCGCCAAATCATGCTGCTGATTCACACCCAGACCTCGTGGCACTGGGACAATGGGGGAATGGGAAGAAAATGCAACCCCGCTCCAACGTCGGGGCAGCAATCGTCCAGGTGCGGCGCGAGGCGGGGTCGGTGGTTGGCTACATGTGCCCATCAAGGTGTGGGGGCAGGTGCGACTTGACGCATTCAATCCACATTGAATCATATGATTGCATGTATCGAGCTTGATCAGCGCTCAGGCACGGCAATCAAAGCGCGCCGCGTTGAGTTGATGAGATGACGCTCGGGTAAGGTCGACGCCAACGTAGGATTGTTTTCGCCGTGCGCGAGCGCCACCACCGCGAGGGCATAGGCTGCAATGGGAAGCTTTTCGTGGGAAATTTTGAACCTCGGACGTCAAAAGCACACCGTCGCGATCCAAAATCAATCATGCCCTCTCGATCTCCACACGATTTGGGCCGTGACGACGACACGACAACACTCGTGGCCCGGATGTTGCTTGGCAAAGTGGGTCGGGGTTTGGGACACCAGGGACTGATGTGTGTGTGTGTGTGTGTGTGTGTGTGTGTGTGTGCGTCAAATGCATACATGCAAGTGATTATTTGAAGCTGGATGCATGTATGCATGTTGGTGATCGACGAGCTGATCTGGGGAGCTGGCTGAAACTTTGAGACGGACGAAAAGAATGAGGCAATGGCTTTCAATCATCGGGGCGAATGGGGCCAGCAGTCAAGGCAGGGACACGGTAGTACGTTTCTAATTAAAAAAAATTAAACACAAGAGACTGGAGTAGGCATTGAAATGCTCGAGCGAGAACGTTTTCAACGCCCGCCAACCCCGAAAACAGAGAAGGAAAAAAAAGAAGAGGGAAATCGACCATGTCCATATTATGCAAATGCGCCTCCCTTCAGGACGCCTGCTGATCCCCACCAGAGGTGGTAAACATGGTGCCGCGATAATAGGTACCGGGGCCGGAGTTGGACACCTGGATGTCATCCATGTCCAACTGGTAGAGCTGGCCCTCGTATTTGTTCGGCTTGGCGGAAGAGCGTCGCCTGGATTCTGAGCCTGTGCTTGCATTGTTTGCTGCTGCCTGGTCGGCCAGCTTGTTGCGGTAGTAAATTTGCATTCGCTTCGAGTGCTCTTCCCGCGCCAAGACATAAGCGCTGATGGAGTGGTTCACATCGTCCATGCGGTTCCGCAGACGCTGCAGAATGACCTCATGCTTAAGGAGCTTGGCGTCAGACAGCTGCCGCTCCTGATGAAGGCGCATAAACTCTGTTGCGGTGACCCGGCAGTGTCGTTGAGTAGGAGGAAGAATGCAAGGATTGGCCTTGTGCGCGAGGGGGCAAGGGCGGATGTTGTAGGGATGGCAGCCAAGAAATCGAAAACGTACCGGAGATGAAGATGCCGGCGGGAATGGCCATAAGCACCACGCCGATGCTGGCCACCAAAGAACCCACAATCTTGCCCTGCGTCGTGGTTGGCGAAATGTCACCTACATGACCCGACATGCATGATGAAGAGTGAGGGAAGCACAGAATGGCAGGAGCCAAGAGAAGTGCCTCGCCCTCCGAGCAGCAAAGTGTTTTGTCCATGAAATGCTCAACTCACCGTAACCAACGGTCGTCATGGTGACCACAGCCCACCACATGCCCTCTGCCCGACAAACACGATGGCCGGTCAATGTGAGCAAAAACAAGAGGCCAATTCAAAGCCGCGCGACCAGCGCACAGCAGCTGGGCCCGCTCGAAAACTTGTGGAAATGAATGCAGGGCGGTGAGTGTGGTGGTTGCTGACCTGGAATACTGATAAACCCAGAATCTGCATCTTGTTCACAGTAAAAGATGGCTGATCCAAAGAGCGTTGCCGCGACAATGGTGATGAGGAAGAGGAGCACCAATTCCTTTGACGATTTGGAAATACACACAATCATGTCCTACACGACGAGTGACGTTTGACAGAGGGGAAAGCATGTGCGCAAAAGAGCAGCCAATGTGAGCTATGCGCCTCCTTCAACACCTCATTTGCACTGCACCATGTGCGTCCCACGCGCACATGTGCGTGCGTGTTTCATGCGCAGAGAGGGTAGGAATAGAAGCAGGGAAGGAAAAGGCGGTGGGAAACGGACTGGTGGGACAATGGCTCACCTGCAACCCCTCCGAGTGACGGCTGAACTTGAGAAGGCGGGAGATACGGGTGAGTCGAAGAATACGGACAACGGCTACGCTTGACGCCCCGGAAGAATTGAGGCCCAGCCCAATGTAATACGGTAGGATGGCAATGAGATCAATCAGATTCATGGGCTCCCACATCCACTTGGTCAAGCGGGTCGGGCCCGCCGCGTAGAAGCGCATGCCATACTCAATCGTGAACCACGCAATACAAACGGATTCAATGGTAAAAAAGGTCGGGTGGTTGTCTGTGCGCGGCTCGCCATCGTCGCCGAGGCGGTAGGCGGGAAGTGTTTCAAACACAAAGCCACACACCGAAATCAAAATAACGATCATGGTCGAGATTTCAAAGAAGCGAGAGATGGGGTGATTCGCCTTGAGCCACCAGATACAGTCACTGTTACGGTCATCATCGTCATCGGAGACTGAGCGGAGCGCCAACTCTTCGTCGCTCAGAAATGCAGGGTTGTCAAAATCAAAAGCTGAAGAGCGCGTCAGGACATCGCTGATGTTGTCACCGTCCCCCTCGGAGGGCGAGAAGACGGGCGCCAGGTCGTCATCACCCGTTGCTGCCGTCTCGGCCTCCAGCGTAGTGCTGGGCGCCTCCCCAATAGCAACGGGAAAGGTGGTGACGGCCGTGCGACGCGGTTCCTGAGCAAAATTAAAAGAAACTCTTGGACCATCGACGACACGCTTGGCGTGCTCCTCACGAACGCGTTCCGCCTCGGCCTTGACGGAAGCCTCGACCAGGAGATACCCTGCCGGTGTGAGCGGCGTGGTGGTGGTATCGCGGGCAACTGGAGGCGGCGCAGGTGAGGTTCCAAGGTACTCGGGCACCGCCGACAATACCTGATCAGACCATGATTCCGACCCGAGCTTGACCAGCAGGCAAATGGGTAGGCCGCGTGCCCGCAGGGTGTCGGTGGCCAGCACTTTGAGCACGCGAAGGTCGGCCTCTTGGCTCAAATCAAGGCAAGTGCCATCCATGTAGCATAGATCAATCTCATCGACTGGCACGGGGCGTTGGGGATGAACGGCTGCATAGGCCTGAAGGGGAAACTCGACAGCCTCCTTGATGTCCAAGACCAGCTTGCGGCCGGGTGTCATTATTGATCGAACGTGACCAGACTGCCGATCATGATCCTGGTCTTGATGCGCAGCCGGGTCGGCCAAGCCCACAACCTCAACCACAAACTCGCTGTGATCCATGATATGTACGTGAGTGGCAAGGCCACGCCCGCGCGTTGGCCTCTTGGAGATGATTTGGAGAGAGGAAGCAGACGAAGCGTGAAGCAGGCACGACCACCTCTCCTTCCGGTCTTATTCGCCAGCGCGCAGGCTCGCAAGCCGCGCTGGCCGGACAGGGTGAAGGAGCGCAAAGATGAGGACTGTATCAATTTTGGGCCGTCATGAGCCTGGATCGCGCCCCACCGACTTGGTAGCCCCAAATACCTATATGAATAAGACAACGACAAGAGATGAGCACTACGCAGGCGGTAGCTGGATGCAGTAGAGATGGCAGTATCATTCATCTCCATCACCCCAATGCACTTGTACATGCAAGCCAGATCAAAACCGTGCGAGCACAGTCCCACGCGAGGCTGCACCTCACATGCGCTGAAACCCCTCTGCCTCCTCTGAATCTAAAGCTCCCCCTCTCCCCTCTCCTCTCCTCTCCACCCATCTGATTCTCAAGCCAGTCCCCTTTGCCTCTCCCCCTCCCCCGCCCACCCGATTCATCCACGCTCCGCCCCTGTATCCAGGAGCAAAGGGGCTGCCATGCCATAGCGGGCACAACACAGCGAGCGAGGGGCACTCACGTCGTCCAAAGTTTTTCGCGCAATTTGACAAAGTCACCCAAAAAAAAAAACAGACTGGCGGATAATGGGAGTTGATGTGACCGATGTGGTGGTTTTGTGTCGTTTTCTCGTTCTCCAACCTGTTGTGCTTACCAGAACCGTGTGGACTTTATGTAGCATTCTTTGAGGTTGCTGTCGCCGATAGTTTAAAAGTCCGCAATGATGACAAAGGGGTTTGTTTTACCAACCACCACACACCCCTCTCCAAACTAAACTACATTGTTCTCTAAATTCAACCCATCGACCTGGGTGCTACCAACTGTAGCGGTTATTGCCATTTGGTACCTGGACCGGTTCGTTCACCACGAGGAAAACACAAAAGATTCAATAAAATCCCCTTTTGTGTGTGTGTCTCTCTCTCTCGCTCTCTCGCTCTCTCTCTCTCTGAAAGATAGCGGCAAGACTTGCAATGCGACGATATGGCAGCGCCAAAGTGCAGGCTATGGGTGCTGTGTGCTGGTCTTATGAACGTTGCATTTGCTGGCTGTCCTCATAGGCATTGGATGGGCCAGATATTGAAGCCAACCCTTCTGCAGCCGCATAGCAAGCTTCCTTGAGGTGCTGACCAGGTCCCTGAAGCACCTTTTCAGCCCTTGCCTGGGAGTCCTTGAGCCGTCTTCCGAGCCCCTCTGCTCTCCACTCTGAAGAAAGGGTGGAGAAAAGATGGCCGCTAACATGGGCATGCGCGTCTTGAACGCGCCGCATGCCGTTCCAGCCCTGCGTCGTGCCCAGGTTTGCAACAAACTCGCCCTGTCTCTCTGCGAGCCCCTTCAGGATGGGCGTCCCATTCCGCTACCTCTTCCTTGCTTCAGCTGACTGTCGGTTTGACGCCCGTTGCTTTGGCTTGCCCGCGACTGCACAGCGCTGGCGCACTTGGAAGCAGACTGTTCAGGTCCACCGCCTTCGCCTGGCTACCACAGCCAGCTGCAACGCCGCAGCCGCCCCGCGGTTTGTCTTTGACCAACCCAGCAACACCAAGTCGACCACGGGCATTGTACCCAAGCCGACCTTGGCCGACCGTGCTCAGGAATACTGGCGCCGGAGAAAAGACCCGGAACTCGAGGAAGCGGCTCGCCGCCTCGACCGTACGTCCTCACCCGCACGTGCGCTGTGGCGCCTTCTGACCTTGCTCGCCGCTGGCAAGAGCACGAGTTGACGTCTCGCTGCTTCCCAACTCATCTTCCTGCGGACTGGTTGGTGTACTGCTGATAGTGCGAGTCCCTCTCACCAATGTTGCCACCTTGAGTGACCAGCACTTCTTGGCCTACAACGGCCACTTGCGCCTGCGCAACATGGCCTTCAACTATCACATCTTTGATGATGTCTTTGGCAAGGTTCGCCCGTGCCCTGGGACGTTTCGCCCCCTCTGAAGTTTGCATGCTAAACTCATTGCTCGTGCACCGCCTGCTGCCTCTGAACCAGGTCTTTGTCCCAAAGAAGAACTTTGCCGTCTCCTGGGCTGATACTTACACATATCGCGGGAACCTAGTTGCGCCCAACGATGTCAGTGACGCTGTCTTACGAGCGCCATTTTTATTTTCTTATTCTTCCTTTGACCCTTTCTCTCCATGCCCCACTCTGGTGACTGCCTCACGATCTGGTCCATCTGGTGCGTGAAACAGACACTGGTGGCACCGGCCTTTCACTTTGAGCCCGAAGCCAACGTGCAGTACACGGTTGCCCTCTTGGATGCTGGTGAGTTTTGCTGCAGGTTTACTTGCGTCCATGTGTTTGGCTTGTATTATTCTGCATCCTGGTGTTGTGTTTCGTGTGCCTGCGATACCTGCGCTCACTGTGCTGCCGATTGCGGACGCAGACGGCCGTCTTGACGGGTCCGAGGGACAGGTTGCGCACGCGCTGACCTGCAACTTGACGGGGCCCACCGCCTCTGGCGATGAGGTTCTGCCCTACATGCCACTGACCCCATTCCAGGGCTCGGGATACCACCGCGTGGTTGCCGTTCTCCTGCAGCAGTCAGGTGCTCTGGATGCGGCCGCTCTCCGCGATAGCTTGCCCGCAGTCTCGTCGCAGAACCCCTTGAGCAACCGCTACATGAAGCTTCAGGATTGGGCCCGCCAGCATAACCTGCAGCCCGTGGCATTTTCCTTCTCGCAGGCTCAGCACGATGCCAGTGTGACCAGCACGCTGGCATCCGCTGGCTTTCACCAAGAACCCAGCTTTGCATAGCTTTCCTTATTTCGAACAACCCCCTTTTTCTTTTGCCAACTTCAACCTGGTCATGAATGTGCCAGTTTCCGCTGAGTCTGAGGACCAAAGCTCCTATGCCAGATGCGGTGCTTCTGAGGCTGGCCTTGAGTTTCTCAAGTTTTTGTGCCGGAGCAGGAGGATGACATACCACGATCGGTCTCAAACCTTAATCCATGGCCTCGTGATTCCGCCAAGGTTTCGGCAAGCTTGTGCTTTTCTTAAACCTATGCAAGCAAGGCTGCCGTGCATCCCTTTATTCTACCGCATGGCGGCAGGGAAGCGAGGCATGCCCTCCTGCTTTGGTTGAGCGTAGTTGTCTTGCCGTTATTGTGGCAACCTTCCAAAAAAGGCCGGACCGCATCCAAGTCGCGACATGGCGACGACGCGCTTAAAACAGTTGAACCCGATTTTATTTTCATAATCTTTGTCTCGATTTTCCAAACGCCCGATCATAGCAGCACCCTCACACCTGGGCAAGTCAATGCGACAGTCAAAAGTGCCGGAGAAATAATGCTTTGAGGCCGCCTCGTCACACGTGTTTCGATATGAGTTTGACAAGAAAAAGAAAAAAAATTTGAGATCACACACACACACACACACACAGATTCTTTTCATCAAACTCAACAGAATGGCGGTGAACATCTGCGTCGAATTCAGGTTTGGCCGAGAGGGGGGCGCGCTATTGTGGGCATGTATGGCAGGGCTTGAGGCGCGGCTGCGTGCAGGATCAATGGCAGCTCACTCGGTCGTGGTTGAATCACGGGTTTCTTTTTAGCGGGGGCGCTGAGCTGCTTGTGGACGGCGTGCGACGACACGATCTGCAGCTCAAGGCGCAAGAAGAACCATGTACGCCAACGGCGACGCAGCTCGTCGCGGCAGCTGCATGGACTGCTTTTCGAGTGCATGGACCTGTTCACGCCTCACGCTTTTGATCCGCCCACTAGGGACCATCAAAACCCTGCTTGCATACATCCGCGACCACCTGCTCAAGGAGCGACCGGAGTTGTTCATGGACGGCGAGACCATGTGCGTAAACACTTTTCTCACCAATGACGTCGGGCACCCCCACACCCGTTTGACAGCTTTTGCGTTTACTGACCTCCACCCCGCTCGCCCTTACCTGGTTTTCCGGCTCTTGGTTATGCTCGTTGGCATCACTAACTCAATGGCTGATGTCAACGCTTGCAGTCGACCAGGCATTCTGATTCTGGTCAACGACACGGATTGGGAGCTCCTGGACGGTCTTGATTACCAGCTTCAAGACAAAGACAACGTTGTCTTCATTTCCACCCTGCACGGTGGTTGAGAGTTAACGTCAAAAGCTTAGCACATGGATAAATGGGGAGGCGCCAACGGAACGAGACCTGCAGGGTGCCTGCCCTCTTCCCTGCCGTGGCCATGCTCCTTTTCAAGCTGCTGTGCAGTGACGAATCCCTGCTCCTCCCCACGCCTATCCAACTATACTTGTTGGCTCGACTGCGTATAACAAGGTAGAATCTGGGACGGATATCAAGGCGGCCGCGAGACGTTGGACAATGACCACAATCAATGACTTGAATTCGAAGAATAATAACAATGCTTTTTAACGATTCGGCACAGCCGTTTGGTACTGGGTGACAAGGGCACGGGCCGCGATGCGTCGCCTTGCCAACTTAGAGTGCACCATTATCCCCCAGCAAATGCAGACAAAAAGTGTGGCAATGCCCCGCCATTGGGATGAGCGTGGGCTCAGGTCATGCAAAGATTGCCAGCCGTCGATGTTGCAGGAACAGGGGTTGAGCCGTCGATGGTTGTGGCAAGCACCAAGATGCCGCACATCTCGGTTGTCGTGGTTACTCCGTATACAATGGCCGAGCTCTATCAGCCATCAAGACACGCCAAGCCCAGGCAGGAAAAAAGATGAGCCCCCTCCATCGGCTCAGGTTTTTTTTCTGCACACATGCAAGGATCCTGGTGGAGTAAACTAACCCCGGTATTGTTAAACCAGCAAGTTGTTCGAAGAGACTCGTTAGGCTCCATCTGAAAGGGAGTCTCCAGAGCTTGAAATGTCTGGAGGAAAAGCAAGTGAAATGATCAAAAAGAAAGAAGAGGGCGTGAGTTTGGACCAAGAAGATATTGTCGAACCAACATCAACATGGGCTCGAGAACCTGCAATGCACCTGATCGGCCCCGTATCCGTGATAGGGATTCATCTCCATGACAAGACGGGTAGACTCCGTCTCGTTCACGGCCTCAAGCATGATTCTGCCCACCCAAAATGCGAATGAGGGGTGAGTCTGATACGGGAAATGATACCCATTCAATGACAGAGGCCTGGGCAAAGTCGAAAACGTGAAACGAGGGTGGAAAAGCCAACAGACCGCGTCGCGTGCTCATGTGCGTGAAGATGGGCGCCGCGTATGAGCCAGGACTGGCCAACCACATTGACGGGCAACACCTGGGTCAGGTTAAAATGTTGCGCCGACGCGGAGCAGGTGAAGCTATAGCTGAAATTGCTGCTGAGGGGTGGGATCCTCAAATTGTAATCCCCAAGACCAACTGTAAACAGAGGAGCCTAAGCAGCACATTTGCTCCAAGGTCAGGAGCCAGGACCCTGCGAGAAAGACAGAAAGCTTGCCGGTAAAAGGGGATAGCCCCAGGCCAGGCGTACCTCGGGCAAGCCAGGCGCTGTGTCAAGCATCATTGTGGAGACGTCGGTCACGTAGGATGACGGTGGCTCGAAAATAAGATAGTGGATTTGCATGACGAGGACAGGTGCCTGAGTTCCAGGGCCCACCGCAAAGCCGGTGCCTTCGGGGAAGTGGAACTTCACTGCACCCTTGTCGTAGGCAAAAGCCAATGCAGTGCAAAGCCCGTTGGTGAAGATGCTGGAGAACGTCGGGCAACCGCTTTTATGAAAACGTGCAAGCGCTGCTGGAGTACACAAGAAAACGTCCGAGTGATGAACCAACTCGGGGTGTGTGCTGTGCAGTTCAAAGGCGGTGATGTGACCCACAGGAGCCGTTGACAAGTCAAAGGCCTGGCAGGGGAACAAAAAATAATTGCTGGATGTGTGGGCAGGAAAGCTGACAGGGGGGAAGGTGAGGTTGAGTTGCCCTGCATCGACGAGCTCCGATTCAGTACTGGTGACCGTCGTGACAAGCGCGGAATTGGTTGAGACCACCGAATTCGTCGAAGCAGTCGCCGTGTCCAAAACGCTGGGGCTTGGAGTGGCCGTTCGTGCAGGGCTCGAGGTAGTGCTCAGGTTATCCCCAACGGCCAAGGCGTGGCCCAGCGTAGAGCCTGATGGCTGCTCAGTTGGCCGTTGGTGCTTGCGCGCTTGATAAAACCCTACCCCGATGACGAGCAGCAGCACGCCCAATGCCACCAGCGCTACGGTGCCGACGCGGCGAGGCCGCGTCCAAGCCGTTGCAGGCTGTGCGTCGATTGTGAGGATATGCGCCTCCTCTTCATCGCCGCTGTCAAAAAGAACGTCCTGAAATTCCTCCTTCTCCAATGGCTGCACCATCAAGGGGTAGTGGGCCAGCTGCTCTGGGTCGACAAAAACGTCCTCATCGGTGCAGTTACGCTCCTCCTCCTCGAGCAACAGCAGGTGCTGCTTCTTGCGCGGCGCCATCCTGCATGATGACCCCGACCAAACCCTGGAAGCGCTCCCACTTAAGTGACTCCTTCGATGTTATGCTTACCAGCAAGAATGACGATAACCCACTGGCTCGCCTCGCACCATCAGTGCGTGCACAGCACGTGTACAGCGCGCTGCCCCCACACGCAGCCACAGCACGAACGTGAACTTGGTCGGTGTGTGTGTGTGTGCGTGGAGGTCATCAAACTCCTTGTTGATGCAAGAAGCACGAAAACAAATGCACAACAACAAAATTGTCTGACAACGTTTGACTTGCTTGCTCTGGTGGTTGTGTTGTGGGCCGTGGAGCTGTTGGACCATCATCGTGTTCTTTCTTGGGTGTTCGGTCGACGGTTTAGACAGTCAATTTGGAGACTGACAAGTCAAAGCTCGACAAAAGGCGCAAGACCAGTCAGTAGCCTTGAAAGGAAGCAGACGCAAAGAAAGGAAAAAAAAAAAAAAGACAAAAGAGAAACCCAAAGACCAGTAGTGGAAGCCTGGACGCTCTCAGCCTGGCGCGGCGACGTAAAGTTGTCGGCAACAGGCAGCTTGCTTAGGCAGATCCCTCACCCTCGCCCTCCGTTGCCATGGGCTCGGCCCCAGGCATGATGCCAGCCCGAAGCTGCGCCTCGAGACGTTGGACCTCCTCCAAGGAGGTGGCGTTCTGAATTGCAGTCTAAAAAGAGTCGAAAAAATACAAGGTCAGATGGAGTCACAATTTGAGGAGCAAGACCTTGCGCCAAGACAAGGTGTGTGGAATCAACAGGGGTTGACCGTGTCACAATGCCTCACTTTGATCTTGGCCGTGTTCTCCGCCATGATGCGGGCAGCCTCGGCCTCTTGCCGCAGCTTCTCCTCCTGATACTTCTCTAGTGCCGCCGACCTGATGGCGACGTCAAGAAAACACACGTGGTGTGTTAAAAAAAAAAACCCCCCCGAACATGATAATCGTCAATCAAGAATTTTGCAGCAACGCTCAGCGTCAGCGTGCCCAGCCTGTTGCGGGTTTTCGAAATAAAGCAGTGGAGCAACGTACGAGCCAACATGTTGTTTGACCGTCTCCAACAGCTCGGCGCCGCTGGCGCTCTCAAATAGGGCCTTGGCCGCTGCACGTTCCTACTCCAGTTGACAGAGGATGGCGTGAGCGTTGCCAAAACGGAATCAATGACGTTCAAGTGGGGCGACACGAACACTGAGTCCATTTCGAAGCGCAATGCAGGATCTTACCTTTTCCTTGACTTTTTGAAAGTCCAGCATCTTAAGCTGAGGCATGTGGTAAATGACATAGAGGCGGTAGTTGGACACGGCCGCCACTGGGTTGCGCAGCAACCTGGTCAGGGCATGGCAAATAACCGCGTGCAAATTCACACATTCATACAAACACCGCAATTCATGAGCGGCCGTCGAGGTCACATGCGGCCCGGTCGTCTGAGGCGGGACAGAACGCAAAAGCTGAGGCTCAAAACGCTAAGAAGACCCAACTCACGATAATCTCTGCAGAGTGGGGATGCCAAACAGGGGCTGGAGGTCCGCCAAGTCCGAAAGAGCGTTGTTGGTCAGGATCAACTCTTCCAGGCGCGGCAGAAAGCTTTCCAGCCCCGGGGCAATGCGGCTACGCAGCATTGTGTTGCCCAGCAATAACAGGAGCGTCACGGAGGCAGCCCAGTGAGCTGTGGCAGAATTCCTCTTTCAACGGAAGACAGCAACGATTGGCCTGGTCGCCACGAACCTGACGCGGTTGTTGTTGATGATGAGAGACTTGAGGCGCTGAAGCGTTGGGAAGCCCTCCAGGCGGCGAATCTCATTGTCACTGAGGTCAATTGTGTCAAACTGATCCACCGTGGCACCCAAGTTCTCAATCACGATAATCTTGTTCTCTGCAGAGGGATCGAATGAGCAACAGGATTTGGAAAATCAGCATCGGCTATCGGACGGGCGGCAAACGGAGGCGTGCAGTACATCGCGGCATTTGGCTGGGAAAGCATCAGCAAATCTGGGATACACAATCAGAGGAGGCTTACCACGCAGGTCAATTTCACGCTCCTTGAGAGCGTTGGTGAATTGCGGCGCCAGCGCCACGACGTCCACAGTGAGACGGCCCATGATGTCTGTTTTTGGCTCTGTTCGAGAGACTGCACTTAGAATGCCTTTGGTAGAAAGGCGTTCAAGGTCTGTGCCAATGCGTGTGGCAAGACCGTTTTAATACTGTGACCTCCTGCCACGGATGCGGCTCGTACTCGGGGCCTCAGCGACAACCCTCGCACCAGCAGGACGGAGACTGGACAGCAGCTCAGCACACTGCACACTGAAGCCAGCACGGGCGGATTGTGCGTCCGACCAAGCGACTCTTGTCTCCCCACACTATGTCACACCCAAGCGCACTACACGCAGGTGCTCTACAGGGAACACTGCCCGCTGATCCAATCGGCCTGTCCTGACGGCTCTTGAAGCCGAGGGCGAGCAGGGGAGGGAAGGAGAAGAAAAGACGGATCTTCGGGAGAGGGTTTGTTCCTCTGGGTGTGCTGGTTCTTTCAACGTGCGGTGGGTTCTGTGAGATAGTGAGATTCTGGTCGCACTTGGAAGAACACAGTTTTGTATTGTTTTGAATGGGAAATAGGGTGTGAAATTATTCATAAAATTGGGGTTTCTGGGCTCTAACAAGCCGGAAATCCCAAATGTAGGCAAACAAACATTGACAGCAATGGGGCCACGACGACGACGAGAAACGGGACACCAGAAACCAGAGAAGCGAGAGTCAGAATGAAGAAAGGCACAGCAGGCAAAGCGGAAGAAAAGAAAAAAAAAAATTAAAAGTGAAGGAAATGGAGGGCACAAAGCACAATGTTACGTTACATGCAACATTGAGCCTCCAGGAAGGCCCTCTCATTTGGGAAACGATCGCAAGGTGCCCAGATCAGCCAATCCCCAGTTCGGTCGGCACATGAACAACGACGCCAGCCAGCGATAAATCTCCACTCGCGGGGTTTATCTCGGACGTTGCCCGGTTTAATGGAGCATGCGGCGGGCCTAGGTGCCCTTGCCGCCATGCGAGAACGGGCGCGAGGAAACGGCCTGGCAAGAGGGGAGGCGCCTCAGGCGCTGTCTCCAACACCAGTCTACTCCTTGTTCATACGTAGAGGGGTGAAATCGCCCTCGTATGCATGCTTTCCCGATGATTGCGAGGCAGAAAGAGATTGCCTAAGGACAAGTGGGTGCAACGTATCGAGGCGTCGGTGATCGGACCTATGCCACTGGGTCCAGCAAGCGTTTTGAGGTGAAGGGTACAAACGCCAACGTACTGGTGCTCTTTAAGGCGTTGTTGTGCTCGGGCCTTGGCATGCGCTTGAGCTGATGCATCAACCTGGTGATGGCAGCCAGATGCGTCAGACGATGGTGCAAGTCCCAATAAAGTCCTGCTTGGGTCAGATGATGGCTCTGAGGCCCTGGCCTTGAGAACTACGGTTCCCACAAACCTTGGTGGACTCGAGTGAAGCATAAGGGTCCTCGTCCTCGTCAACCATAGAACCACGCGGTGGGGGAACCGGGGGCGCAGGCGGGGGGAGCAAAAGGACGCCGTCCTAAATGTGAAACGAATGAGGCCAAGACCCAGGGGTTGATGGCGGAATGGCGGGCGCCAGGGTGAATCGCCAGTAGCACGAACCGTTTCGCTGGGTGGGACTTGTGAGTGGAACTGAATCAGCTCACGAATGCTGCCAAAGTCGTTGGGCTTGCCCACAACAACATAACGATCTAGGTTCAAAAAGAAAAGAGGAGGGGTGGATGACAATGAGCCAACGGCCACAACTGCAAGTGCGCTCTTGCTTCAAAGAGGTTCCCATTCCCCTCGCGACCCCTGCCTAGCAGCGCGCATCGTATGCGACAAAAATCCAATGCACACTCGCGCTGAAGCCAATGAAAACTCGATGACCAGGGGTGCAGCCACGGCCGGATCACATTGCGGGCTCGCAGGACGAGCAAGCATACCGTCTTCGCGCAAAGCTACCATGTAGTGCTTAATCTTGTCGTTTGTTCTACAGCCAATGTGCACATGATCGGACGACGTCAGCACACAGCTTCAAGACACATGAACAGCAGACCCATCAAAATGGAAAACGACAAAGCGAGAGATGGCAGAAGGCGAGGAGGAAGGAGGGCCGTGTAGGCTCGGTTTCAGCAGAGCAGAGGTATGAACGACAACATACTTGATCGACATGGAGAGGCCATCACGAGTTTCACTGGCCCGAAAGATAAAGGTACCAACCGGCTATCACGCAAAGCAACCCCCGCCAAGGACACCAACAGAACAAGTGAGCGATGATTGGGTCGATGGTACCCTAGTCATGCGGTGATTAGGTTAAAGACATCCAACAAGCGACCAACGTCATTGCGCAGGCGGCTTTCTGCTTCGGCGCGAGCCATGGGGCCGACGTAAAAGGCCTCGCGATCGATGGTGGCTGCCATGCGGCGCGTGTTTTCCTGTAACGGCATGGTTCTGGCGAACAGCGCTGCGGATCGAGACATGAACGTGGGCGTGAGAAGCAAGTGTCCGTGGAAGCCATTCCCGTGCCGAGACACGATCAGTACAAGGCGCGGTCTCGGGGAGCATGCCATGACCCAACCCCATAGGCGGAGTAGAGCCCCACCTCAGCGCAAAGCAGTCAAAGCAAGCGGCGAAAGCGCTGTGGAGGCGCGAGACGGCAGCGTCCCCAAAGTGGCAAACTCGAACAAAAGCAACGGCAGTGAAGATGGAGATTCAGAGCAGCAGACGTCAGTGGCTTGCAGTTGCTTGACGCTGATGGTGATTCTGAATAATGTGCAGGAAACGGAATCCGAAACCGCGAGCTGGCACAGCCTCTGGACAGAAGCTCGAGCCAGGAATCATGCAAAAAAGGAAAAAGGCGTTGGCTAAAAAAATTGGGCAGCAACACAGCCAAGGTGAGAAGCACAGCACCCAGCAATGCCCCGACATACAGTGCGCCACTGGAGCAAGAGGGGCGACGGGCCAATCACCAAGCAGCAGCAGCAGCAGCAGCAGCAGGGAGGAGCAGTCAGCAGGAGCACAAGACCCAGAATATGCGACTGCTGCAACAACACATCTCTCTCTCTCTCAAACTCTCTCAAACTCTCAAACTCTCTCTCTCTCTCCAAACTCTCTCTCTCAAACTCTCAAACTCTCAACTCTCTCAATCTCTCTCTCTCTCCAAACTCTCTCTCTCTCTGAACTTCTTTTGTTTAGCCTCTCTCTATTGTACGGCGTTTGGTTGATGAGTTACAACATCAATCAACGGGCACGAGCGCGCGCCAAGGACTTGGCGAGAGCGCGGCCTCGAGGCGGTTCTGCCGGCTTCGATTTGAGGCGGCTGCTTCTGCCATTCGACTCTTTCACCTCATGATTCCAAACATCGTGCCTTTGGTATACTGGACGACTTCAGATCCGAGATGCTCCGACCCTTTGCTGATGACTGACCCCGACCCGACCCCGCCCACCCAGGCTCGGCCTGAAGCAAAACATCTGGTAGCGAGTGGCGGGAAAGCGCATGTTTATTTGTCGACAAAAACCCCCTTTATTTTTTCTTTTCTCTCTCTCTCTCTCTGTCTCTCTCTGTCTCTCTCTGTCTCTCTCTGTCTCTCTCTGTCTCTCTCTCTCTGTCTCTCTCTGTCTCTCTCTCTCTCTCTCTCTCTCTCTCTCTCTCTCTCTCTCTCTCTCTCTCTCTCTCTCTCTCTCTCTCTCTCTCTTTTTTTTGCTCAGCCAATCGTCATGATCCAAACTCAAACGGCAGACAGCGAAAAATGACGTGCCCATGCGACTTGACGTGAAGAACAATCCAGCAAAACGACTGGCGCCGACAACCTCTGAATTCCCTCTCGGACTGATAACGCCACCATGTTCGTGCAGGTTCGAATAGGACACGCTCTCTCTCTCGCTCGCACACACACACACACACACACACACACACACATATTCCAGCCTGACGATCTGGTGTTTTCAACAGCTTTTGAGCAATGGCGGACCTGGCTCTTGTTTTGTGGCCCCATGCATTCTCCTGCACACGGATGCTCAGCCGGGCGTACGCCAACCCCTCTATCTCTTCAACTGTCCCGAAGGTCTGTCCACCGCCTGCGTTGCTATCAGACCCTTTACTTTTGTTCTTCAATTCGGCTCATGCCTGGCCCTGCACGTCGCCCACCATGCCTCCAGGCTTGGCCCGACTGGCCCTGCAGCAAAAGTCATTGCGCCCATCGCGTGGAACGGTGCGCGCCATTACGCTCTCCAACCTCAACCCCGACGCGACTGCAGGCCTCTCAGGCATTCTCTTTCGGTCTGCCCTCATCATGGCCCCTCTCACACATCTCAAGTGCCCCCCACCTGACCCCACTCGCCATATCCCTTGCTTTACTCACATTGCCAACCGTGCTTTTGTTCGGTTCTAGCGGTCGAGCTGATGGCGCAGGCGATGTCCACGTCGTTGGCCCGTCCCATACGTGCCGACACCTGGCCGCCCAGGCATACATCATGCACTGGCAATACCCGCGAGTGTGCGTCACCGAGGTGTGCTTCCCAGATTTCACCAGTTGTGAAAGCGCAACTTGTCGACGTTTCCTTTGAACCACCGCCTCCTCCCTAACCATCAGCAAGGCCACATAGCACCGTTGCTCCCGCTCACTCCACGGCTTTTCTTCCGCACCACCGTGTGCCAGTGCTTTGCCGAACGCTTGGTTGTGTATGAGGATGAGCATGTGGCCATTCAAGCCCTGGTCGCCGCCGTTTCGGATGACGCTTCAGCTTCTTCTGCTGCCAAGCCCCAGCCCGTTGCTCCATCCAGTCGTCAACCTCGGCGTGGACTCCTTGCCCTCTTCCAACGCGACTGGCATGTGCGCAATGGAGGCCGGTTTGTCTCCCACGACACCCCTCTGAAACCCTGGTCTACAAACGTCTGGTTGGTGCCGTCTTTCCTACCGCTGCCCACCCTAAGCCAACAATATGCTTTCCGCATTTCTGTCGGGCAATGCTAACCAAATCCTACACCGATGCTGCTCCTGTATGCCTTCTGGGCAGTCACGTAGCCCTTTGGCAATACCGCTTGCGACAGCAGCACAGCCAGCTGTGGATCATTGACGTTGCCACGGAGGATGCAGCACACTGGGTGCACCAACATCTCTTGTCCAACCCGTCTGATGCAACCCCAGACTTGGTGATACACCTGGCTCCCACTGACGTGCGTACGCTCGCTCTCTCTCTCTCTCTCTCTCTCTCTCTCTCTCTCTCTCTCTCTCTCTCTCTCTCTCTCTCTCTCTCTCTCTCTCTCTCTCTCTCTCTCTCTCTCTCCCCCCGCCCCCCTTAATCTTTGTTTTCTCGAAGGGCGAAAGGCGGGGTGGAGTATCAACGCTGATCGTCTTTGGTCCTGTCATTCTGACATGATTCTTATTTTGTTTCTTGTTGCTCCGTGCGCGACATTGCAGGTCACAAGCAGCCCAACATATCAAAACATACTCGCCACCTTGGCATCGGCCTACCATCTCTTTGTGCGCGCCGACGAGGCCTCTGATCGGCTATGGCGCGTTGGTAGCACCTGGGACCTTCGCGCTGGACGCATGGTTGACTCGCAAGTCAATTTTGGCCCGAGCTCTGCACCCCACACTGCATCCGGTTTGGTGCGAGCGCCGCTGACCCCGATTGTGCTCACCTTTCTTGGAACCGGTTCTGCTGAGCCCTCAAAGGTATGCTATTTTTTTTTATCCTGCCCGGCACAAAACCATGTTCTAAAGTTGCACTCATTGGCCTTGTTCACTGCAGCATCGAGCAAGCAGCGCCATCCTGTTGCGCCATGCCCAACATGGCACTTGGCTTTTGGATTGTGGCGAAGGAACTTGGGCTCAGATGGTATGATCAACTCGGTCAGCTTCTAGCCTGCAAGCGTCCGTGTGGATTGTCTCATGCCCTTGCTTGTGCTGGTCACCTTGCTAGGTGGCCGTACTGGGGATGGAAGCGGCGCGTGCCGAGCTCGCCACGCTGAGAGCCATATTTGTTTCACACAAACATGCTGACCATTGTGTTGGTTTGTGGGGCATCCTCGGTACGAGTTGCCATGGTCGCTCAATTTGTGTCGCATTCATTCTTCGCTTGCAACCGTCTCAGCAAGCGCGTTTGCGACGGGCCGAAATCTTGACACGGCTCCCTACTTTGCTTGTCCGTCCTTGTATGTTCTGGGAATGTAGAGATGCGCCGCTTTTTGTTTCCAGAGCTTGAGCCCATCGCCGTCTTGGCCCCGGATGCAGTCTTGGCATGGTTGAGCGCTGTATCGCCGGGCATTTCACTTGACAGTCTGCTACCTTTGCGGTCCTGGAACGCCTGGCGGTCAGTCTTGAGTTGGGCGCCTTGGCCAGCTTCCTTCCCCCCCCTTTTTTGAATGAATTGTTTTTCTCCAAGCGTTTAATTCCTTTAGATTACTCACCCTCTACTTTCTTCTTGCTTTCTCCCCCTCTCCCTCTCCCTCTCTTTAAACTTTAACCTAATCCTTTTGTACTTTGCTTCGACAGCGCGCGTCTAGCCCACCAGCTACAGCTCGCCGATTGGTGTGTCGTCCCTGTCAATCATTGCTACGATGCCTGGGCCCTCGTCCTGCGTGGCCTAGATAATTGGAGTGTGGCTTACTCGGGTGACACCCGGCCGTCAGAGGTTGGTCCTCCGCCCAGCAGTCTGAGTCATCACGGCCACGTGCTGACCTCCGGCTTGGTGGTATTTCCCGTAGGCCTTTGTTGCTGCCGCCATGCACGTGCAGGTCATGATTCATGAAGCCACTTTCAATTCTGCGCTTCAAGATCACGCGCTTCGCAAGCGGCACTCGACCATGGAAGAGGCCTTGTCCGTGGCGCAACGTGCTCAAGCTCGCTGGCTCATCTGCACCCATTTTAGTCAGCGGTGAGGCGATGAATTTGATGGGGTTTTTGTTTTGTTTTTTGACCTTTTTCAAAGGTTTTTTTTTTTCTTTTCTTTTCTTTTCTTTTCTTTTCTTTTCTTTTCTTTTTCTCATGTCGTTTGCGAATGAATTGTTGCATCTTTCATGTTGTGTAGGTATCGGGTGGAGGAGCTCACTGTGCCAGATGATTCATGCGTTTTGGCTTTTGATGGCTTGAGTGTGGGAGTGGACCCTCAGCATCTTGAACTAGTGGGAAAGGCTAGCTTTCCCAAAGCATCGATTGGAGAAGAGCACCAAGGTGTTGATGATGATGATGATGAATTTGACTTAAAGCAGTAATAACGCCTCTTCCTCTCTTTCTTAGCGAGTGAAAACACACTGCCATAGGAAAATAACATTTTTTCACATGAATTATCGAACCAAGCGTGAATTGAAGCGTGAGACAAGAGAGGCGGGTAGCCGTGGCCTTTGTAACAAGCGAGCGCACAGCGCTAAAAAAAACCGCAGTTTTTTATGCGCTCAAGCCACCCCGTGACCACGACGGCAGCTAAGAAGCCGGTGGCCGAAGCGGCTGCAATCGCACTCCCGAGTTTGGGCGACGGGCGGTGCTGGCTGTCGAAGCACCGCTGCCCGGCCGCGTTGTGCTTGGGGGCCGTCGTCGGCGGCCAGGACCTGTGGCAGAAGATGGGGCTGATCGGGTGGATGCCTTGTCCAGGGCGGGGGGTGCCGGACCGGTGTGCTGGCGGGTCGTGGTAGCCACGGCAGGGGCCGAGGGCGTGTGTGCAGAGGCAATGGAAGGCAGCGGGGGACGCTCGCGCGCCAACTGGGTGCGTCGTGCTTGCATCTGGTCCACAAGCTTCTGAGCATCTTTCTGCGCACGTTGAGTGGCACGGGCGATGGCGTCCTGCAGGGGGGTACTGTCTGGCATTTCAACTTCAGTGGGCGTGGGTCCAGCAGCAGCGGCTTGCGGCTGTCCAGCGGCAGGCTGTCGCTCCTGCTCCAGCTGCAAGCATGTATGGATGACCGGTGTTAGCGTACATGGAGCGTACATGGAGCGTACATGGAGCGCTCAAGAAGCTGTACCAGGAGGTCAAGGGGCAGGCCACGCACCTTGGCGCGACGACGGCGAGAGCGTTCGCGCATGTCCTCTGATGCCATATGAAGCTCGCTGAGCAGATAGCCACCTACACCCGCCGCGAAGTGAGACCCTGGGATGAATATACGAATTCAGAAACGTCGCGCCTTCATATGTGTCACACGCTCAGGCTCCAAGGACGTACAGACGGCATCGGCGCCGGCATTGGTGGCAAAGAGGCGGCGCAACTCGGCAGTGCGGCTGGTGGCAGCCAAGTGATCTTCCTCGCCAGTTGGTGCCGTGGTTGGACGGGCTCGTGTGGTCGATGTCCGCCGACTACTTGTAGAAGTTGGTGGCTTGGGTGCAGCTGAAGTGTTTGTGGCAGGCTGCGAGATCTGGGGTGGGGCAGCAGCAGCAGCGACAGTGGCAGCAGCGGCAGTAGCTGCCTGCTCAGCTTCTAATGCACTGGCGATGGTTTCCTGTCCTAGCTGACGGCGTTCCGCCGGAGTGACCTCGGTGCCGTCGAGGTATCGGAGCTCTGGCAACCGGAGAAGGAGGGCTTGCCTGTGGCCCGGCGCCATTATGTGCAAGTATTGGCAAATACAGATCGACAATGAGCTCGAGAGCAACGGGTACCGGCAGTTGAGGAGGCTTGAGCGGCGAGTGCCTCGCCTGCAATTTCTCACCTGTAGTCCTGGTGCTGGCTGCAGGGGTTGCCGACCAGGCTCAATTGACGCAGGCCTGACGGAAAGTGAGCTGGGCGGACAGCGGTGATCGAGTTGTGGGACAAGTCAAGCCACACCAAACGCTGCAGAAAACTGCATGGCATTCAGAAAGCCAGTGAGCAAGATAGCAAAGGGGAGAGAACATGGTGGTAGAAGCTGTGTGAGGCGAGCCAGCATAAAGGGGGGGGGTGTTACCTGAGGTCTGGGACGACGGTGATGGCATTGTGGGCAAGGCTGAGAACTTCAAGTTTGGTCAGAAACTCGAGATTTTCAATGGTGTGGATGGCATTGTCTTGCAAGTAGAGGGTGACGGCATCAGAGAGGAGCTCGAGGTTGTCAATCTCACTCAGTCCCTAGTGGCGCGCGGCCAGAGGTGCGGCGCGGTGAGTTAGAGGGTGGCTCGGCGAGGTATGAATGGTTGTAGAATAGCACACAGGTCTGTGGTCTAGCAGCGACACACGGCACGTGCGCACGCGCATGGGAAAGCGCCAAGGCCACTGCACAGACCAAGTCGTTCAGGCGGACGATGCGCGTCCGAAGCAGGGCTTCGACAATTTCGTCGTGGCTAGCAAACTCCTCCAGGTACCGCTCGGATAATTGAGTACGAGCGAGGAGATCAAACCCAATCTTGTTGATCTTCTGGTCTCTCGTGGCCCTTCTCGCCGTGGGCGGCAGCATCGCCGCCGCCTCGCCTTCACCTGGCGCCATCATGAGGCGACCACGCTCGACTCGGCGTTTCCAAGAACAGCATAGAAAAAAAAAATGAAAATTTTAAAATTTAATTTTTTATCAGATGAATTTCTTAACATGTAAGGTAACAACAACACGAGAGCGTTATGAATTCACTTCACATGCATAATAATTTAAGAATCTCCACGACGAACGATCTTGCAGCCAGACACAAACCCGTAAACAAGCTTCAATAACCTGTTCAAGAAGTATATAGTAACTCAATGTAACAAGAGAAGAAAACAACATTAACTCTAATTAAAGCCACATAAAGTACCAATTGAGTGAAGAAACGGGTGTGTGTGCAACTCACCGCCTCCTTTTTTATTTTTATAATTTTTTTTTGCCGTCGTGCCGCCTCTCTCTCTGGACCGCGGCGGCCATCATTTACCCCTGCCAGACGATTGTTGTCTGGTGTAGCTGCATTTTGCGGATCTTCCTCAAAGGTTGGATTGGCTGCCTGGCTCGTTGGGCGTCTATGACTCCCTCATATGTGCATGTAAGCGGGAGTACCAACGCATCTGCTCCTGCAGTCGGGCCGGTTGAGTCGGAGCTTGCAGCAGCCGTCAACCGAGGTAGGGATGCTCATGTGGCTATTGCACGCGCCGATCTGAGTGGCTTTTTAAGACGGTGCACGCCGGACAGGTATTGCCAGGCTTGTTGTCTCACACAGTGCACCTGGTGTAGGTCTCCTGTCGACCTGGGAGAGCCACGCGGCGTGGTTACCAGGATGGCTGACTTTGACGAGGAGGTTGGCAGCGGATCTGTGTCGGGGGCATCCTCATTGACGCAGATTCACAACGACGATCACGGCATGCAGAGTGACTCTGGAGACAGCGTCGATCGGATGGAGCATCGACGCTCCGCTCGCGCAATGGAGCGGACCACTGCACCCGGTCACGGTGATGACCAAGAAGAACAGAGTGGTGGTATGACTGTGGTGGTGGCGGCTGATGCCGAAACCTCGCAAACCGCTGTCAAACACGAGGCGGCAGAACGATTGGCAGAGGAAAGCTCAAAGCCGACTCAGCTAGCCTCTGCCTCTGCCACCCCTGCCGTTGCCGCTGCCCCTGCCCCTGCCCCTGCCTCCGCCTCCGCCACAGCTGCTTCCCCTGCTACAGCCGTCGATACACAGCCTTTGGTGAGAGCAGACCTCAACGATGAAGCCGGCGAGGAGGATGATGATTTTCCACCAGATTCCGAGCCTTGTCAATGTCGCTACCTGGGCTCGTATGACGTACCGAATTCCCGTCAAGCCGGTCCCGAGGTGTGCATGAATGTCATCTCCTTCCTGCGCCAGCAACGTCGGCGCGATGTCTTCCGTGACGGTGTCAGCAAGCAATTGGCCTTGGCTATATCTTGCCGGCGTGGGATGATGCGGGGTGTCCCCACCCCACCCCGGCAGGGCGCGCGTGGTCTTCAACACCCACTCGCTCGCATCGTCACCGTGGGTGACCACGAAAATTGCGTCTGTTATATCCTGGGCCAACGCCTGGGGCAAGACGTTGTCCTAACTGCCTACGTTTTTGAGGTCTGTCGTCCTCACGGACCGCACTGCACCCGGCATGAGCACACATTCGCACGAACAACCATCCATGCTCGGGCTGCTTCTTGGTGCTTACCATTTTGCATCTGGCCCTGCCCTGAACCACTCTAGTTTGCCAACATGTACGCTGCCAACTATGTGGCCTCGGAGATTGTGCGGTAGGTTTGCTTCACACGGTAGCTATTCTGAAGACTGCCAGGCCTGCTCTTGGAATCAACTGATGTACTTTGGTGCGCCTTGGTATGTTTGTAGGGCGTGTCAAGCGTTGATGGCGCGGCTTCGAGCTCAGCATCAGGACCGGTTGCGGCGGCAACAGGAGCTGCAGGGCCAGGGGCACGTGGGTCGTCAACGTGGGCCCGGGTTTCCTGCAGAGGCCGAGACCGAGGCGCAGCCTGGAGCCAGGCATGATGGTCAGGGCACGAGTGAATCGCCGGCCGAAGAGCCTGCACCCACCAAACGCACCGAACCCAACGAGTTTGACAAGACGCTGTATCGAGACCATGCCTTGTTGAACGAACTTTGCCGTGCACCGCCTGCCACCGTGACACTTGCGCCCGTGCGGTATGGCAAGATTGCCGTTGTTTCTGGGGACGGCCTCTTTTATGACTGTTGTCGCAACATGGGAACTTGCAATTGCACCTAACTGCCGCAACGCGGCCCTGCCTTTGGTGCTGGACCCTAGCCATGTACCTGTTGTCGGCATGCTTGCAGCCGAAGCCAGGCGCGTGCGTGTGTCTGTTTGTGCGTGTGAGTGGTTGTTGTCTAGTGGTTGTTGCTTTCGACATGTCAATCATATCAAGTGCTGAATTCAGCTAACATAAGAAGCAGCAGAGAAGGAGAAGAATACGTGTCACTGTTGAGCTCGACCAGCGTTGTGGAGGGGCTGGCGCGAGCACGCAAGAGCTGCCGCCAAAGCAAGAGGGTGTGAAGCAAAGTAGGGGCGGGAGACCAGGAAGCACCGACCAATGTGACAACTAAGAAGGAATCAACGACCGCAGACTTGTTGCAGGTCGCAGCTCGTGACAGGGGAAGGTGGGATGTCACCCACACGCGAGTCGAGTGGGTAAAGGAAACCCAAGAAACAAAGGTGTTGATCGTGCCTCAGGCACGGCGTGATCCACAGGCATGACAACCAATGGGCTCTAGAAACTCGAAAGGAGAACAACGAGGAGGGAGGGAAAAAAAAAAAAAGCAGGCAGGGCAAGAGGCTGAAACGATGGATGGGAGGCGGTGTTGGTGTTGAGGCCTACTCATCCACAATGTCATAATCGACCATCATGGCTTCAAGTTGAGGCCACTGCTGAAAATAGCCCCATTCAATAATGTGGTCCCAGATCCATTTGATTTCAAGGCGCCAGGGCATGTAGTCTGCGGCAAAAACCTCGGTACCTTCCTTTTTGCGTTTCTCATACATGATGGCACAGGGGCCGAGGTAGAGATAGCCCAGGCGGCCCTCACCACGGAGGGCCATCAGTCGCTGCACATAGTTGTTTGACTTTTCGTTGTGAACACCGGCGCATTCGATAATGTCCGAGGCCGAATCCATCAGGCGGCTCTCAAAGCTGTGCTCGTCTGGTGTCTCGACACAAGCGTAGGCCAGGGTACCGGCTGCGGCAAGCTTCAGCGCGGCCAGGAAGGGCCGATCACGAGCATCCTTGGCCATGTTGACAAAAACATCGCGGTAGTCGCGAATCAGCGCTTGCGTACCCTCCTTGATGGGCGTGGCGATGCGTCGTCGGAAGAAGCCCCCGCGTGCGGCCTGAGTCGTGGCCGCGGCCGCCGTGCTTGCTGCCGCTGATGCCATGACGTTCACAAGACCAAGCCACCCCAGCCAACCCGACTCCAGACTCTTCACGCCGCAATCTCCGTCCCGTCTCCGTCTCACAGTCTCAACTGCTGCTCTGCTCTGCTGCTGCTGCTGCTCGTCGTCCAGAGAGAAGAAAAGTCGTAAAAGACTTCACGTGGTGTGTGTGTGTGTGTGTGTGTTGCGTTTGCTTGCCTCTAGTGCTGCTCTCGAATTTGTCATCATTTCTTCCATTTTTAGACGATGGATGTGTTTGTGTGATGTGGCGCCAGAGAGAGAGAGAGAGAGAGAGAGATGAATTTGGTTGAGAGAGGAGAGAGAGAGCGCGCGGACGTTCATTTTTTTTTTTACAGACTTTGGCACAACAACTTAAGAGTGTCAGTGAGTGTCAGTGTGTTGGCGTTGGCGTTGGTGGTCGTGGCCCGGGGGCGTTGTGACCTTGCGGTGATAGGAGCCCATCTGGGGCAGGTGTGGCAGAAACGACTGGAGGTGTTTTTTTTTTTCCATCGCTTCTTATTGTTCTCGTGACAAGTATCAAGGAACATGGCTTGGGCAGACAACTCGCCACCTCGCTGGGGGTGGGTGACCCTGGGTCTACTCGTGCTGTTGCTCGGTCTGGCCTGCTGTAGCAGTCACGAAGTGACGGATTGCGCAGCCGAGGACGGCGGCGTCTGTGGCGTCTGCGGTCCCATCCAAGACTGCTCCTGCACCGTTGAGGTTGTGAATGCGTGGAACCGGCGCATCTTTCACCCGCAGCTGCGCGAGCTGGTGCAACGACCTTTTTTCCGCTATTTTCAGACCAATCTGGATGCCACCTGCCCACTTTGGGACGACAGCCAGGATCTGTGCAGCTCTCTCAGCTGTGCCATCTCCACTTGCCAAGCTACCGAGCTGCCAGAGGCCGTCCCCCGGGATCCCCACGTCACTCACGTGGTCAATGCTCGCTGCGTCGAGATGAACAATGTCTCCCAGACGTTGGACCCCAATCTTGCTGAGCCAACGCCTCACCAGGATGCCTTTGACTTTTGTCTCCGCGACGAGTTTGAGCTTGGCGCCGGACAACTCGAGTACATTGATCTCTTGGCCAATCCTGAGGGCTACACGGGCTTTAGCGGACCCGCCGCCCATCGAATTTGGAATGAAATCTATGACAGCAACTGCTTCATCAAGCAGCGTCCTACTGCCGCTCTCCCCGCCGATTTCTTTGGTCTCCCTTCCACTGATCCGTGGAGCATGGAGATTGGGATGGACATGGACTCTGGTCTTGGCTTTGACAACGACAACGAGGCATTGGAAGTGGACAGCCCCCAAGATGAGACGTCAACCTGGACGGCCGCTGCGGCTGCCAACGTGGATGCCATGTGCCTGGAGGAGCGCGTTTTTTATCGCCTGCTTTCTGGCATGCACGCGTCCATCAGTCTGCACCTGGCCCACCGCTGGTACAATGCCACTGCCGACGCTTATCTGCCCAACGCCACGGAATTCCTGCGCCGCTTTGCGCCCGAGCACACGGCGGGTGAGGGTCCGGCACGATTGCGCAATCTCTACTTCACCTACAGTACCGTGCTACGCGCCATTGTCAAGGCCCAGACCATGTGGGAGAGCTATCCCTTGTTCGGCGAAGCCCGCGATCGAGATGGCATGTCAACCCGCGCTGCCGTGATGCAGCTGGTGCAGACAGCACAGACTTGCGATCGCACCTTTGATGAGCACGCCCTATTTCAAGACCCCGAGTCGGCAGCGCTGGCGGACGAGCTCCGCGCACACCTGCGCCACGTCTCGCGCCTCATGGACTGTGTTGGGTGTCGCAAGTGCCGTTTGTGGGGCAAGCTACAAGTCCGGGGCCTGGCTACAGCGCTCAAAATCCTCTTCACCCCTTTTGACGACCTGCACCCCGACACTCCCCTCGTCCTGGCGCGCAATGATGTAGTGGCCCTCTTCAACCTCTGGGAGCGTCTGGCCTCCTCCATCTCGTTTGTACAAGGTTTCAACGCAGAGCTGGTGGCCTCTGATCATTCGCACCTCCAAGTCGGCGATCTCCACCAGCCAGCCTTTTTCGACCCGGCTCAAGCTTGAGGGTAGGAGAGTTGCCAGTCAGAGGTCGCCCCCGGGCGCCCGGCGCTTCCAGTTACGTAGTGATAGGTCCCTTGAAACATACTGATTGATTTACATTTTAATTGATGACTGAGCTTTGCCAACCTTTGGGATACGATGGCGATATGCCACTCCGTGCTCTTCTTCTACTGTGTTCAACCCGGTGTCTTGATTGCGTCCGCAAACATTCGGTTTGAGCACAGCCACGGCTTAGGCAAAGGTGGAGGCATTCCAGCCATGGTCGCTGCGTGCCATGTCAATGAAATGGATGTAGACACTATGGACACATGGTAAGCGCCAGCAATGACAGCATGGGTGAGAGCGATACTCCACAAGTGCAAGCGCTCATCTTTGCTCCGACTTCTCAAGAGTACACCAGACATCACACCCACCGGTCCGGACTGATCCTGTCCCAGCGAATGCACGGAAAGAGGGAGGGAGGGTGCACGTGTGAGAATAGCAGGCGGCCAGCGGTGACGGGCTACGTGCCGAGTTGGATTCTTCCCAAAGTTGGCCTACTTACTGCAAGCGCTCTTGCAGCAGAGCGCAAATCTTCTGGCTATGCTCCTTGTTCAGCTCGGGACCCAGCTGTCCGATGGAGATCAGTTTGACGATGGCTATATCAAGTTTGTTCAGGCCCCGGCCTTCGTGTGAGTGCGGCCCGGCCGATCACGCAAAGTTGAGCCAGCTTCAGAAACCATCATGAGCGCATTGCATACCGGCTGGATCGGTCGAGCCGCCAAAGGACAGGTCCTGCTCAAACCGGGCTAGCACGGCCACATACTGCCAGCAGTTGGGATTCGTGGAGCCATTCGCGTGTGAGGGGCGGGCATCCAAGTGCAGCCAAGAAGAGCTGTGAGGCAGAGGTCAGTACAACCACGTACCTGCTCGGGTTTGCCCGTCGTCGCTGCCACCATCTTGGAAGCCTCAGCCAGGAAAACACCCTTGTCGGCGGGCGCGCTCACGTTGGTGGCCACTTCCAGTGTTGGCATGATGTCGGTCAGTCGCCAATTCTAAACAACGCCCCGCCTCTGTTGCAATACGGCCAATGTCATCCACAACGCCAATAAACATAAACTGCCACTTTTGCCGCTTAAACTAACACTGTTTGGAATAAAGTTTCTACATTAACATCTGTTTCATCTACAATAACGCACCATAATGTACTATAAATTTAAAAGGGTGTTTGGAAGTAAACTTCTTTTTGCTTTCAAGCCTGTCAACTTTCCCGCGCAAGTTTGAATTTGTTACCAATGAGTGTTGGTCATTTTCTCTCTTTTTGATTTTTTTTTTTTTTTTTTTGAAAACGCCGCTTTGACAGCGGACAGCCACAGCTCTCTCTCGCTCTCTGTGCGCGCTCGTGTGCGCTCGTGGACGTGCCCCTGAGCGCATCAACTGGTTGGGCCAGAAGCTTGCGGTCCACAGTGACTGGGTGAGTAACTGTGCGAATGTTGTAGCTGCGATCGGGTCGCGGATGATCGGGGGCTTTTTTACTTGCTGCGCATGCAAGGTGCAGCATCTGCGTGCACGCTCGCGTCAGCTCAGGGTGTCAGAAAAGACTTGCATGTATTTGGTCCGGGTCATTCCCCCATCTTGCTCCTTCCTTGTGTGCTCGTGCGTCACACCACCCTCTGCTCTGCTCAGCCCAATTTCACCTTGACACATGAAGGAAGGAAGGAAGCGCACACTATTCCACTTTCCCCAGACCATCATTTGAACGCCATCCATTCTTGCCTACCACACAGCATCATCTGTAGGACGAGCCCTCCACCCCTGCCCTTGCTAGCCTCTTCCCACCCTGCCCCCACCTCTTTTGCCTGTGTATCTGCGAGCAATTCTGCGGCCCTTCCAGCTTCATTGAGACGCCAGCTGACAAAGCCACACTCATCAATGACCTTTGCTCGCGTCACGCCGCGTCTGTAGCTCCACTCAACGTGCGGGCAGCACAGACCTCATTGATTTCACCACCAAGCCACCTGCATTGGCCTAGCTCTTTCTGCTAGTATTGCGTGTGGCGTTGTTGGTGCACGACCGCGTCTCTGCAAGGGTGTGGCTCTATTGCTTCACGCGTTGAGTGCTGGATCTACCGGCCACCTGCCCCTGGCCGCCATCATGGCCGGCCCACAAAGTAAGTCGCAATTTGAAGTCGATCCACCTCCACCAAATTATTCATACCAGAGTAGCGAGACCTGGCAGGCCGGATAATCTACTGCAACGCTTTCATTCCCCTTTTGAACAATCGGCCTCCCGTGCGTCATCTCATCTGCTTGCTACCATGCTTTGACAGAAACCGTTTATATTTGCGACAACGGTCAGATTGATCATGGCCTCAGCTGTCTCATTGAGCAGGTTGGCACCTTTGCTCCCCACCCAGCTCAAACTGTCGGGCACGACATCGTGTCATTGTCCGCCTATACCCAAACCGCTCTGATATGCGCATGGAAATGTGATTGCCTCGTCTTTTCTGTTTTTCGTAGCGCCTGCGCGCCCCCGATGTAGCCATTGTGCACATTACAGAAGAGCAGGCTGAAGTTGTCAAGTTTGGCCTGGGTGATGTTGCCATCACCAAACCTTTCGAGGGTTCTTTCTTTGAGCTCCTGCGCAGCCACCCCGAGCTCCGCGTGTATGGTCCCCACGCAGTCGTCGGCTCGTATGAGGTGTGTATTCAGATAACTCTAGGCGCATCCCCACACGGTGCTACCAGCTTGGCCCATCAGCCAAGTGCATCCTTGCAATCTCTCATGAGAGCCTTGGCGATCATATGTAGCAACTGCCCCGAGCCACACGCGTGTATGCACAAACCTTGGTCCGCGAATTGGATGATGAGCCACTCAACGTCATGGTGATGGACGCCAGTCGCGAGCTGGAGCAGGTACGATAACTGCTCCAACGCTTTCACAGGGTCCTTGACAACTTCAGTCTCATGGTCCACAATTTTCTGTTCGCCTTTCTCTCTTTCTCTCTCTTTCTCTCTCTCTCTTTCTCTCTCTCTCTCTCTTTCTCTCTCTCTCTCTCTCGCTCTCTCCGTGGTAGGCCTGGCGCAACAAACTCGAGTACATGGGCGCCCAGGCCGTGACTGATGTCGCTCGGGCCGATATCATTGTGGCCAAAGCACACACTTCAGAAACCGAGGTCCGATACACGCCAGCAACATGAGGTGCTTCAGCGAGTTCTCGGTGGCTCTAATGTAAATTCGTGGATTCGCATCTTGTGGCCAGGCGTTGGACAAGATGGTCGTACTTCCGCGTTGGGTTGACATGTGTTTCGAGCGCTTTTTGGCTTCGGATGGCGCCGAGGTGGAGGCCACTCGCGAATATCAAATCCTTGCCAAGCCCATGGCCGGCGTCAAGGCCATGTATCTTCTGACCGACAGCATGGCCCGCTTTTGTGCCTCACAAGTCGAAGAGCTTGGGGCAGAGACCGCACAGTCCATCGATGAAAATGGGTACGGTCGTCAACGCCAAAATTTGCGGGTCATCTAGGCCTCAAATAAAAAAAGGGCTCCTTTTTGGCTTTAACCGGCCGTGCCAAGCTTGTTCAACTCGGCAACCGCCCTCACCCCATACCTGTCATTTCTTGTAGTGTCACGCATCTCGTCGTCAATCCCAAGACCATGACAGAGCATTGGGAGATGCTGCAGGATGCCTGGGCTCGTGGGATGCGCGTGGTCGACACCAAGGTAAATCATTGACCAGAGTCCTGTGCCCAGGCCCTCTGGCCTTGTCAAACACACGCACAATCTCGCTTAATTAGCATTCACAATTTGCCTTTACCCGTATGCTCTCATCTTCCATCAATAGTGGTGCAACGAATGCCGCAAGGTCGGCGGCTACGTGGCCGAAGACAAATTCTCCTTTGTGCCGGCTGACTTTGAGCCCGTGGCAGATGCCGGCAATGACAGCATGGATCTGGACGTGTCCATGAGTACCCCTTTTACGAGCCCGACCCACACTCCCATCAAAACGCCCCTCTCCGTGCTCAAGCAGAAGCACGCGTCCATGGCTGGCATCCACTCCCCGCTGGTGCACGTTCACAAGCGTGAGGTGGTGATTGCTAGGTACGTTCGCCTTTGAGATTTGGTCGTGGCACCCACAAACCGTCAATCGATGCATGAGTAGTGCGCCGGGCCTCATGATGCGTTTACCGTGGGCATAGTCCGTTGCATCGTGCGCGAAGCGAAAGTCATGCCGCAGACGATGACACCGCTGATGAGCTCAGTGCAAAGCGCCGTGAGAAGGTCGAGGAGATGAAGAGTTGCGAGCTTACTCTGCAAAACACCATGTCACAAATGATTGTACGTCCAACTCGCACACGCAGCCAATTGTGCTTTTGACTTGGAGCTGGATCATGTCCCGCGCCAACGCCAAACACGACACCATGCCAGCCTAATGACCCACTCACTTGGGATGTATCTGGTTGAATGTAGATCTTGCAAAAGATGATTGGCAATTCCAACATCCGACTGCATCCGCATTTGATGACTATGTTTGATCACTTTCACATTATGGAGGAGCTGGCACGGTGCGTCTCAAAAAAGGGCATCACCACGGCTTCAATGGTCATGGGTGCTGCCCTGGCACAATCGCACAATGCTGCCGCCATTCACAAGGTGTCATTCTTGTGCTTACTCGGGCTTTTGTAGATCGGTGGTCGAGGCCCTAGTGGTGACTCTGGAACGTTGGACACCCGAGACTTGCTTGGCCCCCGTCTTTTCTGATGCTGTCCTCAAGGACTTTCAACGTGCGTACAAGAAGATTGTGGCGCAAACAGACATGTACTGCGCTGAGCTCGCCAAGGACATGGAGCGCAGTCGGCCCCTGGCCGACATTGTCCGTGCCTTTGAAATGCGCAAGTAAGTACTGCAAGTTCCTAGCCATCCACAAAGGCCCGTTGCGTTTGTCAATGGCGAATTCCTGACGCCTTTTGTCACTCAGGGAGTGCCGGCGCCAACGGGTCTTGGACATGCTGCGCTTTCCCACCCAGCACATCATGCGCTACAACCTCCACCTTGATGCCATCCTCAAGAAGTTGCCCAGCTCCCATCCCGACAAGGCGGGCCTCAATAATGTCAAAACGGCGTTCAAGCATCTCCTTCAGTGCGTAGATTGTCCGCTTTTCATAGCTGCAACGGTTGTTATCTATGTCTGACCGACCACTCATGCTTGACTCTTGAACCCCGTCTTCGTTTTTCTTTGAACTTAAACAGACACACGGAGAACATCACCATTCGCAATGAGAAGCTGGGCGAGATCCTCGAGCTGCGCAACCAGATCGAGGGCATGCGGGACAAGACCATCAGTGGCACCATCAGCGGCACCGCAGGGCAGACCGTGGAGCTGATTTATCGCACCAACTGTGTCGAGATTGCCGACTCACGTCGCCAGCGCCACGTTGTGCTTATCAGCAACGTCATCTTGGTTCTCGCCCCTCGAAACCTGCTCAAGGGCGTGGCACTAGGCGTCAAGCAACGCTACAAGTACAAATACATTAGTCACTGGCCTCTTGACAGCGTTCAAGCCATCATTGATACGGCACATGGGGTAAGCTGTGTGCGCTGCCTTTGTGCAAACAGACACATGGTGTTGAGTTGCTGCCTTGTGTGTATTGGTGAGATTGATTTGCCACAATTCATTCGTGTTGTATGGCTCGTCCCGTAGCGTTCAGTACGTCTGCAGCGGTTGGATGACCATGGCGAGGTGGTCTTGCCTCGGGCCGTGGCCCGCGGCACCCTTTCCAAGCGCAAGTCAGTCGTGCGCACAAATGAGCTGAACATGAGCGCGCTTGCTGCCGCCATGGACACGAGCGAAGACGACGACCTGCCCAGCGAGACCGTGCTTAAGGTATGCATTGCATAGCATCATGGTTCACTTGTGCAGGAAAAGCTTCATCCTTGAAGTTGCCCAAATCGTGACGATGATTTTCTTGAAAATAATATAAAGAAAGGTCGAGAAGAAACTTAACACGAGGTGCTTGATTTTGCATGTATAGTTTGAGACGGAGGAGGAGCAGCTGAGTTTTATTCAGCGTGTTCGAACAACAATCTCCAATTTGCCCAACACTTCTGTGCCTTCGGTACGTGTCATGAATGCTGGACTTGGGCGCTGTCCCGCTGTTGGTTGTGCTGGTTTCAGCTTTCCTCACCGTGGATGGGGATAGGCCATGGCCGAAGATGCAAGAAATCTGGTCAAAGTCGAACAAGACCGACAGCGATATCAATCCAGTCGCCGCGGCAGCACCAAGGCATCTTTGGACGACTCTTTCGGCGGTTCCTTTCGGGGGCGCATCGGGGCTTTTTCTGGCGGCTCGCGCCACTCCCTCGTGGAGGACGTGCAACGGCGGCACAGCATTGCGGCACACGATGTGTCTCTTGGTGGGGGTGAGCTCGATGGAGAGCACAAGCGACGCAGCAGCTTTTTGCGGCGCACGGTGGGGCGCATGGCCCGCGGTATCCGTAGTCTATCGCGGTCGAGTAACAACGCCAAGACCAGCAGCAAGCGGAAAAACTCCAAGACTTCGCGGGCGTCCTTTACGGACGACACTGCCGAGGCATTTTTCCAAGCACCTCAGCCGTTGACGCCTTTGGAGAACCGAATGGTAACGCAGGAAACTTGCGAGGAATCTCCCGCAAAGCGCGCCAATTTGGTCCCTGGTCGTGGTCGGGTGCCCATGCCCGTATCACCTATGCCAACCAGTCGCCTGGCCACGGCACCCATGCTCTCCTTTCGTGCACAAAACATCGATGGTCAAACGTCCGACTTGTAAAGATGATTGACATCTTATACGATGACGTTGTTTGTCGGTGTGATGCGTGAATTGGGTTTCGTGCTGTCGTGTTTCAGCCCCCGCCTGCCTTGGTTGATGCGTTGATGCAACTGCCTTTTAAATAATTCTGCTGGTGCTTGTGCTTCTTCATCCTGTATCTGTGCGCATCTGTGTGTGTGTGTGCATCTGTGTGTGTGTGTGCATATGCGGGTGCATGTGTATTGCTGTGATTGATTCGGGCAGGTGTTGATGAACTGTCGCGCCATGATCTACTACTGTATTTACCTTGACCCGTCCAAGCGAATTGTCATCTCCTTTGATCCTGCCCTGGATCTCCGGTAGCTGTCAGTCTTGCTCAGCGGGTTTGCTAGTGCTAGTGTTTCTCCTTGTTTCAGCGCCCGTGCCTTGCCGAGGGCACTTGTTACCCCCTCTCACCCCTTGTGCTTGATCGTGTTGCTTTTCTTGGGCTCGACGCCCGCTATTCAATTGGGGCCACCTGCTTGGCCATATCGAGAAAATTTAGCCCCCACTATACTGCTTAGCCGTTGTGTCTTCATGCGAGTCGAACGCGTGGGCTCATCCACCATGCTTAGGACTGGGGATATCGGGAGGCTTGCCATGCATGGACGTAGTCAACTTCAAAGGGGCGATCGGGTAGATGGGTGGGCTCGGGCAGGCCAAACCAGTCGGGCATGGTTTCCCGGTCAAAGTTCAGGGTTAAGGGTTGATGCATGCAGTAGTTGGGTATGGACCACCACACGGCACCATCCACGGCATATTCAAGCACGGTTGGAGTCCAGAGGAGAGAAAAGACATGAAAGTCAGCATCAAAAGGAGTGGCTGCCGTCGTAATGTTGTACCGCTGACATGAAGCAGCGTCCTTGAGTTTCATGGTGGGCGCAGGCTGTTGAGGTGCAGCAGAGGTGGGGAGTTGGCAGTGGCACTTGGCAGGAATGTCTGCGGGAGCGGTATTGGGAAGCTGGAAGATGTGGGTGTGCATTGTGTCCTGGTATGGAAGGGGCTGGTCTGCATTTTCACCCGTCATTTCAAAGACGTCGATCTCGGTCCATTCTGTGCCGTTGTTGTGGTAAAACCAGAAGGAGCTGGACACGCGAGAGGTGCCTACGCGGGAGCGGATCTCAAAGTAGCCATACCTGCCAAGATGGAGGCGTAATCAGCGGACATAATGAGCGGGCGAACAAGTCGAGCACATGGGGGTAAAAATAGCTGAGCTTGGCCGGTAGGGCTGGAGGCGCGAGTGGACATGCTTCAAAAAAGGTGAAGGGGAGAGCACGAGGAAAATCGCGCATTTGACTGACCGGACAAGGGTTGTGCTCTGGACAGCGCTGGTAGTAAAGTTGGCATAGCCCTGCTGGCGGAGGCTGGGGTCTGTAATATTGGCATTCCGGGCCCACAGCTGTAAAGTGCCGTTGGACACCTACAAGATGTTCAATGCCGGCTCGTGAGCGTTGGGCATGGCAGTGCCGCCGAGGTTCAGCAGCCCTTTTGCAGGCCTGGTACCGGGGTTTGCGCTGCAGTGATGGACGAACCTTGACGTTGGAGGCATTGAAGAGGCCGGGTAGGCGACCTTGCCATTCAGGGTTGTGATCCAGCCACTTGGTGGTGTTGAGCTGCTGCCCCTCAAAGTCGTCTGTCATCGCTGGAAAAACATGCCAGTCGTAGCCGGCCGGCGGGTCAGCCCGCACCTCAGGGATCCCAAACCCAATCCCAACCACGATCCCCACCACGGCAACAGCCACCCAGCCACCCGATCCACGACCATGCCCCATGACCGATCATCCAAATGCCACTGAGCAATGACCAAAACCTGTGAGGCAGACGGTGTGTGCAGTGCGCAGAAGAACGGATGTGAGAGAGAGAGAGAGAAAGAGAGAGAGAGAATGAATTGGTTTGGTCGGAGATCAGCGACAGAAAAAAGCAAACACGGAAACAGGAGAAACGAAGACACACACACACACACACACACATAGTTTAAGAATGATGACATTTTATTCGTTCACATCTCCCTTGCACACACACACACACACACCGCGGACCAAGTTGCTGACACACACACACACACACACACACACACACACACAGAGGACAGGAGCAGCAGCAGCAAGCCGAGCGAGGTGGTGGTGGTGGTGGTGGTGCTCGACGGCAGCCGGGTATGTCGCGTGCTGGTCCTTGTGGATGTATATGGGCGTGTATGGTGGTGTATGGGTGCTGGGGTTAGGGGGTGGTTGCAAAGGCGGTACATTGAGCGACTTTTTATCCTGACTGCGCACTTGTACCATCGACGCCTCGTCACAGGAAGCAGGCTGCCTGCCAACAACTTTAGTGCACCCTGGGAACGAGTTTTTCCTGCCATCATGGTCGGACGGCGGGCGCAGGTTTGATGAATTGCGGCCAATACTATATCAGCAGGCAGAGCATAACCCATCGAGGACCTGGGCCACCTGGCCAGCCTCCTCTCACGTTTGAATGGCCTCGGTCCATAGTCCACCGCTGGGTCAACCGGATCCGGTCAGCCCCAACCACCGTCAACTCACATAACCGTCTCTAGCGTCAACGCCGATCCTGATGTTGAAGATGCCCTTCCAGGCTACGACGATGTCAAGGACCAGTGGTACAACACGGCCGGTATGACGTGCGCAGGCTTTGCAGCATCCCCGCGAGCCACGGCTCCAGCACCTCTGTCCAACCTCATTCCTGCTTCCGGACCATCTCTGTCGCGGCTGGCCCTCGGGGGTGTGCAGATTTTTCCATTCTCATTCGCGTGCCGAATCAAGCTGATTTCCGGCTTCCCGTATGTACCCCTGTCGCGCACCCCACCCCGCCCATGCTGCTTGTCGATGGCATGCGTGTGCAGGCACGCATCCGAGCCTGATCCCGGTCCTCCTTTGACCCGTTGCTGATGGTCTTGGGCAACGAAACGACAGGTCTCGCATTTGGATTCACACGAACAACTCACGCAAAGAGTTCGGGCCGCAGCTGGCCTCGATGAGAACGAACCCATCAAGCTTCGCCGCGCTTTGCAACAGCCGGTTCGTGTCCTGGCCCCATCCCGCTCGCCTTCTCTATGAAGACTTCGTCTCAGGATCTTCTTGTCAACTTGTCAGAACTCGCAACAAGGTCGCCTCGTGGGTGAAGAGCTCACCGCTGACGACATCATCGATGTATATCTGCACTCGCCCGCCTCGACGCCCGAGAATGAAATATTTATTGGCCGTATGTGCACATTTTGAAAGCAACTTGCTGTCAAATCCCCCCGCGTCTGCACCACACTTGCTGTCTCGGACACCTCACACACACTCTCTACTTGTTGTTAGCCAATGAAACCAATGAAAGCGGACCTGTGCATGACACGGCAATCGCCGTTACCGCTGATGATGCCAGCAGCGCGACAACTCGCCCAAACGGTGCGCACCTGGAATCATTGCCGCCCGCCATTTGCCTGAACCAATCACCAGTCATGTACAGCACCCGCCTTGTTCACTTTTGATTCATCGGACGCCGCTCGATTAGATGGACCACCAACTTATGAGAGCCTGTTGGCGCGCTCGGCTGAAGCGACAGCCGGCCTGGGTGCCAATGGAGCCCGGCACGGCACCTGGTTTCGGTTTCGGGTCACCATGATTATTCTCATTGCCTGCAGTGCGTTCCCGTGTCCACCTCACGGGTGTACGCCGCTCATTCTCTCCAGCCAATCCGTGATTTGCTGCGTCCTTTGACACCTGTGTTTGCTGGTCGCTCGCCATGTCTCTTGTTTCATAGCATGGTTCTTGAGCTTTCTTGTCGTTGCACTGGGCTTTGCCTTTGTTCTTATCAATCACGGTATGAATCCAGAGAGGTGCCTCGCCTCCTCTCTCTGACCCCACTTGCTTGAGAGTGGCCTTTTCCTCTTTTTTTTTTTTTTTTTAGTTTTCCTTTTTTCATTAACCGTGGCTTGGAAATGCATGTCATTGTCAATTTGGTGTTGGGGAAATAACAGGTTCACGAATGGAGTGCCACAGTGACCCACGCATCAACTCGTGGGCTGTTACCACCGGCATTAGCAGTTTGGTCTTGCTAGCTTTGACTCAACACGTGGATAGCTCAGCACGCAGGGCACGCGCACAGGGCCTGAGTATGTATTGGCTTGCTTGACACTCACAGGCCAGAGGCTGCCGTCCTCTTCCTCCTCCGTTTTTTTCCCGACCTTATTCGCGTTTGCGTGCTTGTCAGATCCCCGCGAGATGACACCTTGGGCCACTGAGCTGCTCAAGATGGTGCGCTTGTTTCTGTACGTACCTTGATGCTAGAAAAGCAGTCTGGCTGCAGTCGATCGGGCTGTTCTCTATACAAGTTGCAGGACCCATGTTTCATCTGGCCTCCTGCCTTTCCCCACTCATTCCTTGTTGTATAGCGCCATTTGGATTCTCTGCGGTTCAGTCTGGGTGTACAGGTGTCATGGTGATAACCAGTGCCGCGCAGACTGCGATGCGCCTTTGCTTCAGGTGGCTTTTTGGTACCTCAACGGCATCTATGTAAGCTGAAGCGCCTGGTTGCTCGCCCCCTAGCTCTCTTGGGCTGTTGGACCCACCACTGATTACTCGTTTGCAACGCATGCGCTGGTGATAGATTCTCTTGCTGAGCTTGATCGTCGTTGGGCCATGCCTGGTATGGCAGCTCTCCGTCCTCCAACGAGAAGCTCAAGAGGGCAGCGAAGAAGACGGTACCGAGGAAACCGAGTCTGCTGCCTAAAGACGTCTTTCATGACCGATTCTGTTTCCTCTGAGGCTTCGATTCTGGCTACATGTGCTCTTGGTGTGTATGCTCGCGGTGCGAGACACTTGAACTGACTAGCCTGGTCTTGATCGTGTGCCATGTCTGCTGGGCACCGTCCTGGGACCGGTGTCACACAAATTTGAATGTCATTGACCATCTCTCCTAAATTTATGACGAACGGCGCGGCAAGCAAGCACTGCTCATCATTGGAGCATGGCCTTGATGGTGCCAACAAGTTTGGTGTTGTCTCTACTCGCTGGGATCAAAGCTCTCATAAAAACGGCGCCGAATGACATGGCGATCCATGTTGGGACCGATAAAGGCCAGGCGCGTCATGGGCAGTGGCTCGTCAGGTGCCAAGGCACGAGGCTGCAGCTCCCAGTGTTCGTGCACACCTTGTAGGGTCCACACTGCCAAATCTCCGCGCGTGTTGGGCGCAACATGCGCGGGGTCTGTGCGTGTCACAATGACGCCCTTGTAACGAGCCAAATCATTGTGATGCTCAGTCACAACCTCCTGGAGCCATTTTTCAAAGCGCGCGCGTGATGGTAATGGCTTGTCCAGGTTGGCTCCCGTGGTAGAAATGGAGCGGTCGTGCTGCAATGCCAAGAGTTCGTCATCTTCCGGGCCGGCTGCTTGGTTGGCGCCTCGAGTGGACCGCAGCAATTGTTGGACATCCACATCACAGTAGCTGGTGTGATAGACTTGGCAATGCGTGTTCAACTGCAAACACGGCATGTAGTTTGGGAGGACAATCCGATAGAGATGACGGAGCGCATGAGCCAGGAACCGAGGAAGGCATAGAAGTGAGCATGGCAGCAAGTGAGAAGAGAAGAGTTCAGAACGGTGCATATAATTGACCAGGAAGCAAGTCTCGAGGCGTGGGATAGCAGACCGTACCGTGGCGATGGCTTGCTCCAGCTGGGTCACATTATCGGAGCTTGCTCGATCCATTTTGTTGAGCAGGATGGTATCGGCAAAATGAATTTGCTCCTTAAACTCCACAGCAGGGTTGGCCGGATCGAGGTACCGCACAGCATGCACGGCGTCCACGACCGTAATCACCCCGCTGAGGTCCAGGCGCGGCGCAAAGGTCGGGCTCTGCAGAATGCGTGTTACTGGACCAGCCAGGGCCCGACCCGTTGTCTCAATGACAATAGCCTCGTACTTTAGCTCATCTCGTCGCTCCAAAACATCCTCGAGCGCAAGCTCAAACTCCTCGCTTGCCGAGCAGCAGACACAGCCGTCCCCTGCGCGGACGGGTGATGGGCAAATCAATGCAGCCGAGGGCAAATTTGATGCGGCTTGTGCGACATGCGGTCGGCAGGACCAGGTTCCATCGTACCAAACTCGTAGACTTTGACAGCACCAGACGAGGAGCTCCCCGGCTGGGGTTGAGTCGGGAGTTCATTTTCAATGGCAAACTCCATGGCTATGACGTAGACGACAGTGGGAGAGCATGCGCTGAGCAGAACGGCACGAATTCTGCGCGTCAGGCGCGACTGGCTTACCATATTCGTTCTCAATCACGGCGAAGCGGGTATTGGATTCTCGAAGCAGTCTGTTGGCGAGGAAACAAGGTCAGCCAGCGCTAATGAGTTGGGCGCACTTGCTTGTCTCTGCACAGACGAGCTCACCTGTTGAGTAGTGTTGTTTTGCCCGCGCCGAGATAGCCGGTGAGCAGGTAAGTCGGTACAGGCCGAGCGGCTTCAGCAGCGGTCGAAGCCATGGTACGGGTAGCCAACAACAGCACGCTCGCTGAAGCCAACACTCGTCGCGCCACGGCGGCCGTGAACATGGAGCACAACAGCGAGCAGAAAGTGACC